AAGCTACCTACCTGGAGTCTCTTGAGACGTCTCAAAACAAGCTACCTACCTGGAGTCTCTTGAGACGTCTCAAAACAAGCTACCTACCTGGAGTCTCTTGAGACGTCTCAAAACAAGCTACCTACCTGGAGTCTCTTGAGACGTCTCAAAACAAGCTACCTACCTGGAGTCTCTTGAGACGTCTCAAAACAAGCTACCTACCTGGAGTCTCTTGAGACGTCTCAAAACAAGCTACCTACCTGGAGTCTCTTGAGACGTCTCAAAACAAGCTACCTACCTGGAGTCTCTTGAGACGTCTCAAAACAAGCCACCTACCTGGAGTCTCTTGAGACGTCTCAAAACAAGCTACCTACCTGGAGTCTCTTGAGACGTCTGAAAACAAGCCACCTACCTGGAGTCTCTTGAGACGTCTCAAAACAAGCTACCTACCTGGAGTCTCTTGAGACGTCTCAAAACAAGCTACCTACCTGGAGTCTCTTGAGACGTCTCAAAACAAGCCACCTACCTGGAGTCTCTTGAGACGTCTCAAAACAAGCTACCTACCTGGAGTCTCTTGAGACGTCTCAAAACAAGCTACCTACCTGGAGTCTCTTGAGACGTCTCAAAACAAGCCACCTACCTGGAGTCTCTTGAGACGTCTCAAAACAAGCTACCTACCTGGAGTCTCTTGAGACGTCTCAAAACAAGCCACCTACCTGGAGTCTCTTGAGACGTCTCAAAACAAGCTACCTACCTGGAGTCTCTTGAGACGTCTCAAAACAAGCTACCTACCTGGAGTCTCTTGAGACGTCTCAAAACAAGCTACCTACCTGGAGTCTCTTGAGACGTCTCAAAACAAGCTACCTACCTGGAGTCTCTTGAGACGTCTCAAAACAAGCTACCTACCTGGAGTCTCTTGAGACGTCTCAAAACAAGCTACCTACCTGGAGTCTCTTGAGACGTCTCAAAACAAGCTACCTACCTGGAGTCTCTTGAGACGTCTCAAAACAAGCCACCTACCTGGAGTCTCTTGAGACGTCTCAAAACAAGCCACCTACCTGGAGTCTCTTGAGACGTCTCAAAACAAGCTACCTACCTGGAGTCTCTTGAGACGTCTCAAAACAAGCTACCTACCTGGAGTCTCTTGAGACGTCTCAAAACAAGCTACCTACCTGGAGTCTCTTGAGACGTCTCAAAACAAGCTACCTACCTGGAGTCTCTTGAGACGTCTCAAAACAAGCCACCTACCTGGAGTCTCTTGAGACGTCTCAAAACAAGCTACCTACCTGGAGTCTCTTGAGACGTCTCAAAACAAGCCACCTACCTGGAGTCTCTTGAGACGTCTCAAAACAAGCTACCTACCTGGAGTCTCTTGAGACGTCTCAAAACAAGCTACCTACCTGGAGTCTCTTGAGACGTCTCAAAACAAGCTACCTACCTGGAGTCTCTTGAGACGTCTCAAAACAAGCTACCTACCTGGAGTCTCTTGAGACGTCTCAAAACAAGCCACCTACCTGGAGTCTCTTGAGACGTCTCAAAACAAGCTACCTACCTGGAGTCTCTTGAGACGTCTCAAAACAAGCTACCTACCTGGAGTCTCTTGAGACGTCTCAAAACAAGCCACCTACCTGGAGTCTCTTGAGACGTCTCAAAACAAGCTACCTACCTGGAGTCTCTTGAGACGTCTCAAAACAAGCTACCTACCTGGAGTCTCTTGAGACGTCTCAAAACAAGCTACCTACCTGGAGTCTCTTGAGACGTCTCAAAACAAGCCACCTACCTGGAGTCTCTTGAGACGTCTCAAAACAAGCCACCTACCTGGAGTCTCTTGAGACGTCTCAAAACAAGCTACCTACCTGGAGTCTCTTGAGACGTCTCAAAACAAGCTACCTACCTGGAGTCTCTTGAGACGTCTCAAAACAAGCTACCTACCTGGAGTCTCTTGAGACGTCTCAAAACAAGCTACCTACCTGGAGTCTCTTGAGACGTCTCAAAACAAGCCACCTACCTGGAGTCTCTTGAGACGTCTCAAAACAAGCTACCTACCTGGAGTCTCTTGAGACGTCTCAAAACAAGCCACCTACCTGGAGTCTCTTGAGACGTCTCAAAACAAGCTACCTACCTGGAGTCTCTTGAGACGTCTCAAAACAAGCTACCTACCTGGAGTCTCTTGAGACGTCTCAAAACAAGCTACCTACCTGGAGTCTCTTGAGACGTCTCAAAACAAGCTACCTACCTGGAGTCTCTTGAGACGTCTCAAAACAAGCCACCTACCTGGAGTCTCTTGAGACGTCTCAAAACAAGCTACCTACCTGGAGTCTCTTGAGACGTCTCAAAACAAGCTACCTACCTGGAGTCTCTTGAGACGTCTCAAAACAAGCCACCTACCTGGAGTCTCTTGAGACGTCTCAAAACAAGCTACCTACCTGGAGTCTCTTGAGACGTCTCAAAACAAGCCACCTACCTGGAGTCTCTTGAGACGTCTCAAAACAAGCTACCTACCTGGAGTCTCTTGAGACGTCTCAAAACAAGCCACCTACCTGGAGTCTCTTGAGACGTCTCAAAACAAGCTACCTACCTGGAGTCTCTTGAGACGTCTCAAAACAAGCTACCTACCTGGAGTCTCTTGAGACGTCTCAAAACAAGCTACCTACCTGGAGTCTCTTGAGACGTCTCAAAACAAGCCACCTACCTGGAGTCTCTTGAGACGTCTCAAAACAAGCTACCTACCTGGAGTCTCTTGAGACGTCTCAAAACAAGCTACCTACCTGGAGTCTCTTGAGACGTCTCAAAACAAGCCACCTACCTGGAGTCTCTTGAGACGTCTCAAAACAAGCTACCTACCTGGAGTCTCTTGAGACGTCTCAAAACAAGCTACCTACCTGGAGTCTCTTGAGACGTCTCAAAACAAGCTACCTACCTGGAGTCTCTTGAGACGTCTCAAAACAAGCTACCTACCTGGAGTCTCTTGAGACGTCACAAAACAAGCCACCTACCTGGAGTCTCTTGAGACGTCTCAAAACAAGCTACCTACCTGGAGTCTCTTGAGACGTCTCAAAACAAGCCACCTACCTGGAGTCTCTTGAGACGTCTCAAAACAAGCCACCTACCTGGAGTCTCTTGAGACGTCTCAAAACAAGCTACCTACCTGGAGTCTCTTGAGACGTCTCAAAACAAGCCACCTACCTGGAGTCTCTTGAGACGTCTCAAAACAAGCTACCTACCTGGAGTCTCTTGAGACGTCTCAAAACAAGCTACCTACCTGGAGTCTCTTGAGACGTCTCAAAACAAGCTACCTACCTGGAGTCTCTTGAGACGTCTCAAAACAAGCTACCTACCTGGAGTCTCTTGAGACGTCTCAAAACAAGCTACCTACCTGGAGTCTCTTGAGACGTTTCAAAACAAGCTACCTACCTGGAGTCTCTTGAGACGTCTCAAAACAAGCTACCTACCTGGAGTCTCTTGAGACGTCTCAAAACAAGCTACCTACCTGGAGTCTCTTGAGACGTCTCAAAACAAGCTACCTACCTGGAGTCTCTTGAGACGTCTCAAAACAAGCTACCTACCTGGAGTCTCTTGAGACGTCTCAAAACAAGCTACCTACCTGGAGTCTCTTGAGACGTCTCAAAACAAGCTACCTACCTGGAGTCTCTTGAGACGTCTCAAAACAAGCTACCTACCTGGAGTCTCTTGAGACGTCTCAAAACAAGCTACCTACCTGGAGTCTCTTGAGACGTCTCAAAACAAGCCACCTACCTGGAGTCTCTTGAGACGTCTCAAAACAAGCTACCTACCTGGAGTCTCTTGAGACGTCTCAAAACAAGCCACCTACCTGGAGTCTCTTGAGACGTCTCAAAACAAGCTACCTACCTGGAGTCTCTTGAGACGTCTCAAAACAAGCCACCTACCTGGAGTCTCTTGAGACGTCTCAAAACAAGCTACCTACCTGGAGTCTCTTGAGACGTCTCAAAACAAGCCACCTACCTGGAGTCTCTTGAGACGTCTCAAAACAAGCTACCTACCTGGAGTCTCTTGAGACGTCTCAAAACAAGCTACCTACCTGGAGTCTCTTGAGACGTCTCAAAACAAGCCACCTACCTGGAGTCTCTTGAGACGTCTCAAAACAAGCTACCTACCTGGAGTCTCTTGAGACGTCTCAAAACAAGCCACCTACCTGGAGTCTCTTGAGACGTCTCAAAACAAGCTACCTACCTGGAGTCTCTTGAGACGTCTCAAAACAAGCTACCTACCTGGAGTCTCTTGAGACGTCTCAAAACAAGCTACCTACCTGGAGTCTCTTGAGACGTCTCAAAACAAGCTACCTACCTGGAGTCTCTTGAGACGTCTCAAAACAAGCCACCTACCTGGAGTCTCTTGAGACGTCTCAAAACAAGCTACCTACCTGGAGTCTCTTGAGACGTCTCAAAACAAGCCACCTACCTGGAGTCTCTTGAGACGTCTCAAAACAAGCTACCTACCTGGAGTCTCTTGAGACGTCTCAAAACAAGCTACCTACCTGGAGTCTCTTGAGACGTCTCAAAACAAGCCACCTACCTGGAGTCTCTTGAGACGTCTCAAAACAAGCTACCTACCTGGAGTCTCTTGAGACGTCTCAAAACAAGCTACCTACCTGGAGTCTCTTGAGACGTCTCAAAACAAGCTACCTACCTGGAGTCTCTTGAGACGTCTCAAAACAAGCCACCTACCTGGAGTCTCTTGAGACGTCTCAAAACAAGCTACCTACCTGGAGTCTCTTGAGACGTCTCAAAACAAGCTACCTACCTGGAGTCTCTTGAGACGTCTCAAAACAAGCTACCTACCTGGAGTCTCTTGAGACGTCTCAAAACAAGCTACCTACCTGGAGTCTCTTGAGACGTCTCAAAACAAGCCACCTACCTGGAGTGGAAAGAGACTCCGCGCGGTGAGCCACCTACCTGGAGTCTCGCTTGGGGCACAGCACGTCAATCACGTCAATGAACACAATCAACGGCCGCATATCCGGCCCTCCTTCTGAACCCCTTTTAAAGCACGCCTGTTATAGGCCACACACTTTCTTGTGAGTAAGCCACCAACCTGGAGTCTCGCTTGGGGCACAGCACGTCAATCTCGTCAATGAACACAATCGACGGCCGCAAATCCGCGCCTCCCTCTGCCCCTCCCTCTGCCCCTCCCTCAGTAACTCCCTCCCCCAGTCCCCCCTCCCCATCCTTCCCGCCCCTGGCCGCATCAAAGACATCTCTCAGGCGCCTCTCGCTCTCCCCCGCGTATGCTCCGAAGATGGATGACGACCTGATGCAAGCGGTGGTGTGGGGTAGGGAGGGTTGGAGAAGGGTTTATTACTTGGCGCACATCCGCACCTCTTTAACTCCTACCCTCTGCCCCCCCTCCCCCTCTTTTCCCCCCCTGGCCGCATCAAAGACATCTCTCAGGCGCCTCTCGCTCTCCCCCGCGTATGCTCCGAAGATGGATGACGACCTGATGCATTTGAATGGGGTGATGTGGGGTAGAGAGGGTTGGAGAAGGGTCTAGTACTGGGTGCCTTGGAAACCCTCTCGCTCTCCCCCGCGTATGCTCCAAAGATGGATGACGACCTGATGCATTTGAATGGGGTGATGTGGGGTAGAGAGGGTTGGAGAAGGGTCTAGTACTGGGTGCCTTGGAAACCCTCTCGCTCTCCCCCGCGTATGCTCCGAAGATGGACGACGACCTGATGCATTTGAATGGGGTGATGTGGGGTAGAGAGGTTTGGAGAAGGGTCTAGTACTGGGTGCCTTGGAAACCCTCTCGCTCTCCCCCGCGTATGCTCCAAAGATGGATGACGACCTGATGCAATGCGGTGGTGTGCGGCAGAGAGGGGTGGAAACGGGTTGTTACGAGGTGCATCGAGCATGCTCACGCTCTCCCCTGTGTGTGCTCCAAAGATTGATGACGACCTGATGCATACAGTGCAAGGGTGGCAGAGCGCATGGCAGAGCGCATGGCAGGGTGGTGCGATCACTCACGTGACAGTGAAGAGCCGTGCGTTGCACTCCCGAGCTATCTCCCTCACCATTAGCGTCTGCCATGCCATGCACACACGTGATGGGATGGGATGGGATGGGATGGGACGATGTAACATGGTTTGAAGTGTCCAGATGCAACCTAGGATTCAAGGGAACGAAGTTTATAACCTATCATCTCACACACTCACCTTGCAGAAAAAAGCGACTCCCAACGCCTGTCTCAGACCGGCACTCGCTCCGCCAGTGTCTCACACACTCACCTTGCCTGCGAGGTGACTTTTGAGTCGACTCAAAAGTCGTTTCACGCGCTCACCTTGCCTGTGCCTGGCGGACCGTACAGCAGCACACCTGATGGCCACTGCACAGGGACAGCGCGTGGGGAAAAAGGGAGGGTGTGGAGTGGGACTGTTTTTGAGATGCAACAAAGAAAGGGGGAGCGGAACTGGGCGGGGGAAAAGAGGGGAGGGAGGGGAAGGGGAAGTGGGGGAGAAGGGGGGATGTGGGGAGGTTAGAGGAGGGCGAGTGTGGTGTGGAGTGGAGCATGCATGAAAGTAGGGAAGAGAGTTGAAAGTGGATAGGGGAGTAAAGGAGTGTGAAGGGAGAACGGCGTTTTGCAAACCGAGTGAACACAAGGAAATTATCTCAGAGGTCCCGGGTTCAGGGTTTAACCCGTCAAGGTTTCTGGTGTAATGTTCAAAATTGCACGCCTTTAGCGGGTGTGGAGCTCATATTCGCCCAAGATTAAGTCGCACGCACCTTCAGGCCCAGCGCGGCGGCCTCCTTGGCGTACTTAATCGGCCAGGGTTTCAGGTTTTGTTTTGAGTGGACTCAAAACAGGGTTTCAGGTTTTGGGTACTGGAATGGAATCAGGTAGGCTGTAGATTTTTTTAGTTTCACACCTTCAGGCCTAGCGCGGCGGCCTCCTTCGCGTACTTAATCGGCCACACTACCACTTCCCGCAGCGCCTGCATGCTCTCGTCCATCCCCGCCAGCTGCGCCGCATTCCCCGCCGCCTCTCCCGCCGTCAAGCCCGCCGCGCCTTGCCAAGTGCCGCCGCCAGCGCTGGCGGCGCCATCGGCAGCAGCAGGCGGAGGAGCGAGCATTGCGAAGGGACGCGACGCGGGCCTGGGAACGCGGCACGAGAGTACAGACTTGAGGTGGCCCGGCAAAGAAGCTCGGAAGAAATAGAGTGATGAGGGAATAGAGTGTTGAGGAAATACAAGTTGGCGGGAAGCTTGCTTCGGTTCGAACCTCTCGATTTCGCTACTAATGCTCCCGCATTCGGCGCGTATTCTGAGAAGCAGAAGGCAGGGGACGCGATGCGTGTGAGGCGACGCGAGGGAGGGCGGCACAAGCGGAGCGAGAGGTGGAAATGTGATCTTCAAGACGTGTGGTGTCGAGAGGGACGGACAGTCGGAGGCTGGTTTGTTTATCTCCGCGTGGGTCACGCAACGGGTTCGTGGATTCAACTCGGAATTCAACAATGCGCGTCACTGAATTAGTGTGACCTGTAGGGATGTTGCTGGTGGGACTGGGGGAATGTGCCAAAAACAGGAGAGGCGGATTTAGAGACATGAAAGACAGAACGCGCAAAAGTGCTGGAGAAGTGGGGTATCAATCCCCATACCTCTCGCATTCTAAGCGAGCGCTCTACCATCTGAGCTACATCGCCATGCTAGCTTGCATCCGTGTTATAATAACAAAAATATAGATTCTTTGAAAGCTCTAGTTTCCCCTGCCTGTTTTCTAGTGATCATCACCCTTCGCCGCTCCGCCTCACATGCGCTTCCGCATACCCCTGCGCATGGCGCTGCTTTCCAGCTCACCCTCCCCCTCCCTCTCCGCGCTCCTCTCCTCCCGCCCCTTCTCCGCCCTCTCCCCCCTCGCTAGCGCCTCTTCCGCCTTCCTCTCCCCCAACCCCCTCCCCATTCCCGCACTTTACGCGCCTTCCGCCCAACGGGACCTCGATCTCCGCCTACCCGGCTTCCCCGCGCCACCCGCGCTTCCGCCGAAACAATCCCCCCATGTTCCGCGCCTTCCGCCGTTGCTGGGGGACCCGTTCCCGGGTTGCGGATCAGGGGAGATTCGAGAAATCGCGGTTCCGGGGATAATTATTCCCGCAAGGGGCTTCCCCCTCCCGCTTTCCGCGCCCGCGCATCCCGCGCTTGCGCCTAAGATATGGGCGGGGGGAGGTCCGCGGACGTTCCCCGGCGGAGTGACGAAATGGCAGTGGAAGCGCATGCAGGAGAAAAAGCGGCGCGCGCGCGAGCGCGCGCAACTGATCCGCGAGCAAGAGGCGTTCGAAGCGAAGCGGCGCGAGCAGCTCCGCATTTTGCGCGGCCCGGAGCGCCCCTGGGGGGACGACGCCGACCACGGATGGGGGAAACCCCCGCGGGAAGGGCGGCTGCCGCCGGCTTTTCCGCCTCGATCCGCGGGGCCGCCGCTTCCGTGGGAAAAGCCGCGCGGGGGAGATGGCGCTGCGCGCCGATGGGGTGAGGAGGGGGGCGGGGGACTTTGGAAGGGTTTGGGGGAGGAGGAGGGGACGGGGGGAATGATAGTCCCGTGGGAGAGGCAAGGGGGAAAGGCGGGAGAGGGAGCGGGTTGGGGGCGCGCGCGGGAGGAGCAACCAGGGGGGAGTGATTGGCGGAACCAGGGGGGCATGGCGGAAGCGCTGGTTGGAAAGGGGGAGGGGGGCCCAGTCCGCTGGGAGCGGCTTCCGCAGGTGCCATTGGCGGAGCGGAGAAGGCAGGCAGGGGGGGAGCGCGCGTGGGGGGTAGATGGCGCTGGGGGGGAGCAGCGCACTTGGGGGGAGGAGCGCCAGCGGGAGGACCAGCACAATAGGGGGGAGCAGCGGGAGCGCATTGCGCCAATGGCGGGGGAGGATGTGCGCCCGTGGCAGCGGGAGGGGGAGGGGGAGATGGGCGAGGGGGAGTGGAGGATACGCCAACAATGGCGGAGAGGGGAGGAGGGGAGAATGCGCCAACAGCAGCGGGGAGAGGAGGGGGGGCGCGTGTGGTGGGAGGAGGATGCGGAGGCTGGGGCGGAGGGGGGAATGCGCCCTCGGGGAAGAGGGGAGAGGGGGAGAGGGCAAGGGGGAACAGCAAGGGGCGGTAGTGATGGGGCTAGAGGGGGAAGGATGAAGCAAGAGGAGACACTGGAGGGATTGGCAGTGGAAGGGAGGGGGGAAGAGGGAGAGGAAGGGGAAGAAGGCTGGATGTGGTGGGAAGAAGGGGGGCTGTATCGGCGAGGTAGGGGAGGAGGGAGGGAAGGCGGAGGGGGGGGAGGCGGAGGGAGGGGCGAAGGAGAGCGGAGAGAAGGTGGGAAGGGCGGAAATGGGATGGGAGCAGGGAGGGCAGGAGGTAGAGGAGGAGAAGGAGAAGGAGAAGGAGAAGGAAAGGCGTCTTATGAAGCGCGCCAAACCAGGCAGGGACAGGCACGAGCAGCATTCCCTGAAGCAGAAGCAGAGGCGGGAAGGGGGGGGCGGGGGAGGGAAGGCGCATGGGGAGTGGGCGGAGGACGAGGGGGAGGAGGGGCCGGAGGGGGAGGGGGAGGAAGGGGAGGGAGAGGCAGGGGAGGAGGGCAGAGGTTAGCATATCAAGGATCAAACCGGACGAGCAGGGGAGGAGGGAGGGGAGCGCCATTGGTGCTGCCTGCAGTACCAGAGGAGGTGATTGGTCGGCACGTGAAGCTCAAACACGTGGAGGATCTGTGGAACGAGGATGACGGGCCGCTGGAGAGAGAATCAGGGCCTGCTTATAACGAGTATGGGACTCCGCCTGGTGATGGCGCTGCTGCTGCTGCGGATGGTGATTTGAGTGTTGGCCAAAACCCCTCAAAGGAGGAGGAGGAAGAGGAGGAGGAGGACAGGAGGGCTGTTTCGCGGATCCCATGGTTGGCTTATGCTGCTGCTGACAATGATGGGGATGATGGGGATGATGGGGATGATGGGTATGGCAGTAGTGGTGGCAGCCGCACCACCAGGATTAGGAATGGCAGCGGCAGCAGCAGCGACAGAAGCAGCAGTGGCCGCGGCGGCAATAGCAGCAGGGGACGTGCATGGAGGAGGAGAGATGTGTCGGCATCTGCTGTTGCCACTGGTGTAACCATGCGCGGACACATGCCCATGAGCATGCCCACGCCCATGCGCATGGTTATGGGTATTGCCATGCCCATGCCCATCAGCATGTCTCTGCCCATGCACATGCCCATGGGTATGCCTACTGCTACCAGCATCGTTGCTGCCTCTGCTGCCGCAAGCTGCCGGCGCTTTACCTCCGCTGCAGTTGGTGCTGCTGCTGCTGCTGAGGGTGCTGCAGTTGGTGCTGCTGCTGCTGCTGAGGGTGCTGCCACTAGAGCTCGTGATGACTCCGTTTGGGGCAGCAGAGAACACAACGCCAGCATTCCCAAGGGTGACAGCAGTGATGCTGACAACACCGAGCGTGATAATACCGGTGATGGATGCGAGAACAACAGAAGCGGCTCAGTGGGAGTGGAACCAGGCACTTTCGCCGCCTTACCTCTCTCCCAGGCCATGCTTTCAGCCGTCAGCAGCAGTATGGGCTTTAAGCGATGCACTCCCTTGCAAGCTGCTGTCATGCCACACATACTCGCAGGTATGTTGGTACCATTGCCATTGTCATTGCAATTCTCGTTCTCCCTTGCAAAATTGCGGCTTTCCTTCGTGTCCTTTTGAGAATTCCTCCCCTCGTCCGCCTTGCTGTGTCTCCTTCATTTTTATTCCCCTCTTCTCTCAACATGCATATCAATCCCTTCCTCTCCCTCCCTTCCTCTCCCTCTCTTCCTCTCCCTCCCTTCCTCTTTCTTGTGCCAGGAGCTGATCTCTTGGTCAAGACCAATCCTGGCAGAGGGAAGACCATGGCTTTTATGGTAAGCCCACATGCTATAATAAATCTGTATATATTATAACGAGGCTAGAGAGATTGTTGTGCAGCTAGAGATCTGCAGTGCAGGGTATTTTTGAGAATTCTCAATAAAAACGAGGCTAGAGGAATTGTTGTGCACAGCTAGAGATATGGCAGTGAGGCTACCAATGTCATAGTGCGTGCAGACACAGGGAAGACCATGGCTTATATGGTGAGCTAACATCCTATATTGAATTTGCATATGATATAGTGATTCGATTTATGCAAGAGTGGGGTCCTGACCTCCCACTGGACTGGCCGAGCGAGACCAGCATCTGGTTGGTTTTGGTGGTGTGCGCTCCCACCAGTGGAGGTGCTGCTGGTGTGCTGTGCGCTAACAGAGAGCGAGCTGAGAGGGACCTGGAGGAGACCCGGCGATCCTTTGTTGCCAATGGCCCTATATCCCATGTTCTCCTGTTGTTTCCCGCACTACTCCGCAGATCCCCTTTCTAGACAGGCTCGTTTCCAACCACTCCGACTCTCCCACTCGGCTGCTTGCTGGTGCCGGTACCCCAGTGAAAGTGCTGCTGGTGAGAGCGAGCCGAGAGAGCTCCGGGACAGGCTCAGCGTGTGTTCTTCTGTTTCTCCCCCTCGCACTGCCCTGCAGATTCCCTGCCTTTACAGGCTCGTTACAGACTTCTTCGACTCTCCCGCTCGGCCGCTTGCTGGTGCCAGTACCCCATTGGAGGTGCTGCTGGTGTGCGCTAACAGAGAGAGGGCTGAGAGGGCTCTGCATCAGTCTCAGCAAGTGCTCTCCTGTTTCTCCCCCTCGCACTGCCCTGCAGATCCCTTGCCTTGACAGGCTCGTTTCCAGCTTCACTAACTCAACCACTCGGTTGCTTGCTGGTGCAGATGCCCCATTGGAGGTGCTGCTGGTGTGCGCTAACAGAGAGAGGGCTGAGAGGGCTCTGCATCAGTCTCAGCAAGTGCTCTCCTGTTTCTCCCCCTCGCACTGCCCTGCAGATCCCTTGCCTTGACAGGCTCGTTTCCAGCTTCACTAACTCAACCACTCGGTTGCTTGCTGGTGCAGATGCCCCATTGGAGGTGCTGCTGGTGTGCGCTAACAGAGAGAGGGCTGAGAGGGCTCATCATCAGTCTCAGCAAGTGCTCTCCTGTTTCTCCCCCTCGCACTGCCCTGCAGATCCCTTGCCTTGACAGGCTCGTTTCCAGCTTCACTAACTCAACCACTCGGTTGCTTGCTGGTGCAGATGCCCCATTGGAGGTGCTGCTGGTGTGTGCTAACAGAGAGAGGGCTGAGAGGGCTCTGCATCAGTCTCAGCAAGTGCTCTCCTGTTTCTCCCCCTCGCACTGCCCTTCAGATCCCTTACCTTGGCAGGCTCCTCTCAGGCCTCTCCGACTCTCCCACTCGGCCGCTCGCTGGGGCGGGTACCCCAGTGGAGGTGTTGCTGGTGGTGTGCGCTAACAGGGAGAGGGCCGAGAGGGCTCTGGAGCAGGCTCAGCAAGTGCTCTCCTGTTTCTCCCCCTCGCACTGCCCTGCAGATCCCCTGCCTTGACAGGCTCCTCTCAGGCCTCTCCGACTCTCCCACTCGCCTGCTTGCTGGCGCTGGTACCCCAGTGGAGGTGCTGCTGGTGTGCGCTAACAGAGAGAGGGCTGAGAGGGCTCTGGGGCAGGCGCAGCAGCTGATGCAGCTGCTTCAGACGCCGCAGTCACAACAGGTGCAGGGGACTCCGCGAGGGCAGGAAGGAATCGGGGAACTGGGAAGAAAGGAAGCAGCAAAAGGAGGATTAGGGGACAGGAGGAGAGGAGGAGGAGTTAGGGGGCGTGCTGACCGAATGAAGGGCGTGAGGCAGGGGGGGGAGTCGGGAGTGGGGCCACAGGGAGTGGGGCGGCAAGTGGTGGGGGCGCAGATGGTGGTTGGAGGGTTGAGTATGGATGGTGAGGGGAGGCGGTTGCAGCAGGCGCCGTGTCAAGTGCTGGTGGCGACTCCTGCTCGGCTGTTGGAGCACTTGCAGCAGACCCAGGGCATGCGGAACCGAGTGCAGCAGCTGCAGGTGAGTGCAGCAGGCGAAGATATAGAGCACGTGTAGGTCTGGTAGGGAGAAAGCAGGGGGGTGCATGCGCAGATGGAGCAACTGCAGCGCCAGTAGCACCACCAGCTGCCTTGCTGCAGACTCAGGGCATGCAGAACCGAGTGCAGCATCTGAAGGTGACTGGTAGGAGGTGAAGGTGAGTGGTAGGAGGTGAAGGTGAGTGGTAGGAGCTTAAGGTGAATGCAGAGAGCAAAGGTGAGAACAGCAGGCAGTGTGTGTGTGAGCACTGTGTGTGTGAGCACTGTGTGTGTGAGCAGTGTGTGTGTGAGCACTGTGTGTGTGAGCACTGTGTGTGTGAGCAGTGTGTGTGTGAGCACTGTGTGTGTGAGCACTGTGTGTGTGAGCACTTGCTCAGCTGGTGGCAACTCCTGCTCAGCTGTTAGAGCACTTGCAGCAGACTCAGGGCATGCGGAACAGAATGCAGCCGCTGAAGGTGAGGAGGTATGCAGTAGAGGAGGGGAAGGTGTGTGAGAGGACTTAGAGGGCGAGGACTTGCAGGACTACCCATGACATACCGTGTGAGCAGGTGTGCTTGTATCAGACATATCACATTGCCGCCTACCTACCTACCCATCACATACGAACAGGTGCTTGTATTGAAGGAGGACATAGAATAGACTGCATGGTGGTCGTGGGGGGTTCACATCACATACCGTGCGTCCTACCTATCAATCACATACTGTGGGTGTGTGCTGTGCAGGTTTTTGAGAATTCTCAAAAACCAGCTGTGGGTGTGTGCTGTGCAGGTGCTTGTATTAGAGGACTTCACTCGCACCATACACGCCATCCTTCCGCTCCTTGTTGCACGACTTGTGCTCTCATTCTCACATTGCTTCTCACCTTCCGTCACACACCATGCGTGCAGGTGCTTGCATTGGAGGACCTAGACCGCATGGTGGACATGGGGTTCACTCGCACCATACACGCCATCGTTACGCTCCTCCCACCCACACGCCAAACACTACTCTTCTCAAACACTCTCTCCAATGAGGTACAGTACCCTGCATTCTCCCTTGTGCCTTTCGAGCTTCCCTCCCTACACGACCAACTTTTGCTCTTCTCAAATGCCCTCTCTGATGAGGTACCCTGACCTACATTTTCCTTATTTGATTTCCTCTGCCCGACCAATCTCCCCTGCCCTCTGTTCTTCCAAACTGACAGTGCCGAAGTCTCCCTGCCCTTTGATTCACTCGGCTCTGTTTTGTAAGCAGGTGAAGGATCTTTCACAGCTCATGCTCAAGGCTGATTATGTATCGCTTGATATGGAGAGTGCTTGACTGGGGGAGTACCGGTAATAAGCGTCACTGCAAACATCACTCATTATTGGGTACATTTTTAAACACAGCTTTTGTCATAATTTTTCATGGTTAAAAAAACAGAGAGTTGGAGTTGCCATTTCAAGGTTGTGGTGTCCGCAGCTCTCATAGCTGTAATGCCTTGTACTGTTTACCATTGATTGTTTTCTCATGTACCAGGGTCCGGTACTTCTGCTCATGCTTTGTTTTTCACATCATCCCTCAAACATCACCCCAAGATTTATTAATATTGTTTCCATTTTGACCTGCCTGCACCAACTACAACGAACTAGTTAACTGGAACCATCTCAGTCGGCTTGGCTCGGCTCAGCAGCACAGCTGGTCAAGGGTCACATGCAGAAGAATACATCCCCACAACCCAGCCAGACCACGCAACCTTTCACATTTACCAAACCCGCCATTCTGCCATGCACCTACAACAACCCCCCTACACATCACAATTATAAGTTGTGACTCTGGTACGGTAATACTACGGTACTAGAGTACCAGCACTTCTACAGTCTACATGCATGCATCCACTAAACAAAACGGCAAAGAAACCAGATTAAAAGGATCCATGCTGATCCTCTAGGCTTCAGGTCAGTCTTCTCTTCATCAGCCTGAATTTACTCCTCCACTGCGCCCCCCCCCTCCTCCCCCTCCACCCCCCCCGCTCTCCCCTGCACATCCCCACCACTCCATGTGCTCACATCCCAATCTCTCAAACCAGCTCTCCCCTGAAACAAACACAACTCCCCAGACCACAGCTGCTACCTTCTGGCGCTAATGCAAGCACATGCACTGGCAGAGCCAAAGGAAAGCAAGCAGCTGAGGGAGGAGCACAGAACACTGTGGGTGGACTGCTTTGATGACACAGTGCAGCTTTGCAGTTTGCAGCTTCGCAGTTTGCACCTGTGGTTCCAGCAAGCCTGAGGCCACCCATACAGACGTGCTCTGTCGTCGCTCTTTGCTGCTTCTCTTGACTGCTAACAACCAAAAGCCCGGCTCCCCACCACAAGCAGCATCCCACTCTACATTTCTGCTTCCACTGCAGCCATCACCGCCAGTCTCTACAGCTTCACAGAGCAGATCGCGTCTCACTGCTAGCCTTTCAAGGTGAGGCGCGCATAAATACCCCGCAGTCCGCCCTGCTTGTCCAACCCCAGCGTCCTTGAACCTTCCGACTTTAAGGCTCAAGGATCCCAGATTGAGTCACCACAGCCATAGCAGTCTACTGCTCCAGGCGCCCGCAGCAACCTGTAGAGCAACCACCGTCTTGACTCAAGAACCATGTCCCTCATCTGAATCCCCCTCACCCCGCACCCTTCTTCCTCCATTCCTCTTTCTCCACTCCTCCCCCACTTCCTTCTCAAGTCACCAATCCTCGCCACCTTACTCCTCACGTTTACCCCCAACGCTGGCGGCCGCAGCAGCGGACTGTTCCTGAGCCGCAGCAACCCACGAGCGGAGCACGCCCTCTTCCTGCAACCCCCTCCTCCCCCACCCACCCTTCCAGGCCATCACATTACCACACCCTATTCCCCTCCCCCCTCAGCGCTGGCAGCAGCAGCAGCGGACTGCTCCTGTGCCACAGCAACCCACGAGCGGAGCATCCCCCTCTTCCTGCAACCCCCTCCCCCACCCACCCTTCCAGGCCATCAGATAACCACACCCTACTCCCCTCCCCCCTCAGCACTGGCAGCAGCAGCAGCAGCAGCAGTGGACTGCTCCTGCGCCGCAGCAGCAACCAGGGGACAAAGCGTTTCCACCATATCACTGATCAGCGCCCGCAGATTCGGATCCTCCTCAATACAATGCTTCGCAGTGCTATGCTTCCACCCAAGCACCCAAGCCCAAGCGCCCATCCTGATTAGTATCCGACCCAAGCGTCCCACCCACCCCTGTTGTCTCTCCCCACCCCCCTGTTCTCCCTCCCACCCCTGTTGTCTCTCCCCACCCCCCTGTTCTCCCTCCCACCCCTGTTGTCTCTCCCCACCCCCCTGTTCTCCCTCCCACCCCTGTTGTCTCTCCCCACCCCCCTGTTCTCCCTCCCACCCCTGTTGTCTCTCCCCACCCCCCTGTTCTCCCTCCCACCCCTGGGTCAGCGCACAGAAGCCCTACTCCCCGCCCCCTCCAGCGCTGGCAGCAGCAGCAGCCGACTGCTCCTGAGCCGCAGCCACCAGCGGGCGAAGCGTCTCCACCATATCACTCATCAGCGGCCGCAGGTTCGGATCCTCCTCGATACAATGCTTTGCCGAGATCGCCAGCTTATGTGCCGCCCGCTGCGCCGCCTTCGTGGTAAACTGATCCAGCAGACACGGGTCGACGAGAGCTCCAATATCCGGCTTTCGCTGGTTCAAATACTGCTGCGCCCAGGCCGTGAGCGGCGGCATGCCCTGCTGCGTTTGATCCATGGCGCGTTTCCCTGTGAGGAGCTCGAGGAGCATGACTCCGAAGGCGTAGACGTCGGATTTGCGGGTGAGCTGGCCGGTTTCCATGTACTTGGGGTCGAGGTACCCCATGGTGCCCATGATGCGCGTCGTCACGTGGGTTTGGTCCGTGTCCGCTCCCTTTGCCAGCCCGAAATCCGTCAGCTTCGCAGACCAGTCCTGGGTAGGGAAAAGGAGCGAAGGGAGAGGGCGAAAATGACAGGGAGAGGGGAGGAGAAAGCGGGGAAGGTGGGGGGGGGGAGGGGTATGAAGATGGTGTGTGCACAGGCAAGGCATGCGGGTGAGCTGGCCGGTTTCCATGTACTTGGGGTCGAGGTACCCCATGGTGCCCATGATGCGCGTCGTCACGTGGGTTTGGTCCGTGTCTGCTCCCGTATAGTCAGTGCCCACTCCCTTGGCCAGTGCAAAGGCTGTCAGTTTGGGGGACAATATCTGGGATTTAGGGTTGGGGTAAGGGGGGAATATTGATGGGAAACGTGAGGCTGCTTAGCGGGCTTTGGGTGAGCGGAATGGGAGTACAGACATCAGCAGTACAAACATCGCACTCACATCATCGAGCAGGATGTTAGGAGCCTTAAAGTCGCGGTGAATGACGTTGTTCTCATGCAGGTACGCCAGGCCCGCAGCAGCATCCAGGGCAATGCGCAGCCGCACCTCCCATGGCAGCGGCGTGGGGGGGGTAGGGTCATCCTCCTTGGGCTCTGATGGGCAAGGAGGGAAGAGAAGAGGGGCGGAGACGGGCAGAGAGGGGAGGAGAGAGAAGATGAAGACTGACAAAAAGGACCTGCCGGACCTCCCATGGAAGAGGCGTGAGGGGCGTGAAGGCCGTAACCGCGTGGGCTGGTAAAGTGGTAGAAATCGGTAAATAACTACGCGCCTGACCTGGTGAGTGATAAATATCGTTCTTGACCTGTCAATAACGAGTACAAAACACTCACCAGGGAAGACATGGTCATCCAGACCCGCTTTTCCCGGAAACTCAGGCACCAGCACGCCCTGGCACCACAGTGAGCCTATTCCCACCACAAGTAACAACTGACTGACCTGGTAAGTGGTGGATGTCAAACCTGTCCATAACAAGTATGCAGCTACTCACCAGGGAAGAGGTGGTAGTCAAGACTGCCCTTGCCCAGGAACTCGTACACCAGCATACCCTCGCACCACTCTAGGCTTACTCTTACAGCCTTGTAACAACTGACTGACCTGGTGGTAAGTGACAGAAATCGAATCTGTCAATAACGAGTACAAACCACTCACCAGGGAAGAGATGGTAGTCAAGACTGCCCTTGCCCAGGAACTCATACACCAGCATACCCTCCCCGTTCTCCGCGCAGTATCCGAGGAGCTTCACCAGGTTCTGATGGCGCACACGACCCAGAAGCAGAATTTCGGCCTGGGGGGACAAACAAGACAGGGGCATGGGGGTTTTGTTGACATCATGGTTTTCTAACGGTCACAAAGCAAAAGCAGCATACCCAGGATATCTCGTTTCTACATATTTTTTTCCTGCCTTTCAAAACACGTACTAGCTTCTCCGCATGCACATTGCCACCCATGCCCCACCATATCCACTCACCAGCCACTCCTGCTGGCCCTGGAAGCTGTTCGAATTGAGTTTCTTCACAACAATGGGCATGGCCTCCCAGTCCTTGAGGAACCCTTTGTACACCTTGCCGAACCCGCCCTCGCCCAGCACGCGGACTCACCACCAGCCATTCCCTTAGAAATTTTCTCAAGACTCACCAGCCACTCCTGCTGGCCCTGGAAGCTGTTCGGGTTGAGCTTCTTCACAGCGATGGGAAAAGCGTCTTTGCTGCCCTCCCAGTCCTTCAGAAACCCCTTGTACACCTTGCCGAACCCGGAAAGTTTTTTCTTATCAACTCAACTCTATGGCAGCCATCAAGTCAACTCACCAGCCATTCCTGCTGGCCCTGGAAACTGTTCGGATTAAGCTTCTTCACAGCGATGGGAAAAGCATCCTTGCTGCCCTCCCAGTCCTTGAGAAACCCCTTGTACACCTTGCCGAACCCGCCCTCGCCCAGCACGTTGTCGGGCTCCTTAAAGCCCTGCGTGGCCTTGTGCAGCTCCTTGAACTTGAACGTGCGCAGCTCGAACGGCGCCGCCGGCATGTCCAGCCCCATCAGCGCGTTGTCGCTCTGCGCTGGCGCTGCTGGGGGAGGGGAGAATGGGGGGAGGGGAGGGGCGAGCGGGGGAGGGGGAAGGAGGGAGGAGGGGGAAAGGAGAGGGGTGGAGAAGGAGGGGGAAGGAGGGGACGGAAAAGCAGAGGGGAGGGAAGCGGGGTGTGTATGAGGCGTGTGACAACGCAAGGCGAGGAGCACGTTGTCGGGCTCCTTAAAGCCCTGGCTCGCCTTGTGCAGCTCCTTGAACTTGAACGTGCGCAGCTCGAATGGCGCCGCCGGCATGTCCAGCCCCATCAGCGCGTTGTCGCTCTGCGCCGGCGGTGCTGGGGGCGGGCGGGCGGGGGATGGGGAAGAGTGGCGGGAAGGGCAGAAGGAGTGGGGAGGGGGGAGAAGAGTCGGAAGGGAAGGGGGAGCGGGGGCGGTAAGAGGCCGGAGGAGGGACGGGGAGGGGGGAAGGGGGGAGAACAAGCAACAGCGGGGGAAGAGAGACATGGTGGTAATTTCTCTCGTTCTCCCTCCGCTTCGTAGGTTCGAACTACCACGTATCAAGAAAATCAAATACCTACCTGACCTAACACGAGAAAAGGCAGAAAGCATACCCTGAAATCATTGTTGCCGCTTGTCACAACCCTAACCAGTCAACGCATGAAAAGTACGATGCTTTCCTGTTCCTTCGGTTTCAGCTCTGGTATATTACAGCCTGACACTTCAACGCGTTTAACAAAGATGATGTTTTGCGACAATGTTAGCACAAGAAACGTACGAGGCTTCTCTGGTTCCTTGGGTTTCGGCGGCTCTGGTGCGGATGGCGCGGGTGCTTCATGTCCGTTCACGTTTGCTGGAAGGGGGAAAATAGAGCGTACGAAGAAACGGAGTAAGGGTGGGTAAAAATGGAAGATGGACATTAAAGAGCCAGGAAAAGGATTGTTTTGGTTGGAAAGAAGTGTGAGAGCTGTAAGCGTTAGCAAGTCATTATTATTCGAAAACCGGTAAAAGGACGAAACATTGCGAGGAAACGGGAAAAGCAGGCTGCAAGTGGGACGCCGTCACAAAAAAAAAACAAGAAAGAAGAGCGTTTGACAACGGGAATAGAACGACGGGAACCGAATAGAAGAAATAAATGTCGGCGAAGGAACAAAGAGTCGCAGACTGGAGAAACGCCATACATAGCTCGAGGGAACCAGGAAGGTGACTTTTGAGTCGACTCAAAAGTCAACCTGAAGAAACGCCACACGTAGCTTGAGGAAACCGAAAAGAAACTTTGTATCAAGTAACAAAAGCCAGAACTGGACGGCGCGTCTAAGGTGACATTTGGTTAGACCCTGAAATCGTTCCAATTAAGTTTGGTGAGTGCTTATTGAGACGGAGTTTATTATGAGGCCATGATGTGTCGACTCAATAGTAGCTTTTATTTTTGCACAATAACTAAGACCGAAGAATAATAACTGTACCTTTGGCAGGAGCTTCATCAGTTGGACTCGACTCCGGAAACCGTTGGTCGACCTCCCCTCCTCCCCCTCCCCCTCCTAAGCAGTTACCCATTTCAGATAGTTAGCTCTACAAGACAGCTATGTCTTCAGCAGTCAACGTGTCTTTCCATTGACTCCAGCCACAGCGAAACGTGTAAGCTTTCCAAGTAAGTCGACGACACCCTAATATTCTTACAAATATTATATACCAGCAACTTAATGGTACCCGATTACTAGGCAATGACGACTCGGGCCCTAGAATCAGTCGTAAGAAGCTGCAGCGGAAACCAGGTTCAAATAGTACAAGTTTTAATAATAGGAGATGTTGAAAACGTTAGTGTCTAACTGGCGTGGAAATAAGCTATCAACCTTTCCAAACAACCGGCAATGCCTAGGTCTGGTTTGAGTCGCGCCCTAGACTTAGGTCCCCTTTTCCCAACCGATGCAGGTTAGTTAGGAGAAAGGTAGGTGGAGGGGGCACGAAGGCTGCCTTGGGATTGTCGTGCTTGCCGATTGCGATGTCGCGAAACGATTTTGTATCGAGTACGAAAGAAGAAAGTTCCCTTTGGTGGTCGTTGGATGATGTTGAAACCAGGTGATTCTCAGCCACAAACGAGTACAGCAAGGTTTACTTTTGGCTTTTGGATCCTTCGCGAAGGCAGATTCGAGTACACCCGCCAGCATCACGAAAACTGGGCAGGGACGGTGAGTTTTTACTGTTTCTCGAAACATTTTGCGGCTCCCAAAACACTCTATTATGGGTAAATTCCATGGATGCCATCAGACTCGAGAGGTTACGTCTTTTGCACTACAAATTTTGTTAGTAATGGTGGATACATGGTGCCTCCTGGGTAGCCCGAGACGGGTAAGTAGTGTCAAGTTGGACATCTGGTCGGCTGACTGGGATGTGATTGTGCGGCTCGTTGGAGGCTTGATGGACGTGAGTAGCTGTAATGGGGGGTCGCTATCAAAACTGAAAAGTTCATTACAGGTCTAGAGCAGCCCAAGATTTTATAGACAGTATAAAGAGTATCTATAGTAGTAAGTAAACTATCAGCCAGCCTTCACATTAGCATCACTCCAAAACTAACTTACGCATGACCGCTAACCTAATGCTCTAAATTATTCCGCCTTGGTTGGCTTGGGAGCTGATTTACCACGATTAAGGCGAGATGCCGGTGTGGAGTGCTCTGATTGAGTGAACCTGATAAGCACTTGCATTACGCCGAGTACGGCAGCCACGCCGACAGCGATCCATCCCAAAGTTGCCCAAGTGAAGGTGATCGACGATAAGTTCCGGGTGAAGATCCAGCCATATACCACGAAGTTCAAAACCGTCCAGAAGCACGTGTGCTGTGGAATGTCAGACGCACAGGCGGTGGCATCAATAACACAAGGACAGGCAAAAGGGGCATGGCATGAGACATGGTACAGACACCACCACTGATATAAACCATTGACGTTTGGGATCATCTTCATCACCCTTCAAAAGAAACAGACCAAAACAGAAAGGAAGCAAAAGAACAGCAAAACAGAACTGCAGAGCTCCAGACTGACCAAAATGGATTTCGGAGACTTGGTCGTGTTGAGCCTCATTTTCTCATCGAAGCCGTTGTGTTCAACATAATAATCCAGGTTCTTGTCCTGCTCATATCACATGAGGAGGGGTAGGTGACATAACAAGAGGATTGGGGGAGGGCGAGGAAGCAGGTGAGAACGTCAACGTGGTGAAGGAGGGGAGATGCCTGTGTGAATATGCTTCGTGAAAGAAGAGTGTTTTTTAGAATCTGAATATGCTTCGCACATTGCATAGCAGAGAGTCACAATCTCAAGGCCTCCTAACAGATAGACTCATCAGCCGCGCATCCCCCGCTGTTCCATGCCTAATGAACAACAGACTCGAGTCGTAGACGCAAGGAAACCACCTGACTGGCATGTGCATATGACTAATAGTCACGTGGCAACCTGGGCATGTGCACCCAACGTTAGACACATCTCCACCTGAGGGGCGTGCGCATAGGACCCTAGTCACGCCCCCCGTGCCGCTCGCTCTGCTCTTACCTTTTTCACGTATAATTCTTGGCGCCAAGTGGATTGTGTTGCCCTCTGCATCTGAGAAATCTTGCTTTCAGACATCTCAACACGCCCATTGTGTGCCTCTCACTCTGCTCTTACCTTTTTCACGAACGATTCTTGGCACCACTTGGAGATGCCCTCTGCATCCTGAGGGATTTGGTCCATGGGGACCCGCTCATAGTACACGTCAATCTGAGGGCGATGAGGACGAAAAGGGTAATGGGGTTGGAGAGGATAATGGGGTTGGAAACGCAAGGGATGGGAACGGGAGAGGATATTTGAGTTGTCTCAAGAATCCATTTAGTGATGCCTTGGCATCCTGCGGAATCTGGTGGTCCATGGGGACCCGCTCGAAGTATACGCCAATCTGAGAGCGATGGGGTTGGAGAGGGTAATGGGTTTGGAAAGGGCAAGGGGTGGGAAGGAAAGAGCGATGTCATTTGGAGATTCCCTCTTCATCCTGCGGAATCTGGTCCGTGGGGACCCGCTCGAAGTATACGTCAATCTGAGGGTGATGAGGATGAAAAGAGCAAGGGGTGGGAACGAGAAACAATGAGAATGGTTAAGGGGTGGGGAACGTGAGAGGGTTGACAGTGGGCGAAAGGTGGGAAGGAGAGAGGGGCGAAAATGCTTTAGAATGGGGATGCACAAACGATGGGAACGGACTTGGAAGGAACGGGAGCAGGAGTGGGCTGGTAACACAATGGAATGCTAACAATGGAGTCACTTTAAGCATTCTCAAAAGTGACTCCGTGGGATGGGAACCGAAGCAGCATGGTGGCACAATGGATCGCTATCAACAACCACAATCGAGGCTTCAACACAGAGGGATGGGAACACAGTATGCTGCACGCAGGTGGGGAGATTTTTGAGACGTCTCAAAAATACCCTCAACAATGGTGGCACAATGGATTGCTATCAACAAACCACAATCGAGGCTTCACCACAGAGGGATGGGAACACAGTGTGCTGCACGTAGGTGGGGAGATAGAAGAAGGAATGGGGAATGGGGAGAGAAGGAGGGGCGGAGTGAGGAGGGAGGAGGGAGGAGAAGGGTAGGGAGGAATATTATAAGTGAAAGGCGGCAGGCAGAGAGGCTGATCACTTCCCTTTCTCTTTTTTTTTTTTTTTTTTTTTTTTTTCCAGGTTTTTAGCAAAGACCTGTTGCCAGAAGCGGCTGGCCGCTTACCTGCGAGGCCTTGCGCTTGAAAATGTTAGCGAACGTTGGGGGGTTCTTCCCCACGGGGTAGTTGACGGTGAAGTCATAGATAGCCCCCGCGTGGCCCCGCATCTGCTCCACTGACATCACCAGGCCCTGATTCCAGAGACAGATGCATGGGAAGAGCGGATGAGTGGAGAAGAGGCATATGAGGTAGAGTGGAACCGCTGAACACCTTGGTGCAGGGCACGAACATGTGGTGGGGGGAGGGCAGCTCGGCTTCCTTGGCGTAATCCTGCGCCGCCTTGAGCATTTTTCTTGTGGCGCCCCAACAGCCAAATACTGCTCGGTTCCTATCCACCTTGATGCACTCCTGCCCACCGTACTGCACTCCAGCCCACCGTACTGCACTCCAGCCCACCATACTGCACTCCTGCCTACCCACCTTGGTGCGGGGCACGAGCACGTGGCGGGGGATGGGCAGCCCCGCCTCCTTGGCGTATTCCTGCGCCGCCTTGAGCTTCTCGGGCGTGAAGCGCGTGCCCTCCATGAACAGAGCCACCCAGAAGAACCGCGGAAAGCTGCGCAGCCGAGCGTAGCCGTCCTGAGCGGGCAGGGAGGCAGGAGGGGTGTAGGGACAGGGATTGTCAGGCGTCTTAAAGGGCAAACGGGGAGTGCAAGGCGCCTTGAGCTTCTCAGGCGTGAAGCGCGTGCCCTCCATGAACAGCGCTGTCCAGAAGAACCGCGGGAAGCTGCGCAGCCGCGCATAGCCGTCCTGAGGGAAGGTGGGAGAGAGAGAAACAAACCGGAGGAAGCAAGAACGTAAGAGATAGGGGTTGAGGGAGCAGGGGATACGGGAAGAGAATTCTAGGGGGCTTGTAGCTGCGGAGTACCTGGAAACGGACGAATATGGGGCAATGTTTCGCAAGGGTGGTTATCTTCACAAGTATTCTGCTCAAAAGAGAATTCTAGGGGGCTTGCCGCGCAAAAGAGCACAATTCTTACGAGTATTCTCCGCTGGTCGGTGGCGTAGTTACGGGCGATGAAGAGGTACTCAGAGAACCACATGGACCAGCCAATCACAGGCATCCACTTGGCCTCCTCCTTGATCAGTGCTCGCGTGCCTCCAAGGCAGCCGCACCTCTGCAGTGGCGTGGGAAACAGAGGGGAGGGGCCGGCGATGAGCGGGGAGGACGGAGATGAGCGGAGGAAGAGTGGGTTGGGGGGGGGGGGGGGGGGGGGGTGGGGGGGGGGGGCGGGAGCGAGTGGGGGATATCTCTCCGTTCTGGCGACTCTCCTTCTTCGCATCGTTTCACTGCTCTAATAGCTCCGTGAAGGTTCCGTCCGTGCTTACATGAAACATCAATGTTACTACCCATGTTCCTAGGATGTATGCGAGGCCGCTACAGATTGAGCGCATAATGAGAAGGATCGAGAGACGCCCACCTGGGAGAAAACCCAGCCGATGGCCCAGTCAACGTCGCTGCGGTGGTTGCTCACACACAAGGCGCTCTCCTTGCCTGTCGGACAGCACGAACGGAGGAAAGCGCACGAAGCAAAGAGATTCGCGTGCAGCACGAGCGTAATGAGTAGGTCGCGAAAGGATATGCAGATGCAGAAGACAGCAGGATCATCAGCTGAGTGACGTGTGTGCTTCGCAATGTAGGATCGGTGGGAAAGATGTCTATGTGTTTAAAGTCTTAATCAACCGCGTACCGTAATATGCGTGATCTTTGGGATCGCCGTAGAGCCGGACCTGCGGAACGCGTTGACACACGAGCACAGCGGAATACGAGGTTTCCGTCAGGTGTTGCGTCAACAACGCGTTCTGTCTTACTGAAGAAATAGAGCTTTCTCGTAACTCTCCGTATATTCACTCGTTTAAAGCGACGAATCGGTAAGAGCACGCACCTCGACGCGGCCCCACCACTCGATGAGCCAGATGAGCATGGCCCAGAAGGACCCCATGAGATACCAATTGATGATGCGGTAAGTGCGAGGGCTGATGGGGAACACGAAAATGGAGAGCGCGATCTGCGGAAACGGGCGGGAAATCGAGGAATAAAGGACGGAACGCGAACAAAGAGAGGATGCATAAGTTGAGACGTCGTTAGAGCGGAACTTAGGACGGCGTTTGAAGCTTCGGCTGCGAGATTCGGTAGATTTCATGAGAAGCACACCTGGATGGTGGTGACTATGAGACTTGCTGCAAGAAAGTTGACGGCAATCGGGATGGTGAAGATCACGGAAGCCATGGCGGTCGTGAGGGTCCAGCAAAGACCCGGCTCCCTTTCGCCAGGAATTAGTGAATCAACTAAGCAAAATTACCCCTGAATGGGAAACTAAAACTCCGAAATCAGCCTTGTAAATGGCTGGTAGCTTTGCTGAAATAGCGTCTCTTCCTAGAGTCCGTCCGCTGATGTATGGTTTCAAGGAGGCGTACTGTGCGGTCGGAGTGAAAACCCATTCCCGAAGGGCCACTCTCAACTCGCCCCGTGAATCCTACGGCTGAGAGGCTCCGAACGGCTTGGCGCGAAAATCTATTGGGGAAGGATCGAGGGAATTTGATTGGCAGATGCTCTTTCCTTGATGAATGAGTGCATGGCTGTGGTTCGCAGATTTCTGATGAGGTTCGAGTGAATTGTTACTTCAAAGAAATAACACTTTTGTGCCCACACATAGAAATATATTTGACAAGAGTCAATCCATATAACCATTGATCTAATCATCCCCATTCCTATATTGAGTAACATTATGACTACTTTCCCGACACAGAAGATATGAAAAACTTGTTCTTGAGCCCCATGTCTATAACAAAATTATAGAACATAGGCCCTATCCCCAAAAATGGGAAGATTGTAAGCCCCTAGGAGTCTCTCTCTGGGGTAATGCGGTATCAGATACCCAGCATCATGCACGTTCATTCTAGTGAACCTGGGATTCTAATCCATCAGCCACAAGTCTTCGCGAGGACCATCCTGGTTGACGCTTCACCTGCAACCTTCTCTACCCATATCCTGCTTCAAATTAACGTACATACAGAATCTTCGAAATCGGATATGGATGCAAGATAAGCCTGATGCTTGGCGTCGTGAAGAAGCAAAAATGGAAGACATTGGATCAGTGTGTCGTCCCTGTAACACATCAAGATGTTGCAATTCCCATCATTCCCCACTTACCTGCCGCTTACCATCTTTGTTGTTCTACATGCAGCACCACATGATTCAGAACGCGCATTCCTGGCGCAACTGGCATCTGAGGTTAGAACGAAACGCGTCTTACGATCATGGCTCTAGTTCAGCCAGAGGCGCTTGTGCGCAGCCCAAGAAAAAAGAGCGAGGGGGCTAATCTCGCGATGCGTGGCAGCATTGAAACAACGGCTGCGAGCCTTCTAGAGGCGCTTCGAGCGAAGAACGACCTCAGCTCGGCCGCACTGGCTCGCGCGCAGTGGATCACCAGAGCTAATCTCTGGGAATTAAAAAATAAGCCCATGCAGGCTCAAAACGCGGGTCTGGAGATCCCATCAAACTGTCTATAACTACCAGGAGAGCTTGAAAAGTTGTAGGGGAAAGCAAGCCTTCTAGAGGCGCTTCGAGCGAGGAATGACCTCAGCTCGTCCACACTGGCTGCACGCGCAGTGGATCATCAGAGCTAGTCTCCGGGAATGAAATACGGCCATGCAGGCTCAAAACGCGGGTCTGGAGAGCCCACGAAACTGACTAGAACTACCAGGAAAGCCTGAGAACAAGGCTTCTAGGGGAAAGGAAAACAGAATGAACGGGAGATATTTGGGATGGAAAAACCAGCAGTGCGATTTATACATGGCCAGATGCCTTGAACTGCTGTCACGCGTTCCGCAACGCTGTGGCTCTGGCAAGTTCAAGAGTCCTCGTACGAAGAACCTCGCTCAAGCAACCCTCAAGAAACGGTCGTGCTAGACTAGACGGAGATTTTCGTGCATCCAATGCAGACATCTGTCAAGCGGGCGTAGCGTGGCGTGAAGCATTTTTGCCCGGCAAACCGAGATGAGCGACACGCGTTCCTCCCAGCAGGTTCAGAGATTTTACGTTTCCGAAACATATAATTTGCCTGACCGCCGTCGATTGGGCACATGGTAAAAACTGGAAGTCAAGCAGGGAAGAATCGTGTGATTGGCTGGCTCCATCGCAAACGCGGACAATTATCGCGCAACATCATCGCGAACGATAGTCTTCGAAAGTCTTGCTGAAAGGCCCTCTCAAGTTCAAGCAGTTCGCCCCCAATTCCGCAAGTCACGGCGTCGGTTTTGTGTGGCTGCCTTGGTTGTACACTAAGACAGCATCTAGGAAAGTATTTCGGTAAGAGACTTCAATCCACACAAACACAACATTATATTCAATCAAACATGTACTTCATTTATGGCTCTTATGTGCTCTATAAGCCTTTTTAGCTGAATTTCTACCACATATATACCGTAATGATTTCAAAGTCTTATTTATGGTGTCCCGCTTGGCCCTGGAGTGCTTTCAAGAGCCCCTCCCGCCGATGCTCCAGCAGAGAGTGAACTTGGCAGTGTGTCAGGCGATGGCATGCTCCCCACTCCCTTAGTAATGTCACGCTTGCATAGCGGGCATGTCGGGTGCGACTTGAGCCACTTGTCAATACACGCTGCGTGGAAGTGGTGCGAGCATGGTAACTCCCGTAACACACACCCATCCTCATACCTTACAAGACACACACAGCATTCTGCATCCTCCGCCTCCACATGCCTCTGCCTTGGCGGATGGGCCGAGCCAACCAATGACATGACGCCACCTGTCTCTTCCTCAACTGTCACACGGACGTCCAGCCCATCGCCACTTGGAGAATTTCTGATGCTGCTGTTATTTCCTCCTGCCCGGCCTGCCCGCCTCCAGAGCCCAGCAGCAAGGCCAACCGCGTTGCGCCACATGGCACCGGCAAAGGCAGAGGAGGAGCAGCAGGGGCAGGGGGCGGTTCGGGTGGCTGGAGAGGAGGAGAAGGAGGTGGAGGAGGAGAGGGGGGGAGACGAGGAGAGGCGGAAGGAGGAGGAGCAGGAGTGGAAGGGGCATATGCTGCTGGCTTGGGAAGAGTTGTTGGCGGCGGTGCGATGGCGGTAGAACTTGAACTTGGGGAGAGCTTCGATCTGCTCTCGTGTAGCTCCTTCCTGGAAAGAGCAATGCGGCACCAGGATAACAGGATCGGAGGAAACCTGAGCAGAAAATTGGCAAACTCATGCTTGTCACACTGTCGAGGCTGCTAGCACTTTTCACGCTGTCGAGCTCAAACAACACGCAACCCTCAAGGCGATTCTCAGGAAGTGGTCGTAATTGATGATGCAGCAGCACATGGCCATAACTACACAATGCTCATCCCGCACCCGCTCATGTCATACACCTGATGATGTCGCAATCATTACAGTCACTGTGCTGCCTGCTTGCTCCACTTGCGTGACCTGCATCTGCATAGATGAGAGCGATGATGCAGGGCAGGCAGCAGCATACACCACCATACCCACTCAGTGTTAATCCCACACTCATCACCCATGCCAGGCCCCCTGACTGCTCACTGCACTCGCCTGGTCTGCAACAGCGTAGATGAGAGCAATGATGCAGGGCAGGCAGCAGCACACGGCCATGCCCACAACGCACGCCACAGCCACACAGAAGACGACGAAGAACACGTCAAACGCCAGGAAGGCTGTGGTCGCCCTGATGTGGTGATGCAAAGGAATGTGGAGGTGGAAGGGGGTGGAGATGGGTGAGGTGAGGGAGACGAAAAGTGAAGAGATCAGGAGCAGTTGTGGAAGCAGGTAAGCAGTAAGTAGCACACACGGCCATACCCATGACACACGGAATGGCCTGCTACTGGTCGTGGCCATTACGCATGACACACGTAATGGCCTGCTACTGGTCGTGGCCATTACGCATGACACACGTAATGGCCTGCTACTGGTCGTGGCCATTACCCATGACACACGTAATGGCCTGCTACTGGTCGTGGCCATTACCCATGACACACGTAATGGCCTGCTACTGGTCGTGGCCATTACGCATGACACACGTTATGGCCTGCTACTGGTCGTGGCCATTACCCATGACACACGTAATGGCCTGCTACTGGTCGTGGCCATTACCCATGACACACGTAATTGCCTGCTACTGGTCGTGGCCATTACCCATGACACACGTAATGGCCTGCTACTGGTCGTGGCCATTACCCATGACACACGTAATGGCCACACAGAACACGATGAGGTGAAGGGAAAAGGAGAGCAGTGGAAGCAGTCTACTCTTGAGGTGCTTCATAATTGGTGGCGTGTCAAGTGTATGAGTAGAGGGCATGAATCTCATCAGGAGAGGGTCTCACCAGGAGAGGATGGGCGCGTCTTTGAAAGAGTCGTCGATGGTGGAGAGGATCCACGTGAAGCCGACGAGCCACCAGGCGAAGGAGAACATTGTGTTGGCTGACTCTACGCGCCGTGCCAGGCTGCAATAGGGTGAGAGGGTGAGAAGGAGAGAGGGAGGCATGAGAGCAAGCAGGAGAGAGCATGAGAGGAAGTGAGCTCGAGCCACCAGGCAAAGGAGAACATTGTGTTGGCTGACTCTACGCGTTGTGCCAGGCTGGAATAGGTGAAAGGGAGGGAAAGCAAGAGGGAGAGCAGGAGAGAGAGAGAAGGAGAGATCACGAGAGCAAGCTTGAGCCACCAGGCGAAGGAGAACATTGTGTTGGCGAACTCTATGCGGTGTGCGAGGGTGGAGAAGGTGGGGGGGGAGGAAGAGGGAAATGGTGCGTGGGGGGTTAGGGAATCATGGTGGAGAGAGGGAGGGTCAGGTGGTGGGTGGAGCATGGGAGAGTGGAGGGGAGCACACTGCAGTGCTTCTTACTCACCTAAGAGAGAGGAAGGGAAACCAACCACCGCAGTGCTTCTTACCTCTGATCTGAGTCGTCCGATTCACCTTCATCCACAGCTCCCACCATCATCTCTTCATCATCCACCGTCGATCCTTCCTCACCCCTCATTCTTCCGCCCGCCCTTGCCTGCCCATCCCCCCTCCCATCCTCCCCGCCCGCCCTCTCCTCCCCCAGAAGCCCCTCAAGCGCCTCCCCTTCGCGCGCTTCCCTTTCCAGTAACAGAGCCCGTCCCGTTATAAGCACAGACGCTGCTTCGTCTAGAGTCGCCACTCTACCCGCGTCCCTCCTGCGTAGAATGGAGATGAATTCCTCTTCTCTCTCCCTTTCGCTACGGCTGCCCGTCATTTCCACATTTCCTCTGCCATCCCCTCTCCCCCCCATCCCCCCCCGTTCCCCCGATTGGTCCCGCGACGCATCGAATCGCGTCCCCTCCCCATCCCCCGCCGCCTCCCCCGCTTCACCCCTCCCACTATTCACGTTCTCGTCCCCCTCGTTCGCTTCCCCGCCCCCCCTCATCTCCCTCCCTCTCTCCCTTTCCCTATCCCTCCGCTCTCCCCTTGCGCGCCTCCCCCTCCTCCCCCTCCCCCGCCCGCGTCTCCTCTCCCTGCGCTGCTCCCGCTGCTCCCGCTGCTCCCGTACGCGCCGGCTCTCCCGCCGCTCGTGCTCCAGCAGAACGCAGATCACGTGCACGGCGCATTGCACGGCGTAACCGAGTAACCAGATGGACAGCGGCGCGGGCGGGCGCTCGTTGCGCGCCTGGCTTATAAAGAGCGTGATGGCTGTGACTACAACGAAGGCGAGGTTCCAAAACGCGTCGAGGATGACCACAGGGCGGGAATAAGCCCACGTGCTGGGTTGCGGGTCGGGCAGCTGAAAAAAAAAAAGAAGCAAATAAGCAAACAAAAACTAGATGTAAATCAAATACACACAACTGGCATGGGAGAATGAACGAACAAAAGCAGGAGCCAACACGCTATCAAGAAACGAATGGTGCACGGGTAGGTTCGGGCCCGACCTGTTCCGGAGCTGAGGCTCGACGAGGCGACTGCCGGCGGCGCATGAGCTGCTGCATCCCAACCTGCTGAATCAGCCTCGCGGCGTCCAATGCCATTGCGCCACCTGTCCTCGACCACGGCTGCGCCGCGTCGCTCTCTTCGAACTGCGGCGAGGGCGGCGACGGAGAGGGCGATTCGCCTGGAGTTGACGAAAAGTCGTCGCGAGGAGTTGACGGATCGCTGGATGACGCGCCGAAAGACAGAAGCGCTTCGGTTTCCGAATCAACGGCTCCGGTGACGGCTGTGGCGGCGAATTCGGCCGCGGCGGATTCGGCAACGGCAACGGCGGCGGCGGTGGCGGCTGCGATGGCGGCGGTGTCGTTTGTGATGGTGAGGCTACCATGGCTGTTTCCATAGCCATTGCTGTTGTCGCTGCTGCTGCTGCTGCTGCTGCTCTCGTCGCCTCTTCTTGCCCGGCTGCCGCAATCCAGACCGCCCGCGTGGCCCTCTTTCCTGTCGCCCATGCTGGTCGCCGTTTCCTCTTTAAAGGCTACGGCCTACTATTCCAGCTGATCGCTCTCTGTTTCTTATAACCGGAGAATTAGAAAAGGGCCTAAGGAGGTGACGCTAACGGTAGGAGATGCGCGCAACTGAAGGCGCCTAAGAGTGTCGGGATCTCGGAATGCGACGTCTCAATCCACCATTTTTTTTTTTCGGTTTTATTAATCGGCTGGACTACTGACGACTTTTGAGTCGACTCAAAAGACTACAGGGGCCGCGGGTTGGCAGCGTATCTGCCTGGGCTGAATCCCATTGCCAGGGACAGCTAGACGGTTCACTGACTAAGGAACTTAGCGCATTCGCAAGGGGCAAAGCTGTGGTGAGTCAGCGCGTAGAGGGAATGAATCACGCTATTGATAATGATGCATGAAGACTTGGTGGGTGGTGCCGCATCATCCACTCAAAGCCACACATGAGGAAGCAAGGCGAGGAGAAGGGTGTAGGGAGGAAGGGTGGTCGTCACATCCTCGGCACACTAGATCTTGGTTTGGAGGGAGTGTGCACCCATCCGCCATGCGTCAGCGGACAGGGACGGCCGAGGGTATGAGGGAGAGGGCAGATTGGGTTGGGATGGGGGTGGAGGTGGGTGGGGGGGAAAAGGACGGGGCGGAGGAGACAAAGGGAGGAAAAGGGGCGAATTTCAGGAGAGAATGGAATGCGGTTGAGGCGTGTGGCGGCAATCTAGGGGCAAGCGCTTTGTAGGGGGGATTTGCAGGTGAAGGTTGGATTGGAAGAGCAAGCCGCAGATCTGTGCGAAAACAGATGTCTATTGGCGATGCGATAGACGGCCGAGATGTGCGTCGGGTTTGTGTGTGGGGGAATGTGATCTCTCTTATTGGTGGCGACGAGATCCTCCGCTGACGAATTTCTGAGCGGATTGAACAGGTGGTCCGGGTGGGGTTGCGAACTCTGATGACGACCCGCGAAGGCGGCGTTGCTTATCGAGACGCTGAACCACGTGGCGAAAAGAGATTTGTTTATTTGCGCCCTCGCGCCTCGTATGGGGGCTCGGAGGCGGCTTGGCAGGATACGGACAACACCTAATATCCCGCATACGCGATTCCTCAATCGCAGATAACTAGTCTGTAGTGTTTCTCATTCAGCTAAAGAATGAAAACATAACATTTTTAATGACGGTTACAAACAAACTCATAGATCTGTTCGTTTTGACGACATCAATGCTTGGTGAACTGGCAATGCCTAGTTTGCATGTGCGTAACGGATTACCTTATCTGGAGGATAGAGCTGAGGCTGAGCCAACCCACGCAGAGCACTCGCCTTATTGTCAGCATGCGCGATTCGGCAGGACGACACGCGATCACGACTCTGCGACAATGCCAGCCTGTGAGACCCATGTTCCTCTTTATATTCCTAATGCATCGTGTCGTGATTATCCGCCTTACGTTACGTCTAACATCACTCACGCGCTCTGGACGTCCTTACCACGGATACCTCACGCCTACGTCTTACGGCTCGCCAAGAATTCGTCCTGGATTTGCAAGAGCCGTCTCCCGCGCATGCGATGCAGTTTCCCGAGTCCTCTGAGCGATTGGCTCGAAAACATCGCGACTTCACTTTGGCAAACGTGCCTTCTGGACGACATGCCTGTCGCTCATGGCGGCTCGCCAAGCTACGCCTCTCTGGCGCCACGATTTCCGAACGAGCCGCGTCGAAACGCCTGGACGTATCATTTCGCGATGGAAAACCCCCTGGGATCCGCCTTGTGCTTTGGCCGACCCAAGTTCTTTCCGATATCGTCGCTAGCAACGCCGCGTAAGCTCGTTGTTCATCAGCATCACCTCAACAAGGGCAGTCCTCCGTTTTCAACTTAATCAGCATCACCTCAGCTTCGTCGTACAGGTTCCTGTCATTGCGGAAGCCGTTTCTTCCTAGTCGATTCAATAGTCTCGGCATGGCGCAGTGGGGAGCGCGAAGGCCGCGATCGACGCCATCAGCCGGCGGCGGCGGCGGCGGGCGCGTCGCGCACGCTCGCGACGCGAAGGTCATCACGCTCGTGGACGACTACGAGGATCGCAAGACCGGAGCCGTCGGATTGACGCGCGATCAGCGCGTCTCGCTCGAGTTCAAGCCGTTCGATAGCCAGACCTATCTGCATCTCCGCAATAGGCGCATGGCGGTTCTCTCCAAGGCCGCGATTCACGGCGCCGGCCTCGGTAGCGTCGGGAGTGTCGCCTCTCGGAGCTATAGCGAGGACGACTGGGAAGACTATGATCCCGAAAACGAATATGCGTATAACGAGTACGGCGATAGTGAGGGCAGCGGCGAGGACTCTCCGAGGCGAGGCTGCGCGAGGCGGCCGCGCGAGCCGGAGCTGTACGACGCAATTCGGCATCCCCTAAGCGAAGCCCTCGACGCGGTTCGCGAGAAGCTCGAGCGCCGCGCGCTGATGGTCGGCGGAGGCGGAGGCGGAGGCACGGGAGGGGGAGGGCGCGCGCAGGGGGGAGTGGAGCGGGTGAAGCTTCTGGTGCGGCTGGGGAAGCTTCTCTTCTCCGTGCAGGGCAGGCCGGAGTGAGTGCAGTGTTGCCGCTATTTTCTTATGCTCGTCGTTTCAAGCTGTTTCGCCCCTACTCCTCATAGTGATCCCACCTGGATCCTTCTGCATCCTCCCTTCTTTGAATTGAAACCCCCTCTTCTCCCCTTCCCGCTTCCCCCTTCCTCCCTCCCCCCCTCCTCTCCCCTCCTCCCCTCTCCCTGACTTCCCCAGTCCCAGCGCTACCCTGACCAGCATCCCGCCATTCTCAGCTAAGAAGTTTTAAGACCACATGAACGAGCATGCACCATTTGCAACGCCGGTTGATTTTCTGTGATTTTGACCCCCCTCCTCTCCCCGTTTCTCCTCCTCCGCTTCCACCATTTTCCATTCCCCCCTTCCCCAGTCTCAGCGCTACCCTGACCAACATCCCGCCCTTCTCAGCCAAGACATTCGAAGACCACATGAACGAGCATACACCGTTTGTGAAGCAGGTGTACCGAACCTATGAGAGTCACCTCCCGGAGAGTGCATATCAGCAGGTGGAGGACATGCTGCTGGGGGATGCCCAGGTGGCGCACTCGCTGGGGGAGAAGTACAACATTCAGGTCGGTTGAGAGCGGTTGATAGAGGTTGAAAGAGGTCGAAAGTGGTTAAGTGCGGTTGGAGTGAGTTGAGGTGTACCGGACCTACGAGAGCCACCTCCCGGAGAGTGCATACTTGCAGGTGGAGGACATGCTGCTGGGGGATGGACAGGTGGCGCATTCGCTGCGGGAGAAGTACACCATTCAGGTGAGTGCAGGTGGGTTGAGAATGGTTGACAGTGGTGGAGTTCGTTTCAGAGTGGTTGAGAGCTGTTGAGGTTATTTTCTTAGGTGATACTGGACCTATGAGTGCCACTTCGAGGAGAGTGCATACCAGCAAATGGAGGACATGCTGCTGGGGGATGGGCAAGTGGCACACTCGCTGAAAAAGCATGTCAATTCAGGTGAGCACAGGTCGGTTGAGAGCAGTTGAGAGCGGCCGAGGTGGGTTGCACACAATCTACTGTCTCAAATTGTTCCTGCTTGCAATGCAGTGCTAAGAGACAGGTTTTTTATTCCCTCGCATGCACTGCAGCAGGATGGGATTAGACTGGAGAGTCGCTAAAAGGCTTGTATCAGGCCGTTCAAGGCAGCCTCACTGCTGGTTGTTCTGGCTACGCCTGTGATTGATTGCGTGCTGATTGTCAGGTGGTGGACACGAGGGAGCACATCGTGTACAAGGCGGTCTGCAAGCACAGCCCTCACGAGCAGCGCTTGATTGTGAAAAAGGTGCAGTGGCTGGTTCAGGGTAAGGTTAGGTTAGGTTAGTGCACATGGTGAACAATGAGGTGACTTTTGAGTCGACTCAAAAGTCACCTCGTTACAACGGCACCCTAGTGCACATGGTGAACAATGGCTGGTATGTTCCGTGCAGTGCAGGCAGCAGGTCTCAAATTGCGGTTGAACTTTCTCATTTCTGGCCTCGAAACCATTCTAACATGCTCGATGCTGCTCGGTAGATTTCAACATTTCTCAGCTTTTCTCAGTATGCCGCTGTTTGTTCTCGGTATTTCATAGAATTTCTCTGCTTTTTTCAGAATGTCTCTCTCTGCTTCTCCATGGTGCCTCACATGATGATTAAGAATGCTCTCAGTGCTCTCAGTTGACTCGATGCTCTTGTACCTGTGAATGCAGGTGAAGGAGCCTGGTGACTTCTGAGTCGACTCAAAAGAAGTGACTTTTGAGGCGACTGACTTCTGAGTCGACTCAAAAGAATGCTCTCAGTGCTCTCAGTACACTCGATCCCTAAACCTTAAACCCGAAACCCTGTGAATGCAGGTCAAGAAGCCGCCTGTGCGCCACGCACTATTCGACATTGCACGCCCCGACAAAGTTGTGGACGCACGCTTGATCCTCATCACTGAGACGCATCTGACAACACTAGATGTAAGCACCAAGACACCAACCCCGTCGTATTGTCCACAGGATTTTGTTTCAGAAAGCTTCCCTACTGGCATGCCTGTTTCTCTACTGTGTTTTGTTTTTAATACGCCCTTTGCCTTCTGCATAGTCTGGTCCCTCTCTCCCCATCTCCCCATAATCCCACTTGGCAACATTCCACATGATAATGACATCCATGCAAATCAATTCTTGAGACCAGCATAGCTACCCATGCTAGGGCACAACGCTCCCTCCTTTCCTCCACTTCATTCCTGCTTAAGTGATTTCTTTGCACCCGAACCCCCTTCCACCCCTTATCCTTCCTCCCCCATCTGCTCAAACCCCCCACTCCCCTCCACTCCACTTCAGGGTGAGCTGCAAGTGGCACTTGACAGGATTCTCGAGGCCACCAAGATTGACCAACAGAGCCCTGCAGGGCTGCGCATCCCACCTCACATGACAGAAACCCATGGAAGTAGGGGCTATGGTGGTGGTGGTGGCATGGGATATGCCACTTCTAGGGGCTATGGTGGTGGTGGTGGTGGGGGGGGGGGGTGGGAGCAGCAGGTTCGTGGTGCGAGCGGTGCGGCATGCCACGACGAGGCGGGCGGAGGGGAGAGGGCGGGTGTGGAAGCTGTGTCGTGTGGACGGGGTTGAGTTCAAGGAGGGAGGCGGGCGGCACACGAATGAGATCGAGTTCTGCCCGGTTGCATGGCAGCAGCAGCTTAAGGTACGAAGCCGGTTTGGCATGTGACCGTGCAGAAGGCAGTGGGGAGGGGGCGGGTGTGGAAGCTGTGTTGTGTGGATGGGTTTGAGTTCAAGGAGGGAGGGGGTCGGCACATAAATGAGGTTGAGCTCAGCCCGGTTGCATGGCAGCAGCAGCTGAGATCCATTGCTAATTCTTTAGAGCGGATGCATGCATGGCTGCAGACATGGTGCACGGTCACATGCACATAAGCATGCAACTCATTGTCGCGCCCCCGTTTCTGCTTGCTATCCCTCTCACCTTGCTATCCTGCTGGTGCGGTCATCCTCCCACACCAGGGTAGTCATGCTGAGCATAACAGCCACAGGGAGCAGCAGCCTCCCGCGTGGACAGCCGAGGAGATCATGACAGAATGCCCTGGGTTGTTGTCATGGCTGAGCCAGAACCTTCCGTAAATGCAGCTAGCAGTGGCCTTTGGGCAGCGGGAAGTGCAACTTGGTTGATTTGTCGCGGAAGAATAGATGGGGGGATGCGATGGGGAGCAGTTGCATGGAGCGCTGCTTGCACCCTTGGGTGAAGAGCCCAGCAGGGTACGTGTGTCAACAGCGATGCGATCTGGATTGCTGGAGTTTGTTGATTTTTTTGCTTGTAGATATGATCGTTGAGGCGCACTAGCAGGGTTCTAGGATGTATGGTTATACTCAAAACGATAGGTTGGAATAGTAATTCTAGGTCGTTATACCTGCTAGTGAATTCCACAATTTCAACTTACAGCGAACTCTGTGTATTTCCCACCACTTCGCTTCGTCACCATCACACCTGAATCTTAGGGCCGACGAGGCCAGCAGGGCCTTGAGCACGCGGTTGAGTTGGACACGGTAGGATACGGTCCGTTGGAGGTTGGGGTGGGTTGAGAATGAGCGAATGGGGCGAAGATGACCCCCTGCTGACAAAAGCGTTTTGGCGACAAATTATGGCTTCACTGGAATACTCCTGGTTCCTCCTACGAAGCAGTATGCAGAACGACCGTCTCTGTGCTGGCGCACTGAAAGGTACAACTTCCAAGCCTGAACAACTATCTCGTACGATAAGCATGGCGACTTGGTAGTTTTTACGGGGCAAGAACATTTCGAGCTGACATGGCCTGATTACGACATAGGCACACGCATTGAAACTTCGAACATACAGCGAAGCGCGCATGCTGTGCATTTCTGAGATCCAGTAGTATGGGCACCACTCGGAACAGACGCTCTTGGACTTCCTCGTTGCATCCGCGCTAGCTTCATACGTTAGAATCAGTTTTTTAAGTCGACATTGACAAACCTCTTCGCAGTTTTGCTCCGACGCTCGACTTCTATCATTCGTCGCGGCTTTTCTCTATCATGACTGACAGAGACTCGCGAAGGGTAATTCCACTAGTGCTCAGATCCAAACGACCCATTTACCATTCCAGCGACGTGCGGTTACTAGCGCTCGTGGACGATTACGAAGACAAGAAGGCCGGCGATCTTATTTTCACGCCGGACCAGAGAGTTTCCCTTCTTTTTAGAGAATTTCGCAACCAGTGCTATCCCCATCTGGGATATACACTTCTTGCCGTGCTTGGCAAGGCTCCATTCCAAGGAAATGTCGAAAACTGGCTATGTAAGAGGAATAGCACTTCTGGTGTTTGCGAGCATGATTTTGGTACGGAGCCATGGTCGCTCCATGGAGATGCTAACAGCGAGGATAGCGAAAACCTTACAGGTTTGAATGGGGAGGGCAGCGGGAACAGCAGGGGAAACGAGGACAGCCCAGAAGAGGCCCCAATGATGATTGCAATTCGGCAGCCTCTGATCGAATCCCTCAATCTGGCTCGAGAGAGAATTGAGCAGCGGGCTCTGGAGGTGGGAGATGCTGGTGATTGTGGCGAGATTGAGAAGATGAAGCTCCTGGTTAGACTCGGCAAATTGCTATTCTCCGTGCAACACAGGCCTGGGTACGTGTGCTCTCGTGTACCAGGTGTGATCGTGTATTGTTATTCATCTAAGGTGCCTGCACGCACTTGGTGTGACCGCATCCTGTTATTTCAGTCCGTTTCGCATCTTTGGTGCTTCTCATACTTCCTGCCCTTTCGTTTTCTGATCCCAGCAAACACTTTCGTGGAAAGTCCCTTTCATCAAGGTTTTGACTGGGTTCTTCAATTCCTGCTTTTTCGCCAGGAAATTTCAACCCAGAAATAATTTCCTCCTCAATCAAAGCCCCGCCGAATGAATTCCTACTTCCTTTTGTTCACTTCGCTTTCCAGGGAGTCTTTATCGAGGATTCCATCATTTTCTGCTCAAGCGCTGGAGAATCACATGAACAAGCGAGCATGGTTCAAGGTCCCGATTCACCGGACGTTTGAGACGCACGTCCCTGACAGCATCTACAGCAAATTAGAAGACATGCTGATGAGGGATGCCGGTGATTCATGCCAAGCGGCTGCTCTGAATACATCTTGTGAGAAGTACAACATTCAGGTATTTATGCGGTGTTGGCTGTTGCTCGAGTGCATGTCTATAAGGAGGTGACATGTATGATTGATTTGTGGTATTTGTGCCTGTTCAGGTTATTGATACTGAGGCACGCATTCGCTATAAGGTGGTGTGTACATATCTTGCAGAGGAGCGACAGTTTTATGTAAAAAAGGTGGGACTAGCTGGGAGAATGGGAATTGATGCAAGCTCGTCCCGGGATTATTGATTTATTATTATTATTATTTTAACCGCCTAAAATACTGGCCTATTACTAAATGCGATATCTTAAAGATGATTGTACTGGTTCCTGGCTGTTTCTGCGAAATCAGGTGAAGAAGCTGCCTCTGCGTTACGCAGTCATCGACATAGGACGGCCTGAGAAGGACGTGGATGCTCGCTTGATTTTGTTCACAGAAGCACATTTGAATACGCTGGATGTGAGTCGCGTATGCATGCATGTGATGGCATTTGCATGCATGTGATGGCGGTTGCATGCATGTGATGGCATTTGCATGCATGTGAGTGGCATTTGCATGTGAGTGGCGTATGCATGCATGTTTCAGTGGCATATGTATGGATGTGAGCATGTGTGTGCATGGATGTAAGTGGCATGTGCATGCATGTAAAAGCCTTATGCATGCATGTATGTATCAGTGGCGTGGTATATGCATGGATGTAAGTAGCATATGCATGCATGCGAACTTTGAATTTTCAGTGTGAAGGCAGTCTCAAGCCTTGACATATAACTTCAGAGAGTTTCAACAATGAATGTGCATGCTCAAAATCAAACTAGATACACAACTAAGATCCTGTATGTGCATTTCCAGTTCTCCTATTCATCTGAATCCTGTCTTGCATTGCAACCCCATACAGGATGAACTAGATGTTGCAATTAAACGGATTTTAGAGTTCTCACAGATCGACTCTTGGACACCAGGAGGGCTACACATTCCAGCTCACATGACCGAAGGCTATGAGTGTTCAGCTCCTGGTTATGGTAGCGGCAGTTGTGATGGCTTTGGTAGGGCGTTTGGAGAAAGGAACGGGCAGAGCGACAGAAGCAGAAGGTTCCAAGTGTGTGCGGTTCGGCATGTGACTGTACGGAAGGCGTTGGTGGGAGGGAGAGTGTGGAAGTTTGCACGAGTGGATGGGATTGAGTACAAGCAGGGAGGTGGGCGGCGGACAAATGAGATTGAGTTTTGCCCGATTGCATGGCAGCATGACCTTAAGGTATGAAGCGGGAACTTGGGTTCTTGAACTATGCGGGCAGCGCTTGTTGTGCTAATGTCATTGTCATCATGTGATAGCATGCCATAGGATAGCATGCATACATACTTGGCTAGCAGACACTCACTCTGACCGTCACACACCATCACCATCACATTCAAGAGCTTTACCATCACATGTGGCACTGTAAGCATGAGGACCTGTTGACTTTTCACCATCACATGTGGCACTGTAAGTATGAGGACCTGTTGACTTTTCACCATCACATGTGGCACTGTAAGTATGAGGACCTGTTGACTTTTCACCGTCACATGTGGCACTGTAAGTATGAGGACCTGTTGACTTTTCACCATCACATGTGGCACTCTAAGTATGAGGAGCTGTTGACTTTTCACCATCACATGTGGCACTGTAAGCATGAGGACCTGTTGACTTTTCACCATCACATGTGGCACTGTAAGTATGAGGACCTGTTGACTTTTCACCATCACATGTGGCACTGTAAGTATGAGGACCTGTTGACTTTTCACCGTCACATGTGGCACTGTAAGTATGAGGACCTGTTGACTTTTCACCATCACATGTGGCACTCTAAGTATGAGGAGCTGTTGACTTTTCACCATCACATGTGGCACTGTAAGTATGAGGACCTGTTGACTTTTCACCATCGCATGTGGCACTGTAAGTATGAGGACCTGTTGACTTTTCACCGTCACATGTGGCACTGTAAGTATGAGGACCTGTTGACTTTTCACCATCACATGTGGCACTGTACGTATGAGGACCTGTTGAATTTTCACCGTCACATGTGGCACTGTAAGTATGAGGACTTGTTGACTTTTCACCATCACATGTGGCACTCTAAGTATGAGGAGCTGTTGACTTTTCACCATCACATGTGGCACTGTAAGCATGAGGACCTGTTGACTTTTCACCATTACATGTGGCACTGTAAGTATGAGGACCTGTTGACTTTTCACCATCACATGTGGCACTGTAAGTATGAGGACCCGTTGACTTTTCACCATCACATGTGGCACTGTAAGTATGAGGACCTGTTGACTTTTCACCATCACATGTGGCACTGTAAGTATGAGGACCCGTTGACTTTTCACCATCACGTTCACAATGTTTTTCCCCATCACCGTCACCATCACCATCACATACAGCAAGCACTGCGAGCCTAGTCTAATTTCAAGCAGTATCCCACACAAAGCATCAACTCTCTCTCTACTGCTCCCCTAACTTAGAAGCCTCAGAATTTTTGTTCCAAGGATTTTCTTCTCTTTCCACAGTCTGCATGCATCAAGCACTCCTGATTCAGCCACTCGCCCCTGCCATCCTACCCACTGCTCTGTTCCTCTCCCTTGCTTAGTATAGCATTGGCAGACCTGTTTGCCCTTGCACACAATATCAGATCCCATTTTGCCTTCGCCAATGCACCTGCTGCTGTGTTCGTTCCCTCCCCTGTTGCCGTGCCACCTGCTGGTGCATTTGTTCCCCTGGCTCAGTGTGGCACAGGAGGGCCTGGGAGCGCAAGGGAGCAACAGGCCCCGACATGGAGCGCTGGGGACATCATGGCGGAGTGCCCTGGGCTGCTGGCTTGGCTGAGCGAGAACTTGCCATAAACGCAGGGCAAATGCCAGAATGAAATACTATACTGGGAGAGGTAGGGTAGGGTGGCGCTGGGGGGCGTGGGAGCGGCAGGGAGCACCAGACCCCTGGGCTGCTGGCTTGGCTGAGCAAGAACCTGCCGTAAATGCAGCAAATAATGGGGGGGCTGACAACCCCTGGGAGACGAACCCTTCCAGGTGGACCACATAAGCGATCATATTGGACTGCCCTCCACCTCCACTGCTGGCATGCCCAAGTGAGAGAATGGATGGGGAAGAGGAAAGGGTGTGTAAATAGTGAGGTTGCATTCTTATCGCGTGTCATATATCATTTCATCAGCCCTTAGTCTCCAGTTTGTCTTTTTCCGAACTTTGAATTGCCTCACCATCACAAATGAGTCACTGCAGGTCTTCCGAACCTCCACTTTGTGTTTGACCTGATGTAGTGCAGACTATAGCCTACACAGAACTAGTATATATATAGTTTGACAGTCAGGGTACACTCGTAACCCGGAAGTTCTATGGCACTGCTGCAGCGCGCGTTTTCTCTAGCGCGTTGCCCCACCTGTAGCCCCGCGCGTTGCCTGCCCCTGCCGCGGCTGCCTGCTACACCCCGTCGCACCACCCCGCGCCCTGCCCGCGCGCTGCCTGCCTTGCCTGCGCGCTGCCTGCACAGCCGGCGCCCTGCCCGCGCGTTGCTGGCGTCGCTTGCGCGCTGCCCCTAAGGCTCGCCCTGCCCGCGATCTGCCTGCACTGCCAGCGCACGGCCCTAAGCGCCCTGCCCGCGCTGCCCTGCGCCCAGCCCGCCCTGCCAGCACTGCAGCCACTGCTACGCTGCTCCTGCTGCCAGCGCCGCACTGCCCCGCCGTGCCCGAGCCGCGCGGCACCGCCTGAACCGCGCCGCACTGCCCGAGCCGCGCCGCACTGCCCGAGCCGCGCCGCACCGCCCGAGCCACGCCGCACCGCCCGAGCCGCGCCGCCCTGCTGAGCCGCGCCACACTGCCTAGTTGCCTGGCAGATAGGTTTCTACTGCTGCACTGCTACTTCTACTATTGCTGCTACTGCTGCTTGCCTGCAATCGCTCTGCCCTGCCAGTCCCGCGCCAGCAGCTATGGCCACCCTCCGCGTTCTGTCGTTCGATACTGAGGGCCGCCCGATTCAGTTTGAGACCTGGCTCGATGACCTGCCGCTGTTCCTAATGAGCGATAGCAAGGATAATGTCTCTCTCTTTGACCACACGTCTGGTGCCTCCGTCGCTCCTGCTGCCACAGCAGAGCTTAGCGCCCGTTCCCAGTGGCAGACTCGTGACGCCGCAGCTCGTTTAGCCGTTCGCAACCACCTTCCGTTAGCCGAACTCACGCATTTTGGCGAACACAAAACCGCTAAGGCCCTGTACGACGCTGAAGTTGCTCGGTACTCCTCCCCTGCCACTGCTGCTATTAGCCGCCTCATGCTGCCCTACCTGTTTCCTGAGCTGTCCACCTTTGCCACAGTTGCCGATCTTATCACCCACCTTCGCACTAGTGATACTCGCCTTCGCGCCGCCCTCCCCAAAGAGTTCCTAGCTAAGAACCCGCCTCCGATGTACTGGACCCTCCACTTCATAGTGACCCGTCTCCATGACTCTCTTCGCTCGGGCAGGGACCACTTTCTCGCTCGCTGTCCCACCGATCTCACTGTCGACCTCCTAGAGGAGCAGCTTCTAGCCGCCGAGACCAGCACAGTCACTGTAGGTGCTGCTCATGGCGCTCCTTGCACCCCCATCTTTGAGGGGTGCTCTCCCTCTCCCCTTGCCCCCTCCTACGCTACTGCCGCTGTTGTTGACTACCTTGGTGCTGAGTCTGTTGGTGCTGCTTCTGCTCATAGTGGGAGGCGCCGCAGCGGCAAGGGCAAGGGAGCCAAGAGCAGTGGAGGTGGCACCGGAGGGGGTGGGGGAGGCGGAGGTGGCGGAGGGAGTGGTGGCGGGAGTGCTGGCGGGAGTGGTGGCGTCGGTGGCGGCGGTGGGAGTAGCGGTGGGGGCGGTGGCGGCGGAGGGGGTGGCGGCGGCGGTGGCGATCGGGGCGGCGGTCGGGGCGGCGGTGGCGGTGGCGGTGGTGGTCAGGGCGGAGGCGCTGGCGCTGGCCAGAGATAGCAGCAGCAGCAGCGTCCTCGTGAGGCTCTTACGCCCTAGCAGCTTCATGAGTGGCTGGCTTAGCGTGGGAGTCTGGGGGTAGTGGTCGCTGCCCGTATGTCATTCGCACGGGTGACCGCGCTGGTCAGACATGCGGGAAGTTCCACACCCAGCACCGCTGCTTCTCCCGCCTTGACGACGCCTGGCGTGAGGAGATGGGCGAGGAGGTCGAGCGCCCTCACTAGCATGAGCTGCTTAGGGCTGGTGTAGACATCTTTGCTCTTGACTTTGATGCTATCCTTGCTGCCGTGTATGCATTGACTGTTAGTGCTGAGGGAGACTTTTACTTGTGTGTGCCGCCTGACCCAGGTATAGAGGCTGCTGCATTAGGTGCGAGCGAGTCTGCTCTCTCAGGTACTACGCCTGCTGAGGCCTTGTACACCTTCACGCTTGACTCAGGTGCTTCTCGCTGTTTCTTTCGTGACAGTACTGCACTCACACCACTCACTGCACCTGTCGCAGTCTCTCTGGCTGAAACCTCAGGAGGCCCAGTTCTTGCACGATCCACCACTGTGCTCCCGTGCTCGGCGGTTCCGTCTGGCTCACTGTCAGGCCTCCACCTCCCCTCGTTCTCTACAAACTTGGTGAGTAACGCCGTCCTTCAGGATGAATGGGTTAATACCATTACTCCTGGAGGACAGCGTGTGGCGATCTGCACGTGTGCACGGACGGGCCGTCACCTGGCCACATTTACCCGTCGGCCAGGGTCGAGTCTTTACACACTGACGACTGCGCCTCCTCAAGTAGTTGCTACCGATCAGGTGTCTGCGTCAGGTCAAGTAGCCTCCCCTTGTTCGTGTCGCTCCCTGTCGCACCAGACTCTTCTCTGGCACCACCGTCTGGGTCACCCCTCCTTGCCACGTCTACGTGGCATGCACCGTCGCCTCCTTGTGTCTGGTCTTCCCAGGTCTCTCCCTCCCCTCCCTGCCTCGCCTGCGCCGCCCTGCCTTCCTTGTGTTGAGGGGCGGCAGCGCGCCGCTCCTCACTCCTCCTCGTTTCCCCCGACAGAGGCTCCCCTGCAGACCCTCCACATGGACGTGTGGGGCCCAGCCAGCATTCGTGGACAGGGCGCCGAGCGGTACTTTCTGCTGGTTGTCGACGACTACTCGCGTTACACCACGGTCTTCCCCTTGCGCACCAAGGGTGAGGTCCCTGATGTCCTGATCCCTTGGATCCGAGCAGTTCGTCTCCAGCTCCGCGAGCGGTTCCACCAGGAACTCCCTGTCCTGCGTCTGCACTCTGACAGAGGTGGTGAGTTCTCCCCTGACCTCTTGCGGGCCTTCTGTCAGGCGGAGGGCATCCTCCAGTCGTTCACGCTTCCGGGCTCACCGTAGAAAAATGGGGTTGCTGAGCGCTGCATTGGCTTGGTCATGGAGGTCGCTCGTACCTCCTTGATCCATGCGGCGGCTCCCCATTTTCTGTGGCCGTTTGCGGTCCGGTAAGCCGCGCAGCAGCTCAACCTCTGGCCCCGTGTCTCCTTGCCGGAGACCTCGCCCACACTGCGTTGGACGGGAGAGGTTGGCGATGCGTCGGTGTTCCGGGTCTGGGGTTCTCGTGCCCTTGTCCGCGATACGTCCGCGGACAAGCTCTCCTCCCGCACCATTCCCTGTCTCTTCCTCGGCTTCCCCTCTGACGCGCCTGGCTGGCAGTTTTACCACCCCACCTTGCGCAGAGTTCTGTCCTCTCAGGACATCACCTTTGACGAGTCGGTTCCCTTTTACCGTCTCTTCCCCTTCCACGCTGCCCCTCTCCCTCCCCCGCCGCTTTTCCTTGCTCCAGGTCCCCCTCCGGTAGACCCTCTCCCCCCTCAGGGTCCTGCTCCTTCAGGTGTGTCTCAGGTAGACCCACTCCCCTTAGCTGAGCCTGTAGAGGTCATGAGCGACTCAGGTGGTGCTGCTCAGGGTGCTGCGCCTGGGGGTGCTGAGCCTGTGCGTGAGGTGCTGGGGGGTGCGGAGCTTGGGGGTACTGAGCCTATGAGTGAGGTGCTGGGGGGTGCGTGGGGGTGCTGAGCCTGTGCGTGAGGTGCTGGGGGGTGCGGAGCCTGGGGGTGCTGAGCCTACGAGTGCGGAGCCTGGGGGTGCTGAGTCTGCTGGTGTTTCTCCGAGTCTCTCTTCACGACGGGGGCCTCTCTCACCACAGCAGCTCCGAGAGTGGCTTGCGTGGCGTGCCCGCCTGATGATTCGTGCTGCTGGAGCTGGAGGGTCCTGCTGCTGGAGGTACTCCTGCTCGAGGTGCTTCAGGTTGGAGCTGCTGGAGCTGCTCGTAGTGGAGGCGCTGAGAGTGTTGGTGGCTCTGGTTCTGGAGGTGCTCGTACTGGAGGTACTGGAGCTGCCAGGACTGGTGGTGCTACTGGAGCTGGAGGTGCTGGTTCTGGGGGTGCTGTGGCTGGAGGCCCTGGAGCTGGTACTGTCGACCCTGGAGTTGGAGACCCTGGTTCTTGAGGTACTGGTTCTCGAGGCCCTGGAGTTGGTGCTGTCGACCCTGGAGTTGGACACGCTGGAGATGGAGGCGCTGGAGCTGGAGGCGCTGGCGCTGGAGGTTCTGGAGCTGGAGGTTCTGGAGCCATTGGAGATGCTGGAGCTGCTAGTACTTGTACTGGATGCACTGCGGGCTCTGGAGCTGTAGGCGCTGGCGCTGAAGGTTCTGGAGCTGGAGGTTCTGGAGCTACTAGAGGTGCTGGAGCTGCTGGTGCTGGTGCCGGTGGTACTGCACAGCGGCGAATGCTCTTTGCTCCACCGTCGCCGTCGTCTCTGCCACCGTCTGACTCTGTGCTTCGCCAGGTTCTTAGCCTCACGTCTTCTACTGGCCTCCCGTTACAGCCCGGCTCTCCACTCCCTGCTCCTTCTCCCTTCACTGAGCAGACAGACTTGCTTACAGAGCGTCGTGAGCCTGCGTCTCGTCCTGCCTCGCCTGTTCGCGCTGGTCGCACTGGTCATCGTGTTCCTCGTGAGCGTCCTCCTCCTGTTCCCGTCACGCACACTATGGCACTTCGTCCTTCCTCTGTTCCACAGCGTCTTCCCCTGCCATCTCCTCCTACGTCCTCTCTTCCGCACATTCCGGACCCTGAGTCTGATTTAGCTCGCACTGCAAGTCCTACTGTCACTCGTCTCCTGGCCACTGTTGTCACTAACCCTTCGTTCGAGGCTGCTGCTGCGTCTGCCCTAGTTACTGAGCTTGTCGACTTAGCTGCTCGCTGTCATCTCGACTACGCCGCTAGTCTTATTGCTGAGTCAGAGTCTGTCTGCCCTCCGTCCGTCGGGGGTGAGTGTGCTCTTGGCACGGACGTCATTGAGGACAGGCAGGAGGACTTTGAGTGTTTTGCAGCCGCTGTACCTCATCTCGTGTCCATGCTGATTGCACCTGAGGCAGACCCGGATGCACCAGACATCCCGACCCCACGCTCTTACGCAGAGGCGATTGAGGGTCCCTACTCCTCTCAGTGGCAGTCAGCCATGGACGCAGAGATGGCATCTTGGAAGTCCACAAGCACTTACTTCGACGCGGTTCCCCCACCTGGGGCGAACATCGTCAGTGGCATGTGGATTTTCAGGGTGAAGCGGCCGCCGGGTTCTTCGCATGTCTTCAAGGCTTGTTACGTTGCACGAGGCTTCAGTCAGCGACATGGAGTTGACTTCTTTTATACCTTCTCCCCCACCCCGAAGATGACCACTCTTCGGGTTCTGCTGCACGTCGCCGCTCAGCTTGACTACGAGCTTCACTCTCTTGACTTCAGCACAGCTTTCTTGCAGGGCAGCCTGCACGAGGAGATCTGGCTGCGCCGCCCACCTGGCTTCACTGGGTTGTTTCCTGCAGGTACCCAGTGGAGCCTCCGGCGGTCAGTCTACGGTCTCCGTTAGGCACCTCGCGAGTGGCACGAGACACTGAGGATGACGCTTGCGGCTCTTGGGTTTGATCTTTCGACTGCTGACCCGTCGCTATTTCTGCGCACCGACACTTCGTTGCCGCGGTTCTACATCCTCGTGTGCATCAACGACTTGGTCTTTGCCACTGCTGACACAGAGGGACTTGCCCACGTGAAGTCGGAGCTGCAGAAGAGACACACGTGCACAGTCCTGGGAGAGTTGCGTAGCTATCTTGGCTTGCAGATCACCAGGGACAGAGCACGGCGCACTATTACCCTAGCTCAGTCACACATGGTGCAGCAGGTCCTTCAGCGCTTCCGCTTCATGTACTCCTCGCCACAGTCCACTTTTCTGCCTACCGGTCACTCGCTCTCAGCTTTGCCTTCGGATGAGTCCGTAGACCCGAGTGGCTCGTATCCAGAGCTTGTGGGCTGCCTCATGTACGTGATGACCTGCACTCGACCTGACCTCGCTTACCCTCTTAGCATCCTGGCACGCTACGTTGCGCCCGGGAGACACCGACCAGAGCACTGGAAGGCCGCTAAGAGGGTGATGCGCTACTTGTGTAGTACGTCGGGCATGGGGCTCGTGCTTGGAGGGCGGGCTCGAGCTGTCCTCACTGGTCACGTAGACGCTTCTTGGGTTGATGACTTGGCTACGCAGCGGTCGTCACAGGGTTACACCTTCAGTGTTGGCTCCGGCTCTGTTTCTTGGCGGTCTACCCGTTCGTCGTCTGTTCTCAGTTCCAGTTGTGAGGCTGAGATCTACGTAGGGGCCATGGCTGCACAGGAGTTACGCTGGCTCACCTACCTGCTCACCGACTTGGGGGAGGCGCCTCGTTCTCCTCCAGTTCTGTACGTCGACAACAAGGCCACGATTTCTTTGTGTCATGAGCACAGACTGGAGCACATAACGAAGCACATCGCTCTGCGCTACTTCCTTGCTCGAGAGATGCAGCAGCGTGGTCAGCTTCGTCTTGTTTACGTGGCCTCTCGGGCCAACACCGCTGATATATTCACCAAGGCACTTCAGCCTTGTGATCATCAGCGGTTCTGCACTGTACTAGGACTTGTGCCCACTTGGCCTCACTTGCTCACCTATTGAATTTGCTTGTACAGTGATCTATATTATATACTTTTGCATGTGAACTGACCTTGTGGCCCCTTGCTTGTGCTCGGAGTGTATGGTGACATTGTGATCCACCCTGAGCTTGCTTTGCTTTTCTTGACTAGTTTTGTGACCCCTTGTTCTCCCCCATTTTGCCTATGGGGGTGTGTCAAACTATATATATACTAGTTCTGTGTAGGCTATAGTGGGGTAGCCTATATGGGGTGCAAACAACCCTATGATTAGGTTAGTACTTATACCCACAATGCTTTCAATACAGTCATTCTTGCTTCTCATTCTGACACTGACTGCATTGATGGGTTAGAGGAAGGGTGCGATAGGAAGGAATGTTGGTTACGTGGAAAACGCTTGACAATCTGCTGGATCTCAATCCTCCTAGCTTCGTTTCCCTTGGCTAAGGGAATGTGTGGGAGTGCAATTACTGGTACAGGCATAGCAACATGAGAGGAATCAGATACAGCAGGTGGGCCAGTGGGACTGGGAGAGGGAATGTTCAGCAAGAGAATGAGCTTGTGAGAGAGAGCAAGTCAAATACAAGGTTCAAGAATGAGTTGAGAACATGGATTGCCAACGCTGAATATAAATGAATATCATCAGTAGAGCCTTTTACTGTGCGCTTTGTTACAATTCCCTCTCTTTCCTCAAACTCCAGCAATCTGGCTTTCCCCGCACTTGGCTGCTTGGGGGGGATTGTGAGAACGTCCGAGGGGCGCTTTGTCGAGTCAGCAAAGATGTGGGTCATGATGAGTCATGAGCTCTGCCGAGTGAGTGAGCAAGCGAGCGAAGTTGGCCGCTTGGGGTGGGGTGGGGGGATTGCCAGAAGCGTGAGGGGAGGGAAATCGCAGAGCGCAGCACACCACAGCACTACTCCTTCCAACTCGGCTCGGGCGGGGGCGACTTGCTCCACTTCCTCACGCGTTCGGATGCCGTCCCTACCTAGCGAAGTCTGCGTCACTCGCACCTTCCGATTGGTGGGATGGGACTGACCGCGAGAGTGACTTGTTTGACTTGCTCCGCCCGCAGTCACTCCCAGAGTCCCACCCACCTTCCCACCTTCCCACTACTTCCCGAATCGCGAATCCTGACTGCTCCCCCTGACTCCCATCCCTTCCCATCCAATGACTGCACGAACAAGGAGTCAAACACGGCCGTCGCCCGTTTTAAACAAGTCAATACCGAACTGCTGCAGGTCCTGTAACGAGATCTAATATCGTCGCGACTCGTGATAGCTACGCCCTTCCGTCAGTCCGCGGCGCGGGAAATCGCGAGCTTGGTGCGGCAGCGGGAAACTCGGGAGGCCGGGGATAGAACCATCGATCGATCTCCGCCGTCCATTCGGCAGCGGCTTCTGCCCAAAACCTTCCGATACGTTGCGTGAAAACTCGAGTGAGATGAAAGGGGAACCGTCTCAAGATGACGACATGAGAAAAAGCATAGATGGATCAGCGGGGACGAGCCGCGAGAGGGAGAGCGATAGGGAGTCGGGGAAAATGGAGGCGGAGAGAAAGCACTCGGTTGTTAAAGTTGACGAATTGACTCCGCTACTCAATAGCGGGGATGCGTCAGGATCATCATCGATCGCGACAATGAAACCTCCGATGATCTCAAGCAATGTCAATGGCAGTGCCGCTATGCGGAGAAGCCTGGCTCCTGCGGGGAAAGTGGCGCTTGGGGATGAGGAGGAGGGGGGGAGCGAGGACCAACCGCAGTGCCGCATTTGCCTTGAAAGTGACGGTGCGTACAATCGATTTGTTGCTGCCATAGCACCTCCGTTCTCAAGCAGTGCCGCTATGCGTAGAAGCCTGGCTCCTCCGGGGAAAGCGGCGATGGGGGACGAAGAGGAGGCGGAGGACGAAGACCAACCGCAGTGCCGAATGTGCCTGGAGAGCGACAGTGCGTGGCGATTTTTTTAGTGCGTGGTGACTTTTGAGTCGACTCAAAAGTCACCTCTGCCTCGAGAGAGAGCGACAGTGCGTGGCGATTTTTCTAGTGCGTGCGTGCCGCGAAGTGCAGGCCTGTTCTCTCTCTCTCCATCTCCCACCCACCAGGTCGCGAACCTCATTTGTCCTACAGGTCCTCTTCATGCTTTCACGCATCTCACAACTTGCCACAGGTCGTGGTACCCTCCATGCCTTCAGCCGCTCCACCTTCCCCCCACCAGGTCGCGTTGCGACGTCATTGCCTCCTGCAGGTGCAAAGGCTATGCCCAATTCGTCCACGGGCAGGCACTGCCTGGGCAGGCACTGCCTGGGCAGGCACTGCCTGGGCAGGCACTACCTGGGCAGGCACTGCCTGGGCAGACACTACCTGGGCAGGCACTACCTTGGCAGGAACTGCTTTGTCATGCACTACCTGGGCAGGCACTGCCTGGGCAGGCACTGCCTGGGCAGGCACTGCCTGGGCAGGCACTGCCTGGGCAGGCACTACCTGGGCAGGCACTACCTGGGCAGGCACTGCCTGGGCAGGCACTACCTGGGCAGGCACTGCCTGGGCAGGCACTGCCTGGTGTTACGTTGAGAATTCTCAAAAGCAAGGGCTATGCCCAATCTGTCCACGGGCACTGCCTGGACCGATGGCGAGCCATCAAGGAGGGCTTCGCCTTTCGCCATCATTGCCCCACGTGCCACTGTTCGTGCCATCATTGCTCCACGTGCCAGTGTTCGTGCCATCATTGCTCATGCCACCAACCTTCTCTCTCACCCCCTCGAAAAGGTCACTCCCTCATCGTTCCCTGCAGGTGCAAGGACTCTGCACGATTGGTACTTTTGAGGCGCCTCAAGATTTTGCACGATTGATAATCTTGAGAAGTCTAAAAAATGCCTGGAGACGCCTCATAGCTCAACACAGTTCGTTCGCACCCACGCCGCCAACTTTCCCTCTCACGCTCCCCAAACAGGGCACGACCTCATTGCTCCCTGTAAATGCAAGGGCTCAGCGCGTTTTGTGCACCGGCACTGTCTGGACCAATGGCGAGCCACCAAGGAGGGCTTCGCCTTCTGCCACTGCTCCACGTGCAAGACGCGCTTTCAGCTGCGCGTGTGCCCGCCGCCCGACCCGCGATTCCGCCATCTCAAGTTCAGATTCTTTGTCGCGAGGGATTTTGTGCTCGTGACGCTGCTGGTGCAGCTGGTAAAACTCCCTGTATTTGTTTTCCCACTCTCACACACTCTCACACTCTCGCACACACTTCCTCTCAATCTCACTCTCTCTCTCTCTCTCTCACGTACACTTACTCTCTGTGGTGAAAGGGTTTCCACTCCTCCTTGCACTCGCTCCCTCACTCGCTCCCTCACTCGCTCCCTCACTCGCTCCCTCACTCGCTCCCTCACTCGCGCCCTCACTCGCTCCCTCACTCACTCCCTCTCTCACTCTCCCCGCCGGGATCTGCTCCCCCCCTTCTCCCATCCCCCCCTTCTCCCATTCCCCCGCTTCTCCCATTCCCCCCCTTCTCCCATTCTCCCCCTTCTCCCATTCCCCCCCTTCTCCCATTCTCCCCCTTCTCCCATTCCCCCCCTTCTCCCATTCCCCCCCTTCTTCCCTCCTCAATTTACGCCACCTCTCCAGCTGATTATCTCTTTGGGCTGCATTGTAAACATAGCGGATCTCTTTTTTTTCGACCTGGCGATTCTGAAAGCATGGGGTGAAGACGCACCAAGGGTATTCTATGTTTATGGTGAGAGAGGGAGTGGCTTTTGACGAGGGGCTTTTGACACGGGGTTAGACGTAGGGCTTTTGACTTCAGAAGTCACCTTGTTGGCTGGACATGGGGATTCTGAAAGCATGGGGTGAAGACGCACCAAGGGTATTCTATTTTTATGGTGAGTGAGGGAGTGGCTTTTGACGAGGGGCTTTTGACTTCAGAAGTCATCTTGTTGGCTGGACATGGGGATTCAAAAAGCATGGGGTCAAAAAGCATGGGGTCAAAAAGCATGGGGTCAAAAAGCATGGGGTCAAAAAGCATGGGGTCAAAAAGCATGGGGTCAAAAAGCATGGGGTCAAAAAGCATGGGGTCAAAAAGCATGGGGTCAAAAAGCATGGGGTCAAAAAGCATGGGGTCAAGATGCACCAACCATCTACTACGTCTATGGTGTGTGCTGTCAGTCATGCATGTGCATTGAGGGAGTGCTGCACATGCAATGCCACAAGCTTGTACTTATCATGATGACGTGTGTTGATTGATCGCTGACGTGTGTGTTGAGTGATCGCCACTTCCCTTGCCCATCTACCAGGCACCCCTCTCATATGACATCTCCCTCCCACGCCTTGTGCCAACCAGGTGTGCTGTGCTGCTCTTTCTTATCTTCGCTGGTCTGTTCGGTGACGTCATGACGTGTGCTGGCCCATATCCCACCTCCCTTGTTAAACCTCCTCCTGCTCCTCTCTCCCCCCCAACAGGCGGGCTGCTCTTCCTTGTCTTGGCTGGTCTGTTCGGTGCCGACATGACGTGTGCTGGCCCATATCCCAGCTCCCTTGTTAAACCTCCTCCTGCTCCTCTCTCCCCCCCAACAGGCGGGCTGCTCTTCCTTGTCTTGGCTGGTCTGTTTGGTGCCATCATGACGTGTGTTGATCGCCGCTTTCGCAGCGACCTCGCAGCGCCATGCAGAGACCTGGCGGGATGCTGCCACCGCAGCAACGTGTGAGTGTTCTTTTGAGTGTGCGAATTCTTCTGAGCGCACTCATGCTTCGGAAACAACAAACCTGCCCTTTCTCTGCAGCGGCCTCGCAGCGCCATGCAGGGATCTGGGCGAGTGCTGTCACCGCAGCAACTTGTGAGTTTGTCCTTCCTGCAAAAAATACCCTTGCTCTCGCTCCCTTCCTCGTGCCTTCCAACTCTCTCTCCTCCCGCTCTCTCCCCCATTTCCCCCCCTCTCATTGTTTGTGGCTGTGACTGTTCCATGGGTCCCTGCTGCTGCTCCTCCTGCTTGTAATGGGATGAATTTTGAGTCAACTAAAAAATCTATCTCTCCCTAACCCTCTCCTTTTCCCCTCCCAGAGTGTGTGGCTGTGACTGCCACCCGGGGCCCTGCTGCTGCTCCTGCACCGGCTGTGGCATCAGTCTCACAACATCGTAACACGATGACTTCACAGCAGACTAAGACATCTCTCCCTCCCGCCCTCTCCCAAACCCTTCCCCCTCCCAGTGTGTGTGGCTGTGACTGCCACCCGGGGCCCTGCTGCTGCTCCTGCTCCTCCTGCTCCTGCACCGGCTGTAGTGGCTTCCTTGCAACATTGTAACGGGATGACTTCTGAGTCGACTAAAAAATATATCTCGCCCTCTTTTCCACCTTTCCCCCTCCCAGTGCGTGTGGCTGTGACTGCCACCCGGGGCCGTGCTGCTCCTGCGCCTGCTGTTGCCACCCTGGCATGTGCACTGGGCAGGGGATGCTCGTTTGCCTGGTGACAGCTGGCGCAATCCTATTGGTCGTGCTGGCTTTCGTGGGGGTGTTCTACTGCTTGCTGGTCTCGATCCTGGTGGTGCAGCGGATTTGCCAGCAGCACTACCACATCCTCGCTAAGAGGATCCTCACTAAGGTAATTCTTCACTTCCGTATTGACGACTTTTGAGGCGCCTCACATTGTGTCAGCGACAGCGCTATCACGTCCTCGCTAAGAGTATCCTCACTCGGGTACTTGCTCACTTCCATACTACACATATTGGCAACCGCTTGTGGTTCACGGCTTGTGGTTCTTCCTCGTCCTCCTCGTCCTCCTTCTCCCTTCTGCCCATCCATGCCGTACCCTCTCCAGGAATATATCGTGGAGGATTTGTCTGGAATGTCTCTTCCTCCTGATTGGTCGCCACCACCGCTGCTGCCGGAACACGAGAGGCAGCTCAGGGATATACAGCTTCTGTGATTGGGGCGGCACTTGTGATTTTGCGCATGCAAGGTGTTACACAAGTTACTGGGGAGGCACTTGTCTGGAACGTCTCTCCCCCACGATTGGTCGCCACCTCCGCTGCTGCCGGAACACGAGAGGCAGCTCAGGAAGTTGCGGCTTCTCTGATTGTGGTGCCTTGAAATTGGCTCCTCTGTTGATACATGATGAGCTAGCTGCTGAGGGCGTTACTGGGGAGGGGAGGCACTTGTGACCGTTCACGTCTGATTGGTCGTCACGCCGCTGCTGCCGGAAAATGAGAGGCAGCTCAAGGATTTGGGCCTTCTCTGACTGTGCACACGCAGTGACTTTTGAGTCGACTCAAAAGTCGCCTTCTCTGACTGCACACGCAGTTGTTACATTGGATACTGATTATTGAGTTAACTAAAAAAGGCAGCTCAGGGATCGGAGGCTTCTCAGAGTGTTCTTGAGATGATGCAACTGCTGCTCCAGCTTGTTCCAGGATGCACATTTGGTGTACATATGGCAAGGAAGTGTAGCTGTAGAGTACAGTGTTACTAGTAGCTTATCTTTCTAGAGAAAGTCTGCCTTTCAAAGGCAGACAGGGCTAACTTGAACTTAGTGCAAAGAACTAGCACGGCTACAACTGTGATGATAGATGGTATGGGTGCATTGTTCACGGCAGATTCCGACCTAGCCATGCAAGCAGCGCAGGGCACTCCGTAATGATGTGCTCTGAGGTCCATGTGGGGTGCTGCTGCTGGTTGGAAGAGTCAGGTTGCCAACTGTCACCCTGCACAGGGGATGGGAGAACAGCCAAGCGAAGATGGAATGGCACATGATGGCATAAGTGAGCTATGTTGAATGAATCACGTGCCAAACGAGACATAGCAGGAGCATAACCCTGATATGCATGCTGAGCAGAACGGGCATACCGGGGGGTGCAACGACAGACATACCCTGGGGTATGTGCTTGTGTTCATTACCTTAATTTAAAAAAGACATACCCTGGAATATGTGCCTGTGTTTCTCACCTTGAGCTGCTGCCTCCACACTGCAGGGCACACCTCCACTATGTTCGTCTTCCGCCCGCCTCCCTGCTTGTACTCGATCCCATCCACACGGGAAAACTTCCACAGCCTCCCCTCTGCCAGCACTTTTCTCACAGTCAAATGCCTGACCGCCCTCACTTGGAATCTGCCGCTCTCTTCACTGCTGCTGCTCCCGCCACTGGAATTCAAGCTGCTATTGGGCGAGAATCCGCTGCTGACATCCGAAGTTGTGCTGCTAGAGTCACATTCCATGCCAGAAACGTCAAAGCCCTTCTGTCCTTCGATCATGAACAATGGAACGCTCACCCCTCCTGGGCTCTGTGGGTCAATCTGTGCTGCTGTCAGGACCTTGTTAAACGCAGCTCCTAGCGCCTCCTGGAAGGGATGCAGGAAGGAGTTTGGGAGTTTTTATTATTCTTCTTCTTCCTTTCCTTTTTCGTTCTTGCAGCTGACAGGTTGTGCTGAAAGCATGAACCGATTACAAGCGCAGAAAGTAAAAAAAACATGAAAAAAAGGTTATTCTTACCGTCCTAATGTGTCCATGAATGAATGGATGGGTCACTCACATCTAGAGTTGGCAGATGTGTCTCAACTGTCAGGATCAAACGGACATCCACAGCCTTGCCTGGGCGTGCTATTTCAAAGACTCCATAGCGAACTGGAAACTTCTTCACCTGAAGACGCAAGCATCATATTGCACATATTATACACAGCACCTGACATCTCCCTCCAGTACATGAGACGATGTACCGTTCTAGCTCTGACTGTACGTTCTTTGAGCTCTAAAAAACACGCTGCTCAATCAGCTGATCTCACATTTTTAATGAGAAAGCGTTTTTCTTCAGCGACATATATACAGCTTGCCCTGTAGATAACTCGCAACCAGGTATCAAGCACCTGAGATTTACACGAAACATAAGCGCTCAGCACACGTGACAGCAGTAAGTTGCACGGACAGATTGCATGCGATGGAAAATGTATCACGCCAGTCCGAACTCTTGAGAAGCAGCATCACCAAAAAAGAAGGAAAAGGTGTCAATCTTTGATATTCACCTGAATGTCGTATTTCTCACTGCTTCTGCAAGCCAGACCCGAATCTCCAAAGACCATCTCCTCCAAAGCGCCGTACACGCTGTCAGGGACGTGCGTCTCAAACACCCTGTGAATCGGCAGCTTCAACTGCTGCTCGCTCCCACTCATGTAGTCTTCTAGACGTTGCGCAGAGAAGGGCGGAACCTTGGTCAGGCGATTTCTGAAAGGAAGTGAGCAGGATTCGGTTTGAGAGCCAGTGATGGAAAATTGAGATGGAATCAGAATCCAGGCGTCATGTGCAAACATCAGACCAGACAGCTTTTTAGTGCATTTGAGTGCAAGCATAACCTCAGGACACATTCATTCAACACCCATTCAATCAACACATATGCAGCAGGCATTAATTACATCTACTACATTGGTAGCCCATTCACACTCAGCACACTTCAGCACACATTTGGTACACCATCAGTACACATCATCACTACAGGTTCAGCGCAATCTCTAAGCACGTACAGTACCTGTTTCCATGGGCCGAGAACAGCAGCTTGCCAAGCCGGACCAGAAGCTTGACCCTCCTGAATCCATTCTCAGCAGCAGCACCCTCTGCTGTCACAGCATGGCGCTGCAATTTCCCACGAACCAGATCTAAAGCTTCTGTTAGAGGCTGCCGGATCGCATTCAGCAACCTTGTCTCTCGTGAAGTATCCGTGCTTTCATTGGGTTTCCTGCTATCCTGGCAATCCGCACCGTCGGAGTCTTTCATTCGCGAAAGAACCTCGTCGTTTTCCCTATTATTAGTCGTTCCATTAGCATCCCCACGGCGGTCCTCGTTACTATTACCATGAAGCATCCTGATTACGTCATTTTTCGGATCGTCCTCCCATTTACCCGCAAATTTATCGCTGTTCGCAAGCCAGTCTTCCAGAGTGCCTCGAATTGGTGCCTTCGAGAGCATCGCGAGGCGACGTTTGCGAAGATACGGGTAACTTTCGCAACCGAACTGCTCGAAAAACAGCGAAATTCGCTTATCTGGCGCCAGGTTCGCGCACTCGGACTGCCTGTCGTCGTAATCATCCACGAGTGTTAAAATTCTGGCGTCAGGGGAATGGGTGAGCGGACCGCCGCCTCTCGCTGATAGCTTGAATCGCTGCCTATAGGACTCGTAAAGTGCCATGACAGCGAGAGTCTTCCGTCAGGAATTATTCCAGACGAAGGAACTGATGTTACTTGGAAAAATCCTGACAGGGGAAAGAAGCCTCAGGCCTGCGCGGGATAACGAACGCGTTCGTCGGAGCCATAGCTTGAAGGATAAAAGTCCATGAGGCAACATTGGTCGCGGACGGGTTAGCTACGAAGGTTCGCGGATACGAGCGTATAGCCATGGCTTGCTGCAGCCATGCCTGCTGAAATTTCACACCTGGAAGGTTGCGAATGTGGCTCTCAAGGGAATGGCGACTTTGCTCGTTCGGAAATATCGAGGTTGAATTCCAGATTGCGCCCCTGGTATATTCCGTTCCGATGCAAGGACGAAACGAATACCAGGACAACAACTCCACGACATTACAGAACTTGAAAACAAAAAGCAGCTTGCGCTGATTGGAGACTGACCCGGTGAAAGGTACATTTTACTGGCATGCAGTCAGATACGTCAGCCTACTATCCACATGCATGCTCGACCTGTACTTCTCTAAGGCAGGTGCTCCTGTAGCCAGTGAATGAGGGCGGGGCAATCAGCAAGAATGCTATTTGGAGTCCACTGTGGTGCTGCCTGCTGCAAGCTTGAGTCAAAGCAAGATGCTGCTGAGTAGACTTTTGGAGGAGGCTCGCTGGGTAGGGAAGAAAAAGAAGGAACAGCAGAGCAGTCACTTCCCTCATGTTTTGCCTGCACCATTCGCAGAAGCAATGGAAACAGGGAGGCACAATTGAGAGGGGAAACGCTTAGAAGAAACGACATACGCATTTCCCATGGCAGCACTCAGAACTCCTCTTGCTTGGTGAGGCGGTTTGTAAGCACAGAGACACACCCACACACCCACGCACACACGCGCACGAACACACACAATCGCATGCACACATGACCGCACACACATTATCACACCAGCGTCTCACCTTCATGACGTCTCGCCACGCCACCAGACGGAACTGTGCTTCGTTGGTGAGGCGCCCTCCCTCATGGTCATAATCCACGTCATTCCCGCATACACCAGTTCACACCGGCACCTCACTAACCTTCATGGTGTCCCGCCAGGCCAGCAGACAGAACTCTGCTTCGTTGGTGAGGCACCATGAGCACACAAACGCACGAATACATGCACACGTGCGCACGCACGCTCGGAATCGCACCAACTGCTTACTAACCTTCATGACGTCTCGCCAGGCCAGCAGGCAGAACTCTGCTTCATTAGTAAGCCGTCCTCCCCCATGGTCATACTCCACCCCGTTCACTCGCGACAGCTTCCACACCTGCCCGCCCCCAAACACCTTGAGCCGCTTCTGATGCCGCACACTCTTCACTCTGAACCGGTGTGCCGGCGCTGCTGCTGCTGCTGCTGCTGCTGCTGCTGCTGCTGCTGCTGCTGCTGCTGCTGCGTGGGATGGTGAGCACGGGTCCTTCATGCCAACGTCAAAGTCGAGGGTGATGGGCCAGTGTAGCCCACCCTTGGTGCTCTCCTCAATGATTGCTGTTGATGCTATGCGCTCACAGGCAGACCGGGTGGCATCCTGATCACAGGTAGACGAGGGGAGGCGAAAAGGGGGGGGGGGTTGGAAGAGGCACACATGACACGGAAACGTGTACCATCTCACACTTACATCAAGAGAGCACAGACCAGTGTCAGTGGAGAGCAAGAGGCGGAAGTCAATGGGCTCCGGCTCATGTGAAACAAGCACTGCTCTCACAGTCACGCCGAGAGCGCAGAGGTGCGTGTCGGTGGAGAGCAAGTGGCGGAAGTCAGTCTCCTCCAGGTCACGTGACAGCAGCACATGCATGTGTTGAGTCGCACACTAACATGAAGAGGGCAGGCATACCGCACACACTAAGTAAGAAGAAATACAGAATCTAAATCAGACATAAAGCAATAAGGAGATTAATTAAATTGTAACAATGAATATTACTCTTAAAATTCGATTGAAAAGGCCTCTTAGCAGCATGCGCTGCTGCTGAGAGGCCCTTCCAATCAAATTTTAAAAGTAACATTCATTGTTACAACTTAATCAATCTCCTTCATTGCTTTATGTGTAATTCAGATTCAGCACATGCATGTGCCGAGTCGCACACTAACATGAAGAGGGCACGCATACCGCACACACTTGCACCAAGCGAGCACACACTTACATCGAGAGCGCACACACTTACATCGAGAGCACAGAGGCGCGTGTCAGTGGAGAGCATGAGGCGGAAGTCAATGGCCCTGGAAGGGCGAGAGACGTCAATGACTGCATAGCGCAGCGGGTTGTGCTTCACCTGAAAAGGGGTGTAACATAGGTACACACAGGGAGCATGAGGCGGAAGTCAATGGGAGGGGTGAGGGAGTGCTTTATATCAATGACTGCATGGCGCCACGGGTTTTTCTTCAATTGTGGGGAGTTGCCAGGCAGTCCGGGCGTGGGATGGATGGGTGGAGAGGAAGACGGATGAAGTGAGTATGGGATGGAAACGAATTGAAGATAGGGAATGCATTCACTAAAGTCTACAAAAAGGAATGCCAAAGTCGTATGAGCAGGGAGCAACACAAGAAACAAAGCGCACCTTAACGAGGATAACCCCTGAGCCATCCGAATCAGGCTTGCATATCAGCTTGTACTCCGTGTCAACCTGCTCTGTGTCTTGTACCTGTAACGGATCAGCAGCATGGGGGACAAAAGGGCACAGACGAAAAGTTCCAAACGCACATGACGATTACAGAGACAAATGCACATTCCTGTTGAAAGAATCACGTAGCAAATACCTGTCGAAGGAATACACCTGCATACCCGAATGTGGTACGTCTCTCTCATGCATGAGCTGACCCCGTCCCCCGCCATCACAATGCTTTCCACGGCTTGGAACAGCGGCTCTGGCATGCCTGTTTCCAGCGACCGATGCACCCTGGTTGGCAGGCGCTGCGCGCGCCTGTTCAGAGTCGACTCTAATGCTCCCGCTGTGAAGGGCGACAGGCTAGGAAGCAGCGACCTGAGAGGGGTGAAGAGGAGTGCAGGGAGGTGGAGGGAGGTTCAGAGTGGTTCTTAGCGGTTCATACAAGGGAACCTGGAGAGAAGGGAAGGAGGAGAAGGGGATAAGCGGCACTGGCATGCCAGTCTCCCAGCGAACACCCTGGTTGGCAGGCGCTGCGCGCGCCTGTTTAGAGTCGACTCTAATGCTCCCGCTGTGAAGGGCGACAGGCTAGGAAGCAGTGACCTGAGAGGGGTGAAAGGAGTGCAGGGAGGTGGAGGGAGGTTCAGAGTGGTTCTTAGCGGTTCATACAAGGGAACCTGGAGAGCAGGGAAGGAGGAGAAGGGGATAAGCGGCAGTGGCACGCCAGTCTCCCAGCAAACACCCTGGTTGGCAGGCGCTGCGCGCGCCTGTTTAGAGTCGACTCTAATGCTCCCGCTGTGAAGGGCGGCAGGCTGGGAAGCAGCGACCTGAGAGGGGATGAGGAGGCGTGCAGGGAGGTGGAGGGAGGTTGTTCTTGGCGGTTCATACAGGGGAACCTGGAGAGCAGGGGAGGAGGAGAAGGGGAAGAGCGGCTATGTCATGCCTGCTTCCAGCGAACCGTGCACCCTGGTTGGCAGGCGCTGCGCTCGCCTATTTAGAGCCGACTCCAACGCGCCTGCTGTAAAGGGCAGTAGACTTGGGAGGAGCGAGCTGAGAGGGGTGAAAAGAGGTGCAGAGAGGCTCATATGAGGGGATGTCAGGAGCAGGGGAGGAGGAGATGGGGAAGATTGGTGCACCCTGGTTGGCAGGCGCTGCGCTTGCCTGTTTAGAGTCGACTCCAACGCGCTTGCTGTGAACGGCGGCAGGCTGGGAAGCAGCGACCTGAGAGGGGGTGAGGAGGCGTGCAGGGAGGTGGAGGGAGGTTCAGAGTGGTTTCATGGAGGTTCATACGGGGGAACCTGGAGAGCAGGGGAGGAGGAGAAGGGGAATAGCGACTCTAGCATGCCTGTTTCCAGCGACCGGTGCACTCTGGTTGGCAGGCGCTGCGCTCGCCTGTTTAGAGTCGACTCCAACTCGCCCGCTATGAAGGACGGCAGGCTGGGGAGGAGCGACCTGGAACGGGGTGAAGAGCGGTGCAGAGAGGCGGAGGGAGATGCAAAGAACTTCATATGAGGGAATCTTGGGAGCAGGGGAGGAGATAAGGAAGAGAGGCTCTGGCTTGCCAGTTCTCGTCCTATCCCTCCCACACCCGCCCTCCCCCCTCCCACCCTCCCCACCACCCCCTCCCTCCCACAGCTCACTCTGGCGATCCGAATGGCGGGGCAAACAGCAGCTTCCCGAGGCGCACGACGAGCTTGCATCGGTCTACAGTAGACCGCCTTAGCTGCGAATGGGCGGCAAACTCCATCTCCCTGTATACCGCCTCCAACCCCGCGCGAAGCGGCTCAGATATAGCGTCGAATAAGGAGGTCGGGGTCGCGATAGGGTGAGGAGAGGACACGGATGGAGCTGACTGTGAGGCGGATGCATCAGGTGAGGCATCTGAACGCGAATCTGCAGATGGGGTTACGGCTACAGAGGATTCAGAGGAGGCGGAAGGAGATTTGATATCAGGTGATTCAATATGGTCGTATTCAGTTTCTGGAACTTTCGTTAAAAGGGAGAGGTTCTGATCCTGTAGGTGCAGGTAGCTCCTCCCTCTGAATGGTTGGAATCTGAGAAGCGTTCGGTTGCAGCGACCATTTCCCCCGTTACAAGCACAGTTGCTGCTGCAAGGTGTTTCAATAACGGATGATTCTCGCTCGGCATAATCGTCGATTACTGTAGCCAGCACAACATCGCGAGCATTCTTTATCGCAATCTTCGTCGCAGCAAGATTCTTGCCTCGGCCACCCGCCTGACCACGGCCTCTGCCTCGGCCTCTCCCAGACCTACTTTCCAAGCCTGCATGACCTCGACCTGCTGGCGTCGTCCGGGGAGGAGGTTCGGAGCCGGAAATCGATGCACCAGCTCGCATGTGAGGAGGAACGTACGGCATAGCTCGTCCTGCCTATTTAAACTCAAATAAAAATAGATCAATTTCCCGAAAGGAAAACTGAGATTCTTGAGTGCTACCTAGTGACTTAGCTGCTATGCAGAAGCTGACAGGTGAGAGGATCCATGCTGGTGTCAACTGAAATGAAATGATAGGCGAAAAAATGGTGGCGATATTTCAGAAGCAGGAGTTGACAGTGTGGATGTTCTGATGGAAGTGGAGGAGGTTGCATAATCGGAAATCGGGGAGATGAATGGCATGGAGAGATGAATGTATGAAATAGGTCTTTGGCGGCAAGACTTCTGATTGGAGCAGAGAAAGAGTCACCTTGAAGTCATCACGGGATTACTCTTGCTTGAACTAGATTCGGTACTATGGGTAGTATCATACCGTACCGTTCATACAATAAATAAAAATGTTCCTACCAGAATTTCCATACAACTATATTTACACACCCACTAGTGCGAAAGAACTCAAAACATCTATGGCACCACATCTCATTGCCAGCCATAAGGCAAGTGTTACAACTATAATCACGCGCCCACTACATCAACTAGTGGAAAAGAACTCGAATACAAAGCACATGCTTAACCTCTATGCCAGCCCTAAGGCAAGTGTTGCTTGAGCCAGTCTATAAGGTCAGGGCAATCAGCAAGAATCTTGTCCGGGGTCCACTGAGGTGCTGCATGCTGCAAGCTCGAGTCAAAGCAAGATGCTGCTGAGTAGCTTGTAGGTGGTGGCTTGCTGGGTAGGGATGAAGGAGGAGACGTGGCTGTGCTGTCACTTGCCTCCTGCTTTGCCTGCACAGTTGCAGCAGGTACAGCAACGAAGGAGGGAGGCGCAAATGAAAAGGAAACGATGGAAAGTTCGTTGCACAACATAACCAGCAGAGCCTTTCCTACATTCCCACGGCAGCAGGCAGAACCCCACTTCGTTGGTGAGGCGCCTTTAAGCGCTCGGACATCTTGCCAGGCAAAAAGGGTCCCACCTTCATGACGTCCCGCCACGCCGCCAGGCAGAACTCTGCTTCGTTCGTGAGGCGCCCTCCCCCATGGTCATAATCCACCCCGTTCACTCGCGACAGCTTCCACACCTGCCCGCCTGAATGAACACGCAGCCGCCTCTGATGCCGCACGCTCGTCACTCTGAAGCGGTGTGATGGCGCTTCCGTCATGCCGACGTGGAAGTCTTGGACGATAGGCCAGTGCAATCCGCCCTTTGAGTTCTCCTCAATGACTGCTGTCGATGCTATGCGCTCAAACGCAGATTGAATGGCCTCCTGGGTAAGAAAGGAAGAGGACGAGGAAAGGAAAGAAAGTTTACAGGCAATGAGAGAGTTAGGAAAGCTAGGAGGCGCTTCCAGAAAGGGGCAAGGGTTTATATACAGCTGGATAGAGAACGAGAGAACCTGAAATGAAGAAGACAGTGTGAATTGAAAGACTGCAATGCCATGCACAAGGAGAAGAGAAAAAGGAGGTACGTATCACAAGCACATGTGCCACAAGCACATGTGTCAGAAGCACGTGTGTCACAAAACTAATTGTCAGCAAAAGAGCATGTGTCTGCACAAGAGCATGTGTCAGCACAAGAGCATGTGTCAGCACAAGAGCATGTGTCAGCACAAATGCATGTGTCAGCACAAGAGCATGTGTCAGCACAAGAGCATGTGTCAGCACAAGCGAATGTGTCTCAAGCACATCCATATGCCGCAGACGCACGTCAAGCGAGCCAATGCGGATCTCTGTGGAAAGCATGAGGCGGAAGTCAATCTCCTTGGAGGGGCGAGCCACGTCAATGACTGCATAGCGCACAGGATTGAGCTTCACCTGACGAGGGTTGCAAAGCAAGGCAGTGCAGAAGTGGGATGGATGGGCGGAGAGGGGGAATGCTCAAGTTTGGGTGAAAAAGAAAAGCAACGCAAGAGAGAGAGAGAGAGAGAGAGAGAGAGAGAGAGAGAGAGAGAGAGAGAGAGAGAGAGAGAGAGAGAGAGAGGGAACCAAAAAAAAAAAAAAAAAAAAAAAAAAAAACTACTAAACGCAGGCGATTGTGATCTGTCAATTCCAATAGCATCCAATCGATACAAGGTCCAGTACAGTGGTACATGAAAGCACTTAGGAGAACGAGAAAGTGATTGGAACGATACGTGCAAGGAGGTAATGAGAGAAAGTATTGACCATTCGTGCAGAAGAGGTTTATAAGGAGGTAATAATGTAAGCACACATGATAGACACCACGCTTATGAGGTAATGTGAGAAATTAATAAGCATGCACACAGAAGATGCTTATGAGCATGAAGCACACCAAGAAAGAAGCATACCTTTACGAGGATAACCCCTGAGCCATCCGGATTAGGCTTGCATATCAGCCTATACTCTGACTCCTTCGGTTTTGTGTCTATAACCTGTTACAGATCAGCAATATGGGGAACGAAGGGTGCAGAAGAAAAGCGCCATAGACAATGACGACGGCAGAGACAAGGGTGTGGTGATGATACCTATTCACAGCTACCTATTCTCACTAAGCCTATCTGCAATCCTGTAGAAATTTTGTTGGTCCCCTTCCCAACTGTATCTAGCTGCTGACCTGTCAAATACAGAGTACCCATGTGGCATGGCTGGCACATGACACATACTCTCACGTTGCAACTCCCCTCACATGGTGAATGACTCGTACCCGTATATGGTAGGTCTCTCTCATGCATTCGCTCGCGCCAACCCTCCACAGAACCATGCTCTCCATGGCCTGGAATAGCGACTCCGGCATGCCTGTTTCCAGCGACCGCTGGGCCTTTTTCGGCAAGTGCGGTGAGCAGCCTGGCAGGTTACTGAGGCTCGACTCCAATGCGCCCGCTGTGAAGGGTGGCAGGCTGGGCAGGAAGTCCCTGGTGAAGGGATGTGCAGAGAGGTGCGGAGCGATGCAGAGAGGTGCAGAGACGTGCAAAGTGGTGCGGACACCATTAAGGGAGATATGCGACTGGAGGAGATGTGGAAGGGAGGGACACAGAGGCAAATATGCTTTTCCAAGAGCACCACGAGCTTGCATATTGCATCCCTTGCACAGTGTTCATTCCCATGGCTCCTCCTCCTGTCTTCCCTCCCCTGTCTCCCCCCCTTTGCCTCTCCCCTCAACTCACCCCCGTGATCCAGACGGACGCGCGAAGAGCAATTTCCCGAGGCGCACCACAAGCTTGCATCGGTCCGAAACGCACCGCCCTAGCTGCGACTGGACGGCATACTCCATCTTGCTGTGCACCCCTCCCAGCCCCTTGCGAAGCGGCCCAACTATGGCGTCGGATAAGGAGGTTGGGGTCACGATGGGAGAAGGAAAGGAGAAGGGAGTATCTGCAGAGGCTGAAGCATCTGAATGAGAAACCATAGAAGGGGTTGCACAGAATTCAGAAGGAGAATCTTCAGGCGGCTGTGTGGCTTCGATATCAGGTGCGCCTATATTCTCGATGTCGGAATCTGGAACTTTGGTCAAAAGAGAGAGGTTCTGATTCTGTAGGTGGACGTAACTCTCCCCTTTGAACGGTTGAAATCTGAGCATCATCCGGCTGCAGCGACATTTCCCCCCGTTGCAAGCACAGTTGCTGCTGCAAGATGCTCCAATAACGGATGATTCTCTTTCAGCATAATCGTCGATCAACGTGATCAGCACAGCATTGCCAGCATTTTTTATGGACCGAATTTTGCCTCTGCCACCCGCCTGACCACGGCTGCCATGGCCTCGACCCGAAGCTGCTGGCGACCTTCCCGGAGGAGGTTCGGAACCGGAAACCGTTGCACCGGCTCGCATATGAGGAGGTACATAAGGCATCTCCTAATACGAGTTTTTGAAAAGAGAAAGTGGGATTCGGGAGAGCGATTTAGTGAATAAGCATCTCCTAAGTCGAGCTCTGATCTTTTCTGGTCGGCAGTGGGCAGTGGGAGACATGCAGAGGAAGTGAAGGGTCGGTCCGAGTGACAAATTCACCGACACAAGTTCAACAAACAACTACCCAGCAGAGATGGCGTGGGATGGGGATGGGATGAGATGGTGACAAGGATCGAGGCGAAGTGCAGCGGAGATCGAGGTCTCCCAGGTTGCACGGAAAAATACTTGTTTGGCGGTAAGGGTCCTGATTGGATCAGGGAAAGAGTCACCTTGAAGTCATCGAGCTGATTCTCTTTGAAAAGATTCGCTACTGTACGGGCTTGATATTTGTTTTGTTGAAGAAATAACAATTGCTGCCTTTCCATGGGAGCTTTTGGGGCAATCAGGAAGAATGACCCCCCTCACTGGTGCTTCCTGCTGCAAGCTCGACCCACGGCAAGATACCCCTGAGTAGGCTACGGGTGAGCTACTCGTGCCGCCACTCGGGCCTTCATGGCCTACATCCAAACGATACGAGCTAGCAAATTGGGTAAAAGAAAACCTTAGTCCGACGCAAAGCATTGCCTTGAAAAGACGCCAAACAAGGACTGGCCTAGTAGCGTTGTGCGAGTCTCTCTGCTCGCTGGATACTGATCGAGCTGTCGCAAATGTCGCGAATGAGCAGCGTTGTCGCCTATGCGTGATTCGTTCAGTCAATTCTTGGAGCCAACCATTGATTTGAACAAAATCGATCCAATCGCCGTAGCTCTAAAGCTGAACAGTGATTCTAAGCCGTGACTTTAGGCTTAACCATGATTTGAAGAAAGCTGACCGATCCCCTTAAAGCTGATCTGTGACTTCATGCTGATCGTGGCCTAAGCAGACCTCTCAACGGATCGGCAAGTTCAAGTGGATTCGTGAGTCAGCGCTGATCCGTGACCCGTCCGCTACTCCACTTTCGATCGCACAGATCCGCTGCCTTTATTCGGCTGCCATGGCAGCGGATTCCGGGTCGGCGTCGGGTCGTTTGACTCGAATTGGAGTGCCGGTGCTGCAAGGCTCCTTTCGCGAACACACAGCAGGTCAGTGCCAGCTCGCGATCGCTTGTGGTGAACGGCGTTCCTGTCTGCAACTCATTGGTGGCGCTGCAACTCTCGTTCAAGGCTCGTTCGTACAGAGAGCACATTGTCTCTTTTTCAAGTCAACTAACCATTTCCCGCGCCCCTCCTTCCTCTCCGTCCCCCTTGCTCCCCCTTCCCCTCACTCCCGTCCCTTCATCCAGCTCGGCGCGCTGCAGGAGTTCGCAGCCTCTGGGCGGCCGGTGTGGGGGACGTGCGCTGGACTAATTTTCCTGGCCAACAAGGCGTTAGGTGCGTGGGGGGGAAGAGAAAAATGGAGGGGGAGAACGGATGGGGGAGGTTGGGGAGATGGGTGGGGGAGAAGGGATGGGTGAAGGGGAAGGGATGGGTGGAAGCTACTTCCTCCCCGTATCCCGTCACCACTTCCCTGCACTCCCTTCTGTTTAATCCATCAAGCAATCCATTGTTCAGGCATATCCATCATGCAATCCCTTGTTCATGCATTTCCATTATGCAATCCCTTGTTCATGCATTTCCATTATGCAATCCCTTGTTCAGGAATATCCATCGTGCAATCCAAACCGAGGAGGATCATCTGCTCGCTGCGACCATCATCGAATCAGAGAGACGGTGCACAGTGAAATATGAATAACGTATGCATGTACACGTTATTCATATTTCACGGTGCAACGTCTCTCTGATTCGATGATGGTCGCAGCGAGCAGATGATCTCCCTCGGTTTGGATTGCCGATGGATATACCTGAACAAGGATTGGCATGATGGAAATGCTTGAACAATGTGATTGCATGATGGTACGCCTGCTTGAACAATTGGATCGCATGATGGATATGCCTGAACAAGGAATTACATGATGGGATTGCTTGATGGATATGCCTTTAAAAGGGATTGCATGATGAATGTGGGAATGCAGTGACGCCTGAATGAGGGAATGCGGGAATGCCTGATTGAGAAAATGCTGGAATGCATGAATGAGGAAATGCGAGAATGTCTGAATGAAGGAATGGAGGGATGGGGGAATGCAGGAATTACGATGGACACACATATGGGAAAGGGGTATAGGCAATGTTTGCAGGCAAGACTTTTGATTTGATTGGAGCAGGCCCACTTGAAGTCATCCCGCTGATGCCCCTGAACCAGATTCGCTACTGTGTGGGAGAACAACTTGTGCCTTACACCATCCCCATAGCAGATTCTGCACAAGATTGTTCACACGCTGTAATGACGCCCCGAACCTTTCACCCAACGGAAAAAAAAAAAACAACAATAGATGTGAATCGCTACACTGAACTGAAGCGCACTTACTCATCCTACACCCCCGTAGAGTCTACAGAACCACATCAGCACAAACTTACATCCACCACATATCAAGGCAGGTGGGTTTTGAGGTGCCTCAAAACTAAACCCACATCCACCACATATTGCAGGAATGCAAATGTTGCTGCAGCCGGTGTATGAGAGCGGGGCGATCAGCAAGAATGCTGTCTGGAGTATGCACTATCACAATAGCACACTACCATAGACTCACATCCACCAAGTTTTACTCATGGCAGGTGCTCCTGCAGCCAGTGTATGAGGGTGGGGCAATCAGCAAGAATGCTGTCTGGGGTCCACTGCGGTACTGCTTGCTGCAAGCTCGAGTCAAAGCAAGATTCCGCGGAGTAAGCTACGGGTGAGCTACTCGTGCTGTTGCGTGGGCGTACATGGCCCTGCATTCAACAACACAAGCAAACGTCAAGAGGGAGGAGAAAAAAACACCAGGAAACTCATTGGCATCAAAAGACACGTATCAGGTACCAGCCCAGTAGCTCTGTGCTGAGAGTATGAAGGGCCTAACAGCCTGAGAGCTTTAGAACAGACTCAATCCCACACATCACTCCCACACATTCCACCTTGGTTGTCTCTCGCCATAACACAGGGCTGAGATCAATCTGGTGCTTCAGGCTGCTCCCAACCAACCTACCCGTTGATCCGAGCCAGCTTCCACCACGCTGCACCACACTAAACCTCGTCAGCAGACACGCGCACCATGCAAACCCTCTCAGCCACGACACTATGATAGGACTGTATTGATTACTCTGCCCCCCACTTCTTACCTTGGTTGTTTCCCGCCATGCCACGGGGCACTGGTCAATCTGGTGCTTGAGGCTGCTAGCCATTTCTGAGACGCCATGTACTAAAAAGGAGTGTACCTTCACTCCCACCATCTCACATTGGTTGTCTCCCGCCATGCCACGGGGCAAAGGTCAATCTGGTGCTTGAGGCTGCTCCCAACCTGCCCCGCTACCAGCCCGTTTATCCGTGTCAACCTCCACCGCACTGCACTGCATTAACCCTCGACACCAGACACATACACCATGCAGAACCGCTCAACCAGCGCAATCAAAGGAATGTGCCGTCTAGTTTCACCCTCGTCAAAACTCTCTCACCTTGGTTGTCCCTCGCCATGCCAAGGGGCACAGGTCGATCTGGTGCTTCAGGCTGCTCCCAACCTGCCCCGCCACCAACTCGTTTATCCGAGCCAACCTCCACCGCACTGCACTATATTAAATCCCGACACCAGTCATGTGCACCACGCAGAACCGCTCAACCAGCGCAACTAAAGGAATGTACCGTTTACCTTGGTTGTTTCCCGCCATGCCAAGGGGCACAGGTCGATCTGGTGCTTCAAGCTGCTCCCAACCTGCCCTGCCACCAACCCGTTTATCCGAGCCAGCTTCCACAAACGTCCGCCCGACTCCGCCCGGGACTTGTCCAAATGCCAACAGCCCATGACTCTGAAGCGACTGGATGGCGAGGATGAGACTGATTGGGAGGAAGGAGCAGGAGGGGAAGTGGGTGCTGTTGCTGCTGCTGATGGTGGTGATGGTGATGATGCTGACGTTGAGGAGGAGGAGAGAAGGGTGGTATCGAAGCCAAGGGTGGTGTCTGGCCAGAGAAGCCCCCCTCTTACACTCCTGTCGATGCCTGCTGTCGATGCTATGCTCTCACAGGCAGATCGAGTGGCATCCTGAGGAGGGGTGAAGGGGGCAGAGGAGGGGAAGGGTGAGATCAAAGCCAGTGGAGTGGAGGTGCATGGCCAGGCCAGGGCTGTGATGCCTGCCTGGAGGACCGGGTGGCGTCCTGGGGAAAGCAGAACGGGGGAAGGTGAGAGGGGGGAGGAGGGGAACCAGTGGAGGTGCATGGCCAGGCCAGGGCTGTGATGCCTGCCTGGAGGACCGGGTGGCGTCCTGGGGAAAGCAGAACGGGGGAAGGTGAGAGGGGGGAGGAGGGGAACCAGTGGAGGTGCATGGCCAGGCCAGGGCTGTGATGCCTGCCTGGAGGACCGGGTGGCGTCCTGGGGAAAGCAGAACGGGGGAAGGTGAGAGGGGGGAGGAGGGGAACCAGTGGAGGTGCATGGCCAGGCCAGGGCTGTGATGCCTGCCTGGAGGTTCCTCTTGCACTCCTGTCGATGCCTGCTGTCGATGCTACGCTCTCACAGGCGGACTGGGTGGCGTCCTGAGGAGGAGGGAAGGGGGAAGGGGAGCAGTGGGGCGGGGAGCAGTGGGGCGGGGGAGCAGTGGGACGGGGAGAGTGACATTTCAGTCAGTGGTGGTGTCTGGCCAGCAGGCCCCCTCTTTCAGTCCGGTTGATGACTGCTGTGAATGCTATGCTCTCACAGGCAGATCGAGTGGCGTCCTGGTTGATAGGAGGGGGGTGGAGAAAGGAATAGGAGAGAGGAAAGGGAGGAGGGATGTAAGGAGGAGGTATGTGAGAGGACGGATGTGAAGAGGAGGGATGTGAAGAGGAGGGATGTGAAAAGGAGGGATGTGAAGAGGAGAGATGTGAAGAGGAGGGATGTGAAGAGGAGAGATGTGAAGAGGAGGGATGTGAGCAGAAATTGGGATGTGAGGAGAGAAAGGGATGTAATGCAGGGAGGAGGGAAAGGAACGCTACATCTATCACACACACGTCACATGCACATGGAGGGAGCAGAACATCGACTCTTTCAGCAGTAGCAGGCGACTTTTAATTGCCTTAAAAGTCACCACCGGCACAATCGAGGGACATGCTGGGCCAGACATACGCACATCGAGGGAGCAGAGCCGTGAATCTCTCAGCAGTAGCAGGCGGAAGTCAATGCATCAAGAGAGTACATGCATGAAGCACCATAAGGGCAAGAGGGCAAACACACATCGAGGGAACAAAGCCTTGACGCAGCAGCAGGCGGAAGTCAATGGCGCTGGAGGGGCGAGCGATGTCAATGACAGCGTAGCGCACCGAGTTGTGCTTCACCTGGTGGGAAAAAGGGAAAAGATTCAGCTCACAAGAGAAAACCTCAAACATGGAGAGCTTTAGGGATGACATGGAGGCTTTGGAGTGATGGAGTGATGTGAGAAGGAAAAAAGACAGAGCTTTGACTGTTGACATAACAGTGACGAGTGGTAAGCATATCACTGAGGCGCACCTTAGTGAGGATAATTCCAGAGTTGTCAGGGTTAGGAACACAGATTAGCTTGTACTCGATGTCCAACTCGGTGTCTGCTATCTGTTGCGAACAAACGGCAGAAAAAAAAGGGCAAATTGCGTTTCAGATCATATTTCATATTTGTGTACAGTGTCAATCACTGTTTCTCACAAGGGGGGAGGAAACTGTCAAGCAAACTTGGGTGCTGCAGACAAGGGCAAGAAAATACAAAGAGGTGACTTTTGTGTCGACTCAACAGTCCACCTCTACCCAGGCATTACCCAGATGTGATAGCGCGATCGACCCAGGGTGGTGTCCGGCCAGACCAGCCCCCCTCTTGCACTCCTGTCTATGACATTACCCAGATGTGATAGCGCGATCGACCCTTGTATCGAATATTCCCTGCGCCTCCCTCTGTGGCCATCCCTTCCAGTGCATCAAAGAGGGTCTCTGGCAGGCCCGTGTCATATGAACGGAAGACAGGCACGGGAAGGCGGGACGCGTGCCTGTTGACGTGCGACTCAAATGCGCCTGCTGTGAAGGGCGGGAGGCTCGGAAGGGATCTGGTGGGTGGAAGGGACGGTGGGGGGAAAGGGGAGCATGGGGATTGGATTACCCAAACAAGGCAGAGAGGCCGATCCTTGTATTGAGCGTTCATCATCCGTGTCAGTGCATCAAAGAGGGGCTGAGGCAGGCCCGTGTCATATGAACGGAAGACAGGCACGGGAAGGCGGGACGCGTGCCTGTTGACGTGCGACTCAAATGCGCCTGCTGTGAAGGGCGGGAGGCTGGGGAGGGGGCTGACGGGAGGAGAGAGGAGCATAGGGAATGAGGGTGGGGTGAGGGGGCGGTAGAAGAGAGGCGGTGGGTGGATGCTGACGTGTGATGGGTAGAAAAGGGAGGGAGCTGATCAGGAGGAAGCATGGTGGGGGAACGAAAAAAAGGAGGGCGGGAAGGGGGGAGAGGCGCGAAAGTGGAGTTGAATAGGGGGTGGTAGAATTATGGAGAGAGATCGTTGATGAATTAGCCTTGCAACAGGAGTGAAATGCGAATAAATATCGGAGAAGGATATCGGCTACCCACCGGCAAGAGAGAAGGATAAGCCGACCGGGAAAAGCTGCTAGAAGAGCTTGCTTCAATAGAAATAAACATCAGCTTTCTCGTGCCACCCACACGGGGTCTGAGGAAACCCAAGGCCTTGCATCCCAATGCTAACCCATGAGTTGCTATTGAGGTGCCTTCGAAATTCACTGCCTCTGAGTACTCTCACTCAAGGCCCGCATCCCAAGGCTGACCCATGCCTGAAATCTTCGAGTCACGGACCTGAGAAGTGGAAATCTTTGATTGATCTTCACATCAAGTACCCGAGGAAAGAACACCCTTCCTTGATCTTCACATCCAGAGACTTACACGGGTACTGAGGCCTTCCAAGACGGGGACAGCAGCAGCTTCCCCAGCTTCACCATCAGCTTGCACCGCTCCACCACTCTCGCCCTTCTCCTTCCTAGCTCTGGCACGAGCTGTATATCCCTGTGAGCGGCCTCTAGTGCCCTGGCCAGAAGGCCTACTAGGGTGTCGGATAAGGAGGTTGGAGGAGCGGTGGAGAGGGGTGAGGAGGAGCTGGTTGGATTAAAGGTCCGGGAATCAGATGGCGAATCAGAGGGCGGATCAGAGGTGGGATTTGATTCGGGGTAAGAGGTAGCAGAGTCTGCAGCTGATTCGATATCGTCACGCGGAACCCGTGCTAGAATAGCGAGATTTTGATCCCAGTCGCGCTGTTGAGAACTATTGTGAAACTGCTGGAATCTGAGAACCATCCGCCAGTTACACCGAGACTGGCCCCCGTTACAAGCACATTCGGCACTGCAGAGGCCTCCCGTTACAGATGAACTTCGCTCGGCGAAATCGTCAACTAGGGTGCAGCAAACAGCATCAGGAGAGTTCTTTATCGAGATCTTCTTTATGGCGGGTTCATTGCCTCGGCCTCCTGCCGGATACGTGCGACCTCTGCCTCGACCTCTTCCCCCGAACCTGTTCTCCGAACCTACTCCCGAGCTTCGATAACCTAGGTTTGGCGCCGCCGCCGACGGAGCAGCAGGTTCGGCTGCGGAGCTGCTCGCGGCGGCTCGGCGATGCGGAGGGACGTACGGCATGGTGAGAGGCGAGAGAGGGAGGCTCTTGCGTCCCAATGAAATCGGACGGAGGGGATGGTGGAGGACGGGGAGACGTACAGATAGGTGATTGAGAAGCAGAGGAGGGTAGGCCGTCTATGGCGGAGTTCAGCAGGCATGCCACACTGAACAGAACAGAATGCTGCTAGCCGCGATTCGGAATCGAGTTTCTGACCCATCCCCGGTATAGGGTTTCCGTCTGTGTTTTTCAGGCTCTACATCTAAATTGTCTTCAGGATTGTCTACCTATACTTTTCAACTGTCCTGGTAGGTCAATGTTGCTTTTCTGACTGACAGTAGGTAGACACATTCCACGGATCTAGCTCTCCTCACCAGCTGCTTCCAACATCTCTTGAGAATCTGTTAATTGTAACCGACAGATGGTTGACACGTATTACTGTTATTTATTCATGATGAGGCCACTTCTACAGTGCCTAGCACTTCACACCAGCAGCTTCCAACGTCTCTCGAGAAACTGAACCTGCCTGCACTGCTGCTGCAAGCTCCCTCCTGTTGCTCTCATTCCCTTCCACCAGACACCTCGCAGCATAACCCACCCATTCCTTAATACCACCACTACCCCCACCAGGCTCTGCAATTATCTGTCTCAGAACCAGCACAAGACCAGAGACATCCCCATCTGTTCTTTCCCCTGTACATTTATACATTCTGACAGCGTCTTGATACGCTGGTCGGCGGTGACACGCGTTTGCAAGCACCGACACCAAATCAGATCGATATCCTGGATATGCTTCCTCCTTACTCTGCCCACTTGAACCTCCAGGCAGACTCACACCCTGGAGGAGATCCAGCAGCATCGGGATGATCTCGGACCCTCCGATCGCAACAAAAGCATCCTCGGCCGTTGATTTTGAGTCTGCAGCTTGTCCTCCTCCTGCTGCTGCTGAGGTTTCTGCAGGGGTGGCGTCTGAGGCTACTGGATGGGAGGTGGTGGAGGGCTCTTGGGCAGCAAGAACGCGGAGGCAGCGGAGGGAGAAGCAGAGCACGAGCTGCAGACACGTGAAGGACGTGGAGGAGGACGTGAGCGCCTTGCTGCCAGCCTCCTCCCGGGCCTTGCCCAGACCCACTGCTGCGTTTCTGCATGCCGTCAGAAGGAACTTGAGAGTCCCCGGTCCTATATCAGGCAGCCCATGCACCTGCCACCTTGACCCAGGCGCCGCAGGCTCCTCTGATGCATTATCGCCCTTGGAGTTCCCATCATCCTCGTTAGAAGCAGAAGGCAGGTCGATGACTGGGATCCCCCTCGCTTTTGCAGTGGCGTGAAGAGCGCCCCATAGGACCCACAGCAAGGCAGCTTGTTCCGGGCAGAAAAGCCCTCGGACCTGCCCGAGGGCAGGGCGCGGCGAGAAGTTGGGAAGGTTCTTGAAGACTGGCTCGAAGTACCGCGCGCGCAGGCAGAGCCTCTCAATTAACAGACCCAACCACTCGTCCATTCCGTTGGAGGCAGCGTCCGGGAGAGCTGCGCAAGAGGGGCGTGGAATGGGCGCAAAGAAGGTAAAGAGGGAGGTAATGAGTACACAAGACGGACGCCAAAATTGTATGAACAGGAGCGCAACAAGACAGGTGCACAGAGGAACAGGGACGAGCAGAGGCAAGGATGGAGAGAAAAGAGGAGAATAAGGAAACGAGGGGCGCGGAGATAGGGGATTTCTGCCAGTTTCAATAAAGAGCTGTGTGGAGACGGACGGGAGAGATTCTCAGCAGCACACGACAAGACATACCTGAGAAAACAGCCCCACCGCTGCCGCCATCCCGCCCCTCCGCGCGCGCAACGAGCGCCTCCCCTTGCGCCCTGAGCGCGCCCGCGAGCAGCGCGACCCCGTCCATCGATCCCCCCAACCCGTCGACGTGCTTGGGCACGGCGCGGCAGCACGTGAAGAGCACCATGCAGAGCGGGCGCTGCACCGCGGGGGAGCGCACTGTGGCGAGGCGCGAGAAAGTGCCGGGGAAGCAGCGGTCCCACACTGCCGTCTGATGGAGCTCGCCCGCGTTGGCAAAGTTGCCGATGACCTGCGGATGCGGACACACGCGGACGGGTGCGGATAGGACATGAGGGGGGGTCGGTACAAGACAGGGGGATCTCAGGTGAGAAGAAGGCACGGGAGAGAGAAGGGACGAGAAAAACGGAAATGGAGGCGGAGTAGCGTGGATGTGAGGCCCCTTAGTCAAAGAAGTCAGGTGCACGAATAAGTAAGCACCCGTTCGTGCCAATGGGTCCACTTGGATTCAATTTAGCATCCGCGTATAGGCGTGCGTGGCATGAGACGAGCCAGCCGCTTTAGTCAGATGCATCGCGACAACGATCAAGAAAAAAAAAAAGAGAAAACGAGAAGAAATCACCCAACAACATGAATCAGCCTGAAGTGAACTGAGGAGAGGGAGAGGAAGGGGAAGGAGGACGGGGGACGGGGGGTGGGGCGGGGAGGGGGAAAGGAGTGGGGCAAGTAAGGGAGCAGAGAAGAGCGTCGAAAAGTACAGGCCCTCACCTGGAGCACTGCCTTCAAGGCATCCACGTGGTCTCGAGGCAGGTCGATCTGCAGCGCCAGGTGCAGCACGGACGGCGACGCAGGCGGCAGCAGCGACGAATAAAACATGGGCGACATGGGGGTCATCGGGTTACCCGATCCTCCTCCCGCCATCGGCGAGCCTTGCGCGAGAGCCGCTGCGCCGCCCGCGGGGGAAGCCGCGCCGGGGAGAGCGCCGAACGACGCGGCGGAAGGGGAGAGGAGGGGTAAAGAGAGCGTTCCGGTGCCCTTCCTGTTGATGGACCGTTTCCGCCTATGGGCTGCGTTAGCTCCCCCCGCAGAAGTGGCTAAAGCGGGAGGACGGTTGAGCATGCGCGCGGAAGGCGCGGAAGAGGAACTGGTGGCGGAAGCGGAAGCGGAAGCAGATGCGGGTTTTGAAGACGAAAGTTCGTCAGATGTGCTGACAGAAGACGCTGCGGCAGAAGCAGCTCCGCTACCCACTTTCAGCCTTGCAAGCTGGGAAGCCACTTGGGTCGAGTCTTCACTTGCATGTTGAGAAGTGTCAGGTCCCGATGCTGGTTGATCAGCAGCAGGTGCTGCAGAGACATTGGCGGTACCGCTTGCTGCAGCGAGATTTCCGCCGGAAGGAGTGGTGCCTGGCAGCGGGGTTTGGAGGACGATGTGACTCGATACAAGCCGGTCCGCGATAGTAGCTACAGCGTCCAGAGCACCGCATTGTAAAAACGCGTTTTGATTCGTGGCGAGGCCGGCGAGCAGGTTCCGAATAACTCGAAGAACTTGCACCAACGGTCGGATTGCTGGTTGTGCAGCAGCGATACCACTGGATCCTGGAGCATCGATAAGCTCGGATGCAGCAATAGTAGCCGCTGATGTTGATGCTGACGGCTCATGTAGATCTGGATCTGCGGAAATAGACCACTCAGTGGAAAGCCGGTCAATGAAGCTTGAAGATGCAGATCCGTGACATCCGTCCACAGCCGACGGTCCAGATACGTCGCTGGATCGTTGAAGACCGTAAAGCTCGGGACAATGCCGAGAAAAATCAGGAAGAAGGTTAATCAATCGCGTAACGGCAATCCCGCCGGCGACGTCTGCGTCACTCTCCAGCCATGTCCGGTCCTTGGATTTTAATAGGAGATCAGAAATTACTCGCTGCAACGGATCTAAAGATTCAAGTTTTCCATCGGCAAATTGAGGAGCAAGCTGTTCGATTTCCGAAAACAGATCCTCCGACATGGCAGCTGCTGCATCAACGCAGGGCGAACCTTCACGTGGAACTAATCAAAATCCACAAAAAAAAAACGAAAACGGATCAGCAAACTTAGGTGAGAAGAACTATGCGAGAAATTCAGTAAGATACTGTATGTACAAGCGTTCCAGCATTGCCGGTCGGTGATGTTTTGAAGAAAACCGTTTCACTAGAGAAATTAATGGCTGCTATCCTGCCGCTGCTTCAGAAGCAGTGCTTCTGCTGGTTGTGAAATCTGGAGAAACAGCCAGCCGTCGGCTGAAAAGAAATGGCTTTCCTCCGCTCTCCACCCACCCCCGCTTCCCGAATCCCGACCTTCCTGAAAAGGTTTCCACGCAGATCGGTTGTTTCGGGGGTGTGGGAGGTTCCGTGTGGTGAGTAAAATACAAGGAATGTTAAGTGTACTGCTTCGTAACAATCTCTTATACACTAATACTAATGCGCGAGTTTTTCGACCAATGTTGATTGATTTGATTTGTTTTTGGAAAAATTATGCCTTTAATTTATTCATGAAGTAATAATAAAACAAAATCGTATGACATTATCAATTTGGTAAATCATGAACTTCTGAAGTGTATACCAGCAAGGCAGTACACTACAGTGCTTATGTAGACAATGACTGCCTGTCCAGCACCGCATCAAGCTTCGATTTCGCCTTGCTGGCCATTTGGCTGTGCGTCCCTCCCTCCCTCCCAATCTGCTGCCCTTGGTGTGGTTGCACCTAACCTGGTTGGCGTCTCCCCCTTCTCCTCCCACCCATTCATCCATCACCAACCAACGTAAGGCCCAACCCCCAATCAAATCGCTACAATTCACTCTGGGCAGGCAGCATATTTCCGCTGCAGTCAAATCCGCTTGCCTGGCCGTTCCATTGGACGGTCCTCCTGCTCAACTCACCCTCCAACTTCCCTCGAGCAGCTCAACCATTTCTCAGGGCAGACGGGGTCACGGAGACCTGCTGCCGCCATTCTTCCGTTCCGTCAACGTCTCCGTCGCCCGTCCAGCAGCCTGCTGCCATCCTGGAGATCTATCTGTTGTGGCAGTGTTCGACAATACCAAGGGACCAACAGACAGACAGAGAGACAGACAGTGAGATAGCCCAACGGCGTTTGCCATGGACTGCTAAGCCCCGCCATTGGACAAACTATTCACAGCCTTGCCATTCAACCACCATTTTTATTATCCTGGCATTACGCATAGCTGAATTCGTGAAATTCGTTGTATCGCTTATAGGTTCTGCGTGAGACGTTCCTCAATGCTACTTGCGTGGTTGAAAAGCAGAGTGTTGCGGAGACTCTTTGGCTACTCGCCATTGCCATTAGCTATCCAGATGGCAGGATTTTTTCTAGTCTTGCAGTTACGTCTATGTTGTGTAGAGATGCACGTCGCATAACGGAGCTATATCTTTCTGGTAAGGTTACGCACCTTGCAATCACAGCAGGTTACTAGTCTGAATCGCGATACCGAAAGAGGAAAAGCTACCCGTCGCGACGCGCATTCAGCTATCATGGCTTACCACCACAGCTTAATCTTCGGCCTTGGCGGGATTCCGTTGATGAAATCGTCAACGGTCACAAACGCCGTCAACGACAAAGAGAACAAACCAGGCGGGTTACCAGAACCAGTTCTCGAGCTCGCGAAAAGAGTGTATTATAACACCATTCCCGCATCGCTTAGCTTGACCGGCGGCGGAACCATCGGCCGGAGCGGCACCGGAACGATCGGTAGACGGAAGAAGACCAAGAAAGACCAGCTGGGGTTTCCGCCGACGAAACCTAATCGATTCGTCGAAGAAGCCAAGTTCCTGTCGATTGAGGCTGCTGCCGTCATGCGGAAGCTGCTGTGGCTGTGGTCCACGATCAGCCCTGAACAGATCGAACGGCTGCGGACGAGTCTCCAGGTATGCGAATACAGGACGCGTAGCCATGTGTCAGGCAACCCATTCATGTTTGAGGTTTCTATTTCCTCTGCATCTTCGCGCATTAACACGTACATCAAGCGAAGTGAAGAATCTGGATGACAATCAATTTCATATTTGGCGGGAGCTGCTGCTGTCAAGGATTGAATCACGCACTTGTGGACTGGCGAATGCGCATTCATGGTTTATGGTTCGTTCCCGCTGAATGGGTGTAGGAATGTGTGTCTGAATGCGCCAATGTATCCGCGATAAAGGATACGCACGCGTCCATCAATGCACCCATGATGGTCACACATATTCGTCGAGAATGCACTCTTTCATGCGTCCATCCATGCACCTGTAAGCAAATCCACTCATTTGCGTGTGCGTGCGTGCATCAATGATGTCAACAGCACCCCTTAATGCCGTAACTCACCCAATCACATTCACTTTCATGCCTTGACTTTACGCATCTTATCACGTCCCCTCACCCTCCCCCCCCCCCCCCCCCCAACCCCACCCCGCACTCATTCCACTCCCTACCCTCTCTCTCCCCCTTCTCCCCGCTCTCCCCCCACTCTCCCCTCTCCCCCACAAACCCTTTCCCGCGCGCCCGTGCGTACGTCACACCCTCTCCAGTAGTACAAGGTTGTGTTCATGTACGTTCGTCCTTTTCCCCCAACCCCACTCGCACCCACTCCGCTTACTCTCCCCGTCTCCACTTACCCCCCTCTCTCCCCCTTTCCCTCCCTCACCCCCGCACGCCCGTGCGTCCCTCACACACCCATCTCAGGAGGACAAGGCTGTGCTCACGTACGTCTGCCCTGACCCCGCGCACCTGTGGACCCTAGCAGGTACGCTTCAGGAATGATCCAGGCGTGCCTCTCCCATCATAGTTACGTTGCATCAAATCTTACTCCTCACCCCCGCCTTCCCCCCCCTCTCCACCCCCCAACCGGCGAATGCCGCCACTTCCCCCCCAAACGCCCAGCTGTTCCCGTTACCCCTGAATGCCACCCACGCCCCCCCTGAATGACATCTCTTAAATGCGACCCCTGATTCCGCGAATGCCATTTTTCCCTCCTAATAATCAACCCTTTTCCCCCTAATTGCCATCCCCGTTCCTCATTGCCCCCATCATCCCGCATTGCCTCAACACCCCCATCAGGCTTGGAGCTCATGAGTGCGTTGTGAGATTCTGAAATCCTCTCCAGAATCTCCAGGTGATGGGGATTCTGGAAAGGATGAGTGTGGCGGCCATGGGCCTCAAGTGTACAATAGTCGAGTGCAGATATCCCCCTGTCATTCCTGAATCCTAATTGCCTCAACACCACCTTCAGGCTTGGAGCTGATGGAGGTCTTAGAGAGGATGGGCGAGCGCGTGGCGGCGATGGGGCTCAAGTGCGGGGAGAGGCGGCTGCACCAGCTGGCGAACGTGTTTGGGGAGATGCGGCACCCCGAAACCGTCTTCTCCCACTTCAGACTCGACGCGCACGAGCAGGAGACGCTCTTCTGGTGAGACGCTATTTTCATGAGACGCCGTTCTGGTGAGATGCTCTATGCCGAGGACTGCAGAACAGGTTTATGCTGCATGTGTGAGGGAGGGGCCAATTCTCAGGCACCCAACAAAGGAGCATGATACAATCTTCTTTTCCCACTTCAGGCTCGACGCTCAGGAGCAGGAGGAGACACTCTTCTGGTCAGTCGCTCTATCCGTAATGTATGTATGTACGTGCTGTGGTGGTCAGCAGAACTCTGTTACAAGTGTCTAATACCATTCCACAACCAGCCCTGCTCGTAGCCCCGCCACTGTTCCGTTCCGCCTCCCCCTGTGTCCTTTTGCAGCTTTGTGCTGGAGGAGGTGTAGAAGCAAGCAAGGGGAGATGCGCACGCAGCTGCATGGTGTTTGAATTGCAGTGGTCGCCGCTGTGTCCACGTCTGGAATGCCTTGTCCGCAAATCCCTTCCCCACTCCCCCTTCCCCATGCGTGCAGCTTCATGCAGGAGGAGGTGGAGAAGCTGGGGGACGTGCGCAGTTCCATGGAGCGACTCAACACTCTGCGCTCGTTGCTCAGGTGGGGGTGGAAGCTGAGAACGTGTACCATGCACAGCGTTGCCATGCCGCAACCTTGCAATGAGATGTCCTTGCCATGCCATGCCATGCCATGCCCTTGCCGTTCCTCTCACCCTTGCCGTGAAATCCTTGCTTTCTCTTCGCTTCCCACAGGAAGAAGAAGCCTGCACCGGCCACTAGTCTTCTGTCTGAGCTGCAGGCCGCCTCAGCGTACGTCTCTGTGCCTCCCTTTGCTTCCCGTTCATTGGGTGTGTTCCTTCGTGGGTTACTAGGTCTTGATGTGCGTCTCGCTGTGCAGTCCCACTGTCACTCACGCCTCTACTGCGCTCTCCTCCGTCCCTCCTCCGTCCTGTTGCTGTTCTTTCGCACACTCTCCAACACTGCTTCTATCCTCCTCCCCCCCTTCTCTCCAACACACCCACTCACCCACCACCTCACCTTCCCATCCCTATGCACAACAGGGATGCTCTGAGCGATGGCGAGGGCAAGGAGGCAGAGAAGGAGGGTGACTCGTCCTCTGAAGAAGCCAAACCCCCACTACTCCATACCCCTCACATGCCCCCCTCATTATCCCCCCTCCCACCACACGCCGCCACACCTTCCCATCCCTATCTACTCAACAACAGAGATGCGTTGGCCGATGGCGAGGGCAAGGAGGAGTCAGAGAAGGAGTGGGACTCGTCCTCTTGGCTGTCATATACCTCCCACCAATCCAACCGAATCCCCTATCCCCTTCCCCCCCCTCCGTCCCCCTCTTCCCCCCTCCCCGACACCCATCACGATGCACAAAAGTGACGCCCTGGGCGATGGCGAGGGCAAGGAGGAGTCAGAGAAGGAGGGAGACTCGTCCGCGTGGATGCCTCGCTGCGACCTGCCAGGAGCAGAGGAGATTCTCAAACTGGTAGGTCACTGGGTTGGTGGGGTGGGGGGGGAGAGGGGGGCCAAGGAGGGAGGAGGCAGAGAAGGAGGGTGACTCGTCCGCATGGATGCCTCGCTGCGACTTGCCTGGAGCCGAAGAGATTCTCAAACTGGTACGGTTACCTCGTTACCGTCTGCCCGTGCAGCATCTTGAACTATCGGCTCATTGATGCTCATAGCAGCCTGTGTTCCATTTTTGCTGAATGCCTCTGATTAGTTAGTCCTCACTTCATCCTCCACATCTCTTTCCACCCCCTTTTCACCCCTTTCCACCCGTTTTATTCCCGAATTTTCCCATGCAGACGGCAACGATATCAGAGCTGCAGAGCCGGTGCCTGTGGTCTGTTGAGCTGGACCATGTTGTGCGGGTGAGTGCAGTCTGTGTGGGCATTCATGGATAGAGCAGCAAAACACATCTCATGGGACGAGAATGGAATGGACCATGCAGTGAGCTTGAGTCAAGAATGCAGTAGGCAGAGTGCCAGGCATCCGTACTGAGTTGATCTTGTGATTCTGCATCCCACCATACCATCCGACCCCGCCCACCCCCACCAGCTGTTGGTGCTGGCGATCATCCTCCTGAGGGACAGAATCATATCAGTCTTTGCCATCAACGCGCGCTCCTCCGACGCCTTGACTCGCGAGGGCTCCCTGGGCCGCGCTGGGCTGGCGCTGCGCTACGCCAAGGTCATTAATCTGGCAGAGAAGCTCATGAAGTACCCGTTCATGGCTGCTGGCAGCACACGGTGGGTGCAAAGTGTACATGGGTTGAGTGCATACAGCCTGAGTGATTGTAGCAAGCACAGTAGCAGTGGGCTGGCGCTGTGCTACGCCAAGGTCATCAACGTGTGGATATACCCCAAGCTATTACATGACCTGGCATCCCCACTTCACCTGACACTTCCTCAAGGCGCCACTATCAGGCCACAGGTCCCCCAATAGTCTGTGTGGCAGCCTGCACACGGATTTTACGTAATAAATATTGCTTATGAATGGGGGGAGAATGATGGTAATGGCGTGGTTAGATGATGGCGTTTCGAGAAGGCAGCAGGTTAAGGGCTGATGCCAGATCGTGTAGCAACTTGGGATACTCCAAAGATTCCCTTTTCCCACTCAACCCCTTCCACGTCTTTTCCTCCCACTCCTAAAGATAAGCTGCCCCATGGCCTCAAACATAACAGCTGCCCCATGGCCTCAAACATGACAGCTGCCCTATGGCCTCAAACATAACAGCTGCTCTGCTTTCCCCTCCCCCCTCACTACCCCCTTTTTCCCTATTTCCCTGTGTCCAGAGACGAGCTGTACGGCCTGCTGACCTACAGCACAAAGAAGGACCAAGAAGGGTATTATCCTGGCTTTAGCTCCCTCTCCCCCTCCCCGTATTCTGTCTCCCCCCATCCAGGGACGAGCTGTACGGCCTCCTGACCTACAGCACCAAGAAGGACCTCGCCCTGCGGCTATCCCATCCCAGCTTTAGCGTCGCTGCTTGTTTCCCCTCCTGCTTTTCTTACTCTTGTGTCTCCCCATCCAGAGACGAGCTGTACGGCCTCCTGACTTACAGCACCAAGAAAGACCTCGCTTTGCGGCTCTCCCGGCCTGTTACCTCCTCCAAGAGCAAAGACCCCAAGGCAGAAGAAACCGCCGACACGCAAACAGGGAAGGGCGCTGGCAAGAAAGGGGAAAAGAAGAAGGATGGAGATGAGGATGAGGAGGATGACGATGATGATGATGATGATGATGATGGGTTTACATGGTTAAAGAAACCTAGTCCGTTAAATGACCCGCGCGGTCTGGGTGGGAAAGGAGGAGCGGGGAAGGACGGGGAGGAGGAGGACGACGAAGATATGGAGGAGTGGGAGAGGCGGATGCGGAAATCGTTGAGTCTGCTGCCTCTGCTGGCGCAGCACACGATTGCATGGAACGATGCCATCACTGTGAAGCCGTCGTCGAACCGCAAGGCCACTCGCCTGCTGAGAGTTCAGGTGAGGAAACAGTTCTTGAGGAGACAGGTCTGCTGCCTCTGCTGGCGCAGCACACAATCGCTCGGAACGATGCCATCACTGTGAAGCCATCGTCGAACCGGAAGGCAACACGTTTGCTACGAGTGCAGGTGAGGAGACAAACAGTTTTTGAGACGCCTCGAGAGTAAGGTTGAGCTTTCTGCCTCTGCTGGCGCAAAGCACACGATTGGTTGCAATGGAACTGTGAAGCGGTCTTCGATCCGCAAGGCGACACACTGCTGTTTGTTGCATCACTTTCCCCCTTCCCGCTCCCCAGGTTCTGTTCTGTACCACGCGCACAAGGCTGTCTTTGAAGCTTCTCTCCTCGACGCCCTGGTCTCGAGGGGCGCACTTCAACACTGCACACCCATCCACCCACCCAACATCCGCATCCGTTTCCCCTCCGCCCCTTTCCCCCCCCTCCAGACACTGTACCATGCACAGAAGGCAGTGATCGATGCCTCTCTCCTCGACGCCCTGGAGGGCTTGTCTCGCCTCGTTGCCTCTGATGCCTCCAACCTCACACAGCTCAACTCCTGCAAGATGGAAGCCATGGCTGCTCTGGCACCCCGTCAAGGACTCACTACCCATACATCCGGTCTCCCCTTTCCCCTACTCCCCTCTCCCTGCCCCCCTCTCCTCCCCCCCCCCCAGACGTTGTACCACGCGCAGAAGGCAGTGATTGATGCATCCCTCCTGGACGCCCTGGAAGGGGTATCCCGCCTCGTCGCCTCCGATGCCTCCAACCTCACGCAGCTCAACTCCCGCAAGATGGAGGCCATGGCTGCTGAGGCCCGGAAAAAGCTCGACAAAACCTCCGCAGATTCCAAGAAGCCCCGCGCGGTCATGATATCGGGGATCTTCAAGCCCAAGCGAGCAGCCGCAGGGATCGTGCACGGCGCGCCGCTGCCTATGGTGTTTGAGCCGGCGACTGAGGTGGGGAAGGTGACGGAGAAGGGGAAAGCACCGGAGCTGTCGCCGAGGGCTGCTGTGCCTCTGTCTCCCACTGGGGCGTCTGCTGCTGAGCCTGCTGCGAGTTTTCTGGTGAAATCTGGGTCGGTTTCAGCTCCCAGGTCGGTCTCTCCTGTTTCTGCTGCTGCTGCTGCTGCTGCTGGTGCGGCCTCTGCCCGGACAAGGTTTCCCACGTCGGCATCTGTTTCTGTTGCTGGTGCTTCTGCTGGTGCCTACAGGTCATCTGACTTGACTCTGAAAACCCCCCGGCCTCTCCCTGCACTACCAGCAGCACCTGCGTCCGGCCCAGGCCAAACCACAGCTCCGCTCCCCCCCTCTCTCCTCGCTCAATCTCTGCTCTCCACCTCATCCCTACCATCCTCTCAGTTAGCTTCACTCGAACCCATTCCTCCTCTGTCTCCTCCCCCTTCTGAGACTCTCTCCACCCCACCTGATGCCCTCGGCTCACCCAAAAGCCCTCTGAAACCGCGCCCTCCCTCACAGCCGCCCGTGCGCCCCCCTTTCCGTGGCTCTGCTGCTAATAGCGTAGACTTAACTGGGGGAGGTGACAACCCGAGATCTCCCAGGGGGTTTGTTCGGGCTGGGGCCGAGGCAACAGGGGGTTCAGCAGGGGCTGGGGGAGAGACGGGGGCTGGGTATGCGGATGGGCCGCCTAGATCGCCCCGTGCTTATGTGCGTTTTGCTGATGCTCCTGCTGGTTTGGGCGGTGAGACCAGCAGCAGCGGCAGCAGCAGTGGTAGCGGCAGTGGGGACAGAGAAGAAGCAGCAGCACCTGGAGCCGCTGCAGCAGTGGCAGCGGCAGGGGGTTTCAGGGAAGGTGGAACTAGGGACGGCTCATCTAGCCCAGCATCACCCCACGGCCTTTCTAGACTCAGCCCTAGCACCCCCCCCAACAGCAACGCCACAGACAGCAGCCATGCCAACCGCTCTGTGAGCCCTCTCGGCCAATCACATCGCTCCACGCCCTCCATTACAATCATACCACCGTCTCACAGCCGAGTGTCATCCACGTTCCGAGCGCCCGTGCCCCCCGCCCTCCTGTCGCCCACCTGTGTGATCTACGATGCCACTCCCAAGTCCCCGGCGCCTGTGGCGAGCTTGCAGCGGCTGAATGCAAGGAAGGAGACGCGGGACGAGCCGTTTGTCACCACGGAGGGGCTGCTGGCACAGGCACAGGCAGAGGCCCTGAAAGCTCAGGCACAGGCACAGGCCGAGGCACAGGCTGAGGCAGAGGCAGAGGCCCTGAAAGCACAGGCATTGAACGCACAAGCCATGCACACACAGGCAGAGGTTGTGAAAGCACACGCCTTGAAAGCTCAGGCCCTGAAAGCACAAGCACGGGCTGTGAAAGCACAGGAAGAGGCAGAAGCAGATGTGCAGGCACAGGCGGTTGCACGGCTGCAGGCTCAGGTGTCGTTTTCTTTGGACAGGTCTATCGGCCAAGGAAGCCGGTCTGCTTTGTCTGAATCTCCCAAGACTCCTCCCACCACCGCTCCTGCTTCTGCTTCTGCTTCTTCGCACCTCCCTCTCTCCCCCTCGCCCTCCTCCCCACTTCCCGTTTTCCAACCCACCTCCTCGTCAAGCCCTCGCCCCTCCACTGCTCCCTCTTCCTCCTCTCGCCCCACCACCCCCTCATCCCGCCCCACCACCCCCTCCTCCCGCCCCATCACCCCTCCCTTAAAAACCTCTCTGCCCTTCCTGCTAGGCACCTCCTCTCGCCCCACCACGCCTCCCATGCTCGGCTCTTCCTCCAGTGTCTCCTCTGGATCTGTCATGTCCAGCCGCCCTTCCGATGCCGTCACGTGTGAGTGCCGCACCGGGCTGGGGTTGCGGAGAGACAGGCTTCGGAACGTGTGGATCGAGAGGGATGATGACGATGAGGAGTGGGACGGGGAGCGGGACAGGGAGGGGGACGGGCGAAGCCTGAGGGATGGGGCGGGGGGCGGGGCAACTCCCCCTAGGTCGAGGGGGAATTCGCTGAGTCGGAGCATTGGAGGGGCACTGCGGGTGCTGCAGCGGGGAATGAGCGAGCAGGAGAGGGGCAGGCATAGTAGCTTGAGGGGAAGTAATTTGAGTATGAGCAGCGGGAGTGGGGCTGGGAGTTTTGGCGGGCGGGGGAGTTTGAGAGGAGGGCAAGGGAGTGGCCTTGGTGGTGGTGGCAGAGATGGTGGTGGTGGTGGCGGTGGCGAGGGTGGTAGTGGTGCTGGTGTTAGCAGTGGTACTGGTGGTGGCAGCAGTGGTGCTGCTGCTGCTGCTGCTGCTAGTGGTGCAGCTACTGCTGCCATCGCTGCTGCTGTTGCTGGCCCTAGTGGTGGTTCTGGTGGTCCTGCTGCCGGTAAAGCTGCTAGTGGGTTTCGTAACAAAAGTGTAACCGGCGAGGGTAGTATACGGAGTGGGGGAAGGAATAGTGTGGGCGGCGGGGAGAGTAGCGGAGGTGGAATCTATGGCGTTGGAAGCACGGGTGGGGGAAGCACATACAGTGCTACAAGTAGCAACATAAATTATAATTCCAGCGGTGGTAGCGTCAGTGGGAGCGCAGACAGTAGAATTCCGTTTGGGTTTGAAAGGCCGTTGCCAGTGGTGAAGCGGCCAAGTAGCAGTGGAGGCAGGAGGCCAGCAAGTAGTGGTGGTAGAAATGGTGAGGCTTTGGCAAAGGCTTCTCCCAAAGAGACTGGTGGCAGTGACGGCGACGAGCCGGAGCTTCAGCGAGCGTCCACTAGAGGCTAGTTAACTCCACTATGCTTAAGTGCAAGCTTTTACGGTATGTGTTGTAGTCTTGTGTTGCGGATGTGTTATTGTTTTATATTTTAGTCGTTATAGAGCTGTAGGCATTTGCTTTCCTACCTTTGTTGCTGCCTATGCCATCTGACGGTTGCGTTTCTTCCAGATGACGTGGCAGCCCGCCAAGCCGCACAACCATCAGCAGAGACACTGTAAAGTGACGTGGTCACGAATCATGCCACGTCTTGCAGCAGACAATTATAGAAATGTCCTTATAACGACCTTGCTTGTGACGCAATCTTGTGTGCCTTCGAGAAGGCCCCGCCCAAGCGAGCGGAGATGCGAGCCCATTGGCGATAGTCGCCACATTCGTTATCCATCTCGTCGTCAGCCTGTAAAGTTGCGCCTTCCCGTCACCTTGCACGTCGGCCGTCAAGTCGAGGTTCCACCGTCAGCTCGGATATTCCGACTGTCAGGCATCGGGATTATCCTCTCGTACACGCTGCACTGTTTGAACCTCGGGAACTCATGGTTCCAGGAACTAGGGAGAAGGGCTTGCAGCCAGAAACATGCTTGAGGAGCATCAGCAACTTTGAGGCTTTTCAGGAGCAATTTTAGGAACTTTAGGAGATTGAAGGAGATCAGAATCAGGAATCCGTCCTTAGTTGAATAACTCGTTGAAGCTCCACTAAGGCGCTTGAGCTAAAGAGGAACGTTTTTTTTTAATATATATATGTAGGATCTAAAGAGGCCCAGCTCTATTCGCACAGTATTTCCAGAAACAGATATTTGTTAGTTGATATTTTCTTTTTAGTGAGGAGTAAAGCGAAGGCCATTCCGGTGTTTTTCTAGACATCTCTCAGGAGTATACAAACATTACACGGTGTCATTCCTTCAAGTCCATTTGATCGTCAGGTTCCTTGGATAGTGTGGAGAAGTGGCTCGTGGAAGGAATTTTTAATATAAGCGCTCATCCATTTGACGATATCACGTATTGAACTCTAGACCCAGCTGCCGTTCGGCCGTCGGGTTTCATCTAGATTCCTCCATCTTTTTTTCTTGCTGTCTCAGAGTGTGTATTCTCTGACCGCACCGCAATGGCAGCTGCGATGATGAGCCTTGCAGGTAACTAGTTGATATAGATTCAAAAACAGTTATCCAGTTTCAGCGTCTGAGGTTCTCCTATTTTTCAAACATAAGTCTTATTATTGTTTCTCGGGGTTCATCTTCGACAATCTTACAGCAGAAATGGCGGTCAGACCTTCTGCACCAGCCGGTGCCGTGGTGGCTGTGTCTCGCTCAGGCTCTTCCGCTCGAGTAGCCACGCCAGTCTTACCTCTTAAGGTAGGTTATTACTCTAAAATATATTTCAGATGGACTTCAGTCCGGCCTCCCGTATCATCGAGAAGTTTCTTGCTGATGAAGTACAGCTTTCTTTCTTTCGCCATCACCACTCCCTCGGTTTCCAATGCTCCCTGCCAGTTCGTCGTTCGTTCCCCTGCAATCGCTCGTTAGGTCACCGCTTCCCGTTCCTAGGCAATAAAGGTTTTTTTCTGTGTTACCTCCTCATCACATCGTCCCAACCCTGGATTTTTCCCAATATTTTTTCTTCCCTGACGCTCTATCAGCCTCATAAACCATTGTCACATCGCCAAGCATCCACTCAACAGAGTCCAGAACGCGTGCAGCTAGCGTCAATGCCAGAGCAGGAATCTTCCGACCTGGGAGACATGGCCAGATGGCGTCTCGTGTTCAGCACGCTTTTTCACGCTAACGGGTTAGCAGAAGAGGCGGTGGAGATTCCTAGGTCTGGTCACGCAGGGATTTCAGGTCAATTTGAGACGGTGGAGGTTCCTGGTCATTTCAGTGCGGAGGGTGAAGGGTGAGTTCTGACCTTGCTCCTTGGTGAACCGTTTGTGTTTTCCTGCGTCCTGTTCAATAACTCGCCTTTACCACTCCGTTCAATCCCTCCCCACAGCCTGCAGGGCACTCATCATGTAAGGGATGGCGGCCTGCTTCCCCTAGGTGAGAGGTGTGAGGCATATGCATCCAGTTCCGCTGTGTTCTTTTGTTTATCATGGACAATGTTGATATTTCTCGCCATATCTCTCGTTATAAGCCCGCTCCGATTACCTGTCTGTCTCCTTGCAGTCCAACCAACCTATTTCACTCCCGCTAAACTTTTCTATGTTACCGCTTCACTTGTCTCATTGTGTTTCGCAGTTTCCATGACGGGAGAAGAGACAAGGATGGATGCAGAACAAGTTAACGGCAGAAAGGTATGTGAATTTTGTGCACATGCTGAAGCTGCAGTGTACTTTGTGCTGTCCTTTTCTGTCCGTATCCTCCCTGCGGTCACCATCTACCCATCTTTGGAAGGGTGCCCCCTCTCCTGCTCTTTCACGTTATAAGTCATTTCATACTCGCTTGCTGCTGCTGTTTACTTCTCATCGTTTTTGCTTTCTCCCTCTCATTCTTCGTCCTTTCCCCACCTTCCCGCCTGGTGCACGCGGTTCTTATCTTCCCTGCAGTTCCCCCACCAGCATGTACTGGGAGTTGCCACCTCTGACCCACCTGGAAGCACTCAGCTCCAGACCAACCTAGAGGTACCGTCACTCAATTCAAGTCCGAGCAGACATGCAATGACATGCAAGTTCTTTGAGCCTGATTCTGTCTCAGTCATGTCGGGGTAATTTCTTTCGTTCGTCTCTCAGTTGATTCCGGTCCTCCCATACCACTCGTCCAACTATCCGTCCCTTTGCATCCTTCTCTGCTCTGTTCTCTCTGTGTGCATGTTCTGCCTGCAGCCGAAGAAGGATAGTGAGCTGAGGGACGACTACTATGTGAATGTGGGGTACGCCATCAGAACACTTCGGGAGGAGCTGCCAACTCTCTTTTACCGGGACATGACATACGACATCTACAGGTGTGTGTTTGGGACATGACATGTGTGTGCGCGTGTTTTGAGGGCATTTGTTGGGTTTGCCCTTCTCCCTGTCTTCAAGTCAGTTTTTCATTTCTTCCTGTCTTCCTTGTCCCCCCTGTTCTACCCCTCCATCCGCATTGCCTGACGCTCGCCCATTACAAAAGGCATCGAGTTCCACCACTGACGCGCTCACAGTCCCATCTGTCCCTCCCATCTGTGCTTCGTACACTTCAATATACTGCTGGTGCTCGCCCATCAGGGAGGACATAACCTTCCAGGACCCGATGAACACATTCAAGGGCGTGGACAACTACCGCCTCATCTTCAAAGCGCTGCGCTTCCACGGAAAGATCTTCTTCAAGGCGCTGTGTGTGGACGTGCTGCGCGTGTGGCAGCCCAACGAGCGCACCATCCAGATCCGCTGGTCCGTCCGCGGCATCCCCCGCCTCCCCTGGGAGGCCCACGGCCGCTTCGATGGCACCTCGGAGTACAAACTCGACAGTTCTGGGAAGATCTACTCGCACAAGGTGGATAATATCGTGATGAGCGACCCGCCGAAGTATCAGCCGTTGACGGTTATGGAGCTGCTGCGTCTGTCAGGGGCACAGACCACCCCCACCATTTCGTGCTCGTGCAGAGTCTCCCAGTCAGTTTCTTCTTCAGCGTCTCCTTTGGAGGGGTCTGGCGGGCCTGGTTTGCCGTCGTTTCAGCAGCTGTTGGCAGAAGGAGCGGTGTTTCTGGCGATGGTTAGTAGGTTCACCTGGATCAGGTTTTACTGCGCGCTGAGTGGGACGCTTGCGCTGCAGAAGAGGAGTGGGGGAGGTGACGGCGAGGAGGAATTGGCTGCTTCGTCAGGGTAGGGTTCATATATGGGGTCTGGGTGGGTGGTGACTGAATGATGGTTGAACTTGAACCGTGTGGTTTGTGAATGTGCTGGCTGTACGCGCGGTAGCTGTAGGATTGGATGTGATGGTTTTATTGTATGCTGCTTTGGAGGCTGCTTTTGGTATGTTGCTGTACAGGGAGCTTCGATAATGTAGCTCTTCTTAGGTGAGTGAAAGCTGGATACTGTACCGTATATGCAGCTTTGTAATGCCATTAAGGTGCTTATGAATCACTGTTTCATGCTTTTCTAATTCGGAGCTGAACTCTTGTATCGAGAATGGCAGGGGGCGGCTTACAAGCCAATCAGTATTGAGGCGGCGCAAGCATCTGGCTGCTCAATGCACCAATCAACGTAGAGCCGAAATCAAAGCTCAGCGTGAACGACGTGGGAGTGCCAGATATTGAGCTGGCGATACCCAATCCTCCTGGATTCTCGGTCCGAATGTCAACGCTGGCACATTCAGAATTCTGCAGCCAAGTGCTCCGCAAAACCATGCAGAAAACATCTAAACCGAACGGATCGTTGACCTTTGCAGCTCCCTCCGCTTCCTTGTGGACCTTCAGCTTTCTTGAATTTCACCTTTCACTCCTTTTCAGTCACTTGCATAGAAACCATTTCCTAGAATCCTTTTCAGTCACTCGGTTTCAGCGCATTGTTTTCACATGTCAGTGGCCATCGCTGCTGACCGCCGTTTCTCCACCACAGACGGTTGGTTCTTGTCGTCGCTCTTGTGATTTTCCCCATTGTGTCGTCGTTGCTCCTAGTTCTGATCCTCTCGCATTTGCCTTGCGGACAAGCACGCATTGTGGTAGCATCGGAAACCGAGACGTTTTTTTTCTCTCGGCTACTTCTTGACGCCTGAAGAACACACACGAAAACGCACCTAACACTAGAGCCTGCTCGCTGCGCCTCTATCCATCCATGGCTTCCGCGTCCGTCTCATTGCTCCGGCGAGCCGCCAGACCGATCCTCGCCGGTCTTTACGGAGGCGCGCTCTCCGTCGCCGCGAGGCAGCACCTCACCAGCTCTTGCTCCTCCTCCGCCGCCGCAGCCGGCGCAGCCGCTGCCGGGCTTCGCAATACAATGGCGGGATTCCACTCGTCCGCGTGTCCCGCGTCGGACTTGTCGCAGTCGTCTGGGCCGTCCGTGACGGAAGAGACGGTGTCGCTCGTTCAGGCGTCCGATAAAGGCATTGGACTCGCTTTTGTAAGCTGCTTAGGACGCGATTTTATTAAGACCAACTATTTATTCATTGGAACAGTGTCGTTCCTTAAAGCGTCATATAGTGTGGTCGAGCCCTCGCGTTTCGTAAAGACCTCATCTTCGAATTCGAACTTCGCATTCTAGGTCATCTGCATTGTCATTTCTCATTCTTTCTTTCCCTCCTTCTCTTTCCTTGTACACTTGTGATCCCAGCAACGCTGTGGACGTGGTTCTTTAGCTCTCCTATTCTTTCTACTCCAGTCGATCGATTCCCTTCCGATCCTCCTTCATCTTCTTTCGCGTTTCCACTCTCTATTGTTTCCCTCTCACACTGTTTCACGCGCTGTCCTCTCCCCCCGGCTTTTCTTCCTCGATTGTCACGTGGACAGGTGGAGCAGCTGCTGAAGCGGCAGCCAACCGGCCGCGTCATTGCCACGTGTCGAGATCCGATGGGCGCTCAGCACCTGGACGCACTTCACGACCAGAGCGGTGGACGGCTGGATGTGATGCAACTGGATGTGACTAAAGAGGATACCATCGAGGTAAGGGGGGGTACTTATGAGACGCGTGTGATGCAACTGGATGTGATTTTAGAGGATACCATCGAGGGACGGGCACGCGCAGAGGCTTAAAGAGTCACAGTCAGCTTCTGGATGTGTCTATAACGAGGGTCTTAAGGTTTATCACAGTGCGAAACACGGACGACTACACAAGTGTGTAATGACGAATGATTCAGACCACACAACCGACCACTTAGCAGTCTTGGGGTTTTAGACCTGAGAGTGTATGGCATACTGTCATTCATGCCGCGTCCCAACGTCAACCAGAGATTTTCTCACCCCCTCCTTCCTTCCCGCCCATTTTCTCGCGGTTCTCCCTTTTTCTCCTGTCGCTCTCCTGCATCTCGACACGCTTCCTTCCCCTCTCCTTCCCGTTCCACCCTTCCCTCACACGCCCTCCTCCCCACCAGCAAGCTGAACCTGCTGCTTATCGCCTCCCTCCCCCCCGCTCTTCTCTCCCTTTCCTCCATGCTTCCTGCAACCCCCCGCACCCCTTTCATTCTTCCCCTACGATCCCAGGCTGTAGCAGCGGCCGTGCGGCAGAAGTACGGCAAGCTGGACCTGCTGCTCAACGTGGCGGGTGTGCTGCATCGCCCCAACGAGCTACAGCCGGGTATGCTGCTATGCTACAGTCAGATTCGTTGCTAGAGCCGAGAGTGCTGCTACAACTGAAAAGGCTGTTACAGCTACTGCTGGGTGTACTGACAGCCCCAGAAAGCTACAACTGAGTATGCTGCTGCTACAGCCGGGTTACAGCCGGGTTTGCTGCTACAGCCGGGTTTGCGGCTACAGTCAGGCTTGCTGCTACAGCCGGGTTTGGTGCTACAGCTGCTTGCTGCTACAGACGGGTTTGATGCTACAGCCCAGTTTGCTGCCACAGCCGCTTGCTGCTACAGCCAGGTTTGCTGCTACAACTGGGTTTGCTGCTGCAGCCGGGTTTGCTGCTGCAGCCGGGTTTGCTGCTGCAGCCGGGTTTGTTGCTGCAGCCAGGTTTGCTGATGCAGCCGGCTGGGTATGCTGCTCCTACCGTTGAGTATGCCGCTACAGCCTGGTATGAGTGCTTACTACAGCCCGGATGGACGGTATACTGTGTTTAATGTACTTGTATCGGTACACAGAGCAGCCCGCACTGGCTGAGACATGACGCCATGCTGCCGGCTGTGCTACAACGCCATGCTTCTTGCAGGTAGTGAAACCATTCCGATTCCCCTCTTCCCCTTCATCCGTCTTCTCCTTCCTTCCTCACCCCCGTCCCTCCCTCTTCCGCTTCCCTCTCCCTTGCCACTCCCTCCCTCCCCACCCCAGAGAGCAGTCTGCACCGGCTGTGCCTGGACGCGATGTTGCTGGGCGGGCAGTGAAAGCAATCAAATCCCTTCTTCCCCGTTCCTGGCCCGCCCCCCCCCCTCTTCGCCTCCCTCCTCCTCCCCTCCCCAGAGAGCAGTCTGCACTGGCTGTGCCAGGACGCGATGTTGCTGGCTTACCGAGTCAACGCCATGGGGCCCATGCTCGTGCTCAAGGTGAGTCAACGGGAGTCAACGCGAGTCAATGCGAGCCAAAGCGAGTCAAATCCATGGAGAGCACAAGGTAAGACAACACGAGTCAACGCCATGGGGCACATGCTCGTGCTCAAGGTGAGTCAACGCGAGTCAACGCCATGGGGTGCTGAAGGAAAGTCAACGAGAGTCAATGTCATGAGGCCCGTGCTGGTGCTCCAGGTGAGTCAACGGCGCGCTGGTCTGACAAGTCAACGAGAGTCAACGACATGATGATGGTGACAGCTGGTGAGGTGGGCTGGGATGGCTTGGCATGGTCTTGGATGGAAACATATGGGTGCAAGGCAATACAGTACGGTCTGTTCATCGATTAAGAAACAATGTAGAACTATCATCACCGCTACATTCCATCTCTCCCTACTCCCACAGTACATAATGCCTCTGCGGCATTAAAATAGCCTAGAATTCTCAGTCTGCAATTCCATCTCCCCTTCCCTCCTTCCCCTTCCCACCCCACGCTTGCATCAGGTCGTAGCGCCATCGCCGCCATCATTTCGTTCCATCTCTCCTCCTCATCCCCTTCCGCTCTCCTCTGCCCACCTTCGTCGCCACATGATGCCGCTGCTGAAACCACGAGTTCACACCAAAACCACAGCATCATCTCTTTTCCTCCTTCCCTCCCTCGTCCCCCGTTTCCCCTCCCCTAGCAGCGCATGATGCCACTGCTGGTAACGGGCAGCCACACCAAAATCCCAGCACCAAAGTTTCTTTCCATCCCCACTCTCTCCTCTTCCCCACCCTCTGCAGCACATGATGCCGCTGCTGGTGACGGGTGGTCACACCAATCCCAACCGTCCCTACTCCATAGTGGCCAACATGAGCTCGCGCACCGGATCCATCTCTGATAACCACATCGGGGGGTGGTACTCGTATCGCGCCTCCAAAGCTGCTCTCAACCAATGTGAGTTCATTACCATGTAACATGTATCCATGTAACCTCAGTAGTGGCCAACATGGGCTCTCGCACCGGGTCCATCTCCAATAACCATATTGGGGGATGGTATTCTTATTAAGCATCCCAAGCTGCTTTCAAACAGATCAGTGCTGTTTCATATTGGGTTACATGTATCAGTGTAGCCTCAGTTGCCGTCACTCCTTCCCCCCAAGCCCTTCACTCCTTTCCCCGTCACTAATTACTCTCCCGTCTCCCCCAGTCACCAAGACAGCTGCAGTGAGAGTTGGCAGCCCAGAAGAGTCATGTGGCTGTCTGTGCTGCTACACCCTAGTCCTTTGTCCCTCTACCCTATTGCATTCACCCTTCTCTTACCCTCTTCCCCTCTCCTACCCCCTTTTGCCACCCTCGCCCAACTCATTCCCTTCCTCCCCCAGTCACCAAGACGGCAGCAGTGGAGTTGGCAGCCCAGAAGAGTCCTGTGGCTGTCTGTGCTGCTACACCCTAGTCCTTTGTCCCTCTACCCTATTGCATTCACCCTTCTCTTGCCCTCTTCCCCTCTCCCCCCCACTTTTGCCACCCTCGCCCAACTCATTCCCTTCCTCCCCCAGTCACCAAGACGGCAGCAGTGGAGTTGGCAGCCCAGAAGAGTCCTGTGGCTGTCTGTGCTGCTACACCCTAGTCCTTTGTCCCTCTACCCTATTGCATTCACCCTTCTCTTGCCCTCTTCCCCTCTCCCCCCCACTTTTGCCACCCTCGCCCAACTCATTCCCTTCCTCCCCCAGTCACCAAGACGGCAGCAGTGGAGTTGGCCGCACAGAAGAGCCCAGTGGTGGCTGTGCTGCTTACACCTTTATTCCTGGTTCATGCAGCAGTGACCATCTAACTTCTCTCACCCTCGCTCCCCCCTCTTCTCCCCCACATTACCCTTGCCTTGCCTATCCCTCCTCCTCCCCCAGTCACCAAGACGGCAGCAGTGGAGTTGGCCGCCCAGAAGAGCCCAGTGGTGGCCGTGCTGCTACACCCCGGCACTGTAGACACCGACCTTACCCGCCCGTTCACTGCGCACTTGCCGGCCGATAAGATCTTCACGCCTGATTTTGCTGCCGAGCAGCTATTGGGTGTCATTGATGGGTTGAGTCCGAGTGACAACGGGCGGTTTATCGCGTATGACGGCACGGATGTGGCGTGGTGATTGTTGGGGAAACGATCATGACTAGGCAGGAGGGTGCTAAAAATGAGGAACGTATTTTAATGTGCTCGGAGAAAGCGTAGCTATCTAAAAATGTTTCGTTTTGTATGCATACTGTATCTGAATAGAGAATGCAAAAATATTAACTTTAAAGCAGATAGTTACTTCGAGAACCTTCTCCGTTTTAAAGTTGTGATTGTGCCTTCAAGGCACACCACTTTATCGCGTACTGACCACTCGTATCCTTTCCCCCCGCACAGTCCGCCAATTCATTCCTTTTTTCCCAGACCCGCATTTTTTATCTCCTTGCGCCATATTAGCATTTTGCGCCCCCCGCGCTTTCCGCGATTCCGCTGTCAGCGTCGTCCCGCGCGCGCTCCAATGGCTGCGCTTGCCGTGCGAGCCGTCTCCGCCGCTGCGGCGGCTGCGCTGCCGGCTTTCCCGCCGTCGCATAGGCGCGCTTCGCCAGCAGCCAGAGAAACGTCGCTGCGGATAGGAGGGCGGGAGAAGCGCGGCTGTAGCAATGGCGGCTGGAGCTGCGCGGGGAGGAGGGGTGGGGCTGTCGTTGCGCTGGCTGCGCCGCCTGAAACCGTGACTGCGATTGTGGAGAGCGGAGCTGCGACCATGGTGAGAATAGACGCTCGCTCTCTTTCACTTGAACTCTCCTCTCGAGAATAGACGCTCGCTCTCTTTCACTTGAACTCTCCTCTCGAGAATAGACGCTCGCTCTCTTTCACTTGAACTCTCCTCTCGAGAATAGACGCTCGCTCCACATTGTTGTCTCGAACCTCCCCTTCCCCGCCAGCACTCACACGTGCTTGCACTCCTTCTCCTACTCTCCTTCCCCTCCTCTTACCATCGCATGCCCTCCTGTCACCCCTCTCTCCCCTCTGCCCGTCCCCCTACTCCTGTCACCCCTGCCCTCGCGTCAGGTGTCAGCTGCTGATTGGACGAGTCACCTCGTGCTCGCCACGCTCAACACAGCTGCCACGCCGGCATCGGACGGACCAATAAAATTGCCCCCCGCTTACCTGGAAGACCCGTGGGCTATTCCCGAGGTCTCTCCGTTGCAATCCTTTGCCAGTATTCTGCTGACCGGGACGATTGGTGTGCTGCTGTTCCGAGCTATCAAGAGACGAGCGAGCAAGGTCACAGAATCGGTAAGCAACGGTTAAGGATGGTGGAGTGCGGTGGGTGTGGTGGGTGCAGGCGTTCCCGCTTACCTGGAAGACCTGTGGGCTATTCCCGAGGTCTATCCGTTGCAATCCTTTGCCAGCATTCTGCTAACGGGTACGATTGGTGTGCTGATGTTTCGGGCTATCAAGAGACGAGCGAGCAAGGTCACAGAATCAGTGAGTGGAGGCCAGAGATTGGGTGCAGTGCAGTGCGGTTAAGAGTGGTTTAGTGAGTGAGATTGGGGTGGGTGCATTCCCTTGTGCAGTCCTTCGCCAGTATCCCTTTGACTTGGACGAATGGTGTGCTGCTGTTTTGGGTTATCACGAGACAAGTCAGCAACTTCACAGAATCTGTGAGCGAGAGTTGGGGGAAGCCTACTTAGTGCACAGTGAATTCTCTAAAGATACTCAAATACCTCCAGTCTCCAGAACCTGAAAGCCCTGCAAAGCCCCCACAACATCAAAGGCCTTTGCAGGACTTACAGCTTCTCTTCTTTCTTTCAGGTACAATCCAGTTCTCTTCTTTCCCTGCCAGAGCGTCTGGCCGGACTGGATGACAGCGGACTCAGTTGAGAAGCTGTCAGGCAGACCAGTGGCAGATGGTCGGGGAGGAGAGAAAGCACGTTGCACAGTGAAACGTCTTTCAAACCTCCAAAACCCGCACATTGCACAAACTGCAAAATGATCGCTCCTGTGTCTCGTGCCCCTTCTCCCCCTCCCAGCGATTCCGGTCAGACTCAGTCGAGAAGCTGTCGTCCAATCCGGTGGTGGAGGAGCGGAAGCGCCGGGCGGCAGAGGAGGCGGCAGAAGCAGCCAAGCGACCGCCGCCCACGGTGCTGAACACGCTGGGCGGCGCACTGGTGGCGGGGTCGATTGCGATTGTGCTGTACAAGTTTGCGACGTCCGTTGATGATGTGTTTGCGGGGCAGACCCTCTCAACCACTTACACTGTGAGTAACTGTTATTGACGTGCATTGCGATAGCACTGGTGGCATGGTAGGGTTGATTGCAATCGTGCTCTGCAAGTTTGCGACATCCGTTGATGATGTGTTCGCTGAACAGACCTTGTCAACCACTTACACTGTGAGTGCCTGTTTCGTTTTGCCATGACTTACAGTACGCGCTTACAACGTACATGTTACAGGTGACCCATCAGGCTGTTCCCTTGACCGACATGAGATGTGTTCCATTTTTTTGTTACCGCAATCCGCGTGCTTAAGTGCCCATGCATATTTCTCCTCATCTCCTCCCCTCCTCTCCCCTCTTTCTCACCTTCCACAACCCCCCCCTTCCCTCCTCACTTGTTGGCCCCCATTCTCTCCCTGCCCCCCTATCTACAGGTTCGGAACCTTTCCATTGCTGTCAGGTACACTCCATTATTGCTTTACCTTCTGTAATTATAAAAAATATTATTCGTCGATTCCCACAACTCACACCACTTCATGCTGTTTTCATTGCAATAGCTCCCTTTTTATCCTCCCACATCCCTTTTGTCATCCCTGTTCCTTTCTTCTCCCTTCTCTCCCCTCTCTCTCCCTTCATCTTCCATTTCATCCTTGATTTTCCACAGGACCATAGTATCGGGCCTCGTATGGCTGACCACATTCATCTCTGCTCTCAATTCCCCTGGCCTCACTGTCTTGCTCATCCCGTCTCCTCTCCCTGCTCCTCTCTTTACCTCACCTCTCGTCCTTCCCTCTCTCCCTCCTCTTACCTACAGGACCATAGTATCAGGCCTCGTATGGCTGGCCACATTCATCTTTGCTCTCAACTCCCTAGGCCTCACGCTCTATGCCTTTCAATTGGCGCTCGGCATTGACTCCCCTAAAGACAGCCCCGTTACTAGGAGTGGGAGTGATGCAGATACAGTGGGATCCAAAGACAGCGAGGCTAAGGAGGCTGAGGTTCCGGTTGGGAGTGAGGCGAAGAAGCCATTGGGTTTCGGAGGTTCTTCGAAGGAAAATGGGGGCGCAGAGAAGAAATAGAGATGCATGCAAGGTATCGAGCAAGCAGTCGAGGCAACACTGTCTAAGCTATTGTTTTTAACATGCGGTTGTCTCGCTAGATAGTATAGCCATGTATTGTAAAGCGTTCCTATCAACCATTTTGGTGACCAAAACAAAAAGTTTCTGGTGTATTGTAACTGTAGCACTCTATGGCGCGTCAATAACATCAGGAGTGAAACAGCTGAGGGTGCAGCCTTGGGATTGTTGTCCGTCTTTACATCATTTACCTGGCCAGATTTCGTTATGAAGAAGCGGATGATTTCAAGGTGAAAAATGGGGCTGAAAATGGCGACAGGCTGACGATAACACTGCGCGAATCCGTGGCGGGGTCAGCGCCAATCCCCGTGCATCCTCGGTACAGTGCATTCCGAGAAGCTCAAAGCCTGTCGCAGACGGGACGCTTTCCCTCAATCCGTGCGATAGTAGCTCGGCTTCTTTAGTGTCTAGGGGACGCTCGCGTCGATTCCTGACTCAGATCAGGTTTTGCTTTTGAGAAAGCCAATTTATGAGGCGATTCTTGAGACGTCTCGAAACGCAATGGTCAAGGCGATTCGAAAATGGGGCCGCAGAAATGCAGATTCAAGAGCGTTCTTTCCAACGGCACTCCTTGTTGTCTGCCTGCTCTCCGTTTCGTACGCGACACAAGGTGAGCCGATACAAGGCCAAGGATTCTGAAGTGTAACGCAACTGATTACAACGAGACAGAGTGGCTGCTGCAATCATGCTGCAACCGGAATGAAAGTTCGTCCGCTCTCCTCTTCTCGTCTACTTTTGAGGCGCCTCAAAAGTAAACTAAGCCATGATCCTTGTCTGCTCCTTTCCTGCTTATCTCTCTCTCCACTTCATCCCCTCTCCCTCTCCCTCTCATCCGTTTTCCCTCCAGTTCAAGCGCAACCCGAATTAGCGCCACCAGCGGTATCAGCGCCATTGGCGCCAGCAGCACCAGAACCAGCCGATCCAGCCGGCCAGCCGGCAGTACAATCGACGGACGAGGTGCTTCTGGGTCGAGTGGCGGAGATAGCAGCGGAGCTCAGCCGTCAGATGCAGGAGGAGCAGGCGCTGCAGCAGTCCCAGGGAGCCATTCTTGATCAGCAGGCGCTACTCCTTCCTCCCTCCCCTCCGCTCTCTCCCCTTCTCGTCTCCCCACAGCAATCGCCACCCTTCCCTCCTCCCGTCCCCCCTCCAGTCGTCCCCTCTCCTCCCTTCCCCCCTCCACCGCCCCTCCGTCCCACGTCGCTCATCTCACCTCAATCTCAAGGCGAAGCAGGGAGTTTAGGAGGCACGGCAGGCGCTGACGAGGTGCTTATAGGGAGAGTGGCCGCGATAGAGGAACAGCTGATGCTGCAGCTTGCAGGGACTAGTGCAGAGGAGGGGAAGAGGGAAGCCGGAGGAGAGGAATTAGAAAAGGGCAAGGTCCAGGAGAGAGAGACTAGTCCCCACTTACCTACGACTCCCACCCCCTCACACCCACCACCCCCCTCTCCTCCTCCCTCACACCCACCTCCCCCCTCTCCTCCTGCCTTAGAGCCCCTCTTTACAGTCACATCCCTGAACCGAACCATTCGCAGGGTAGATCTGAACAAGACCTTTCTAGAATACCACCACCATTTCCGGGAAGGAGAGCTCAAGCTACAGTGCTCCGGCGAGCCTTGCCCGAACCTAGGCTCCTGTGGCCCGGAGTTCCCGAACCTGCGCGCCTGCTACTGGCCGAACCTGGTCGACGCGGAGTACCTATTCCCGGACCAGCCTATAAACTGCCCGAAAGTTATGGATATGAGTGTGGAAGGGGGAAGGGAGGTGTCGGATACGAGGTGCACTCATAAGGGGGATGACTTGCGGCTGGACATGTTTCTGCCTCAGTATTACGAGCTGCGAGACGTGTACTTGGATGGGGATGGCTTGGTGTTTAACGAGACGGTCTTCTTTGATCGTCACAGCTGTGCCGACAAGGGGAATGTGAGTTCATGGGCGTCTCGTGGGAAGTCTTAGGGTGCTTTTGGGGATGACTTGCAGCTGGACATGTTCCTGCCTCAGTATTACGAGCTGCGGGACGTGTATTTGGATGGAGATGGCTTGGTGTTTAACCAGGCGGTTTTCTTTGATCGACACAGCTGTGCTGACAAAGGGAATGTGAGTGGATGTTCGCTTCTGAGATTTTCAGGGTGGTTTTGCGGATAGCTTGCGGCTGGATATGTTTTTTTCCCGGTATTACGAGTTGCAGGTCGTCTACCTGGATGGGGATGGGGATGGCCTTGTGTTTAACAGAACGGTGTTCTTTGATTGGCCTTCCCATCCCCCCTTGTGTCCCACTCTCTGTGCAGTTCTCCTTCGAGCCAGGGAAGGCCAAGGTCCGTCACTACGACCGCCTGGTGTCCCTCATGTACCCCCTCGGCTGGGCATCGCATTCTACCATGCCTCATGTACCCGCCTCATGTACCCCCTCAGCTGGGCATCTTAGAGCTCGTCACTACGACCGCCTCATGTACCCGCCTCATGTACCCGCCTCATGTACCCCCTCGGCTGGGCATCGCATTCTACCACGTGCTCGTAGAGCTCGTGAGCTGTCTTCAACCATCCCACTCTGTTCCTCTTGTCCCCCCCTACGCAGTTCTCCTTTGAACCCGGAAAGGCCAAGGTCCGTCACTACGGCCGTCTGGTGTCCCTCATGTACCCCCTCGGCATCGCATTCTACCACGTGCTCCTAGAGCTTGTGCCTCACCCTTTCCCCTCAACCCCCTGTTCCCCCCAACCCCCTGTTCCCCCCAACCCCCTGTTCCCCCCAACCCCCTGTTCCCCCCAACCCCCTGTTCCCCCCAACCCCCTGTTCCCCCCAACCTCCTGTTCCTCACAACCCCCTGTTCCCCCCAACCCCCTGTTCCTCACAACCCCCTGTTCCCCCCAACCCCCTGTTCCCCCCAACCCCCTGTTCCCCCCAACCCCCTGTTCCCCCCAACCCCCTGTTCCCCCCACAACCCCCTGTTCCTCACAACCCCCTGTTCCCCCCAACCCCCTGTTCCTCACAACCCCCTGTTCCCCCCAACCCCCTGTTCCTCACAACCCCCTGTTCCCCCCTGACCAGTTCTCCTTCGAGTCAGGCTAGGCCAAGGTCCATCATTATGACCGTTTAGTCTAACTCGTGTACCCCCTGGGCATCACATTCCACCACGTGTGAGGTGACTCAAGCTCATCACCTTCCCCTCTCCCCGTCCTCTACTCCTCCCCTGTGCACCTCCCACCCACCTGGCAACAGTTCTCCTTCGAGCCAGGCAAGGCCAGAGTGCGTCACTACGACCGTCTGGTCTCCCTCATGTACCCCCTGGGCACCGCATTCCACCACGTGCTCATAGAGCTCGTGAGGTGACCTGACCCTTTCCCCCCACCCCCCTGTTCCCCCCTGACCAGTTCTCATTCGAGCCAGGCAAGGCCAAGGTCCGTCACTACGACCGTCTCGTCTCCCTCATGTACCCACTGGGCATCGCATTCTATCACGTGCTCATCGAGCTCGTGCCCCACCTCTTTGTGCTCTCCCCACTGCTGCGAGACAACCCCTCCATCCCCATCGCCATCGCCTCGCACCAGGTACGTTGGTTGTTATCTCCCCTCCCATCCCCATTACCATCGCCCGCCATCCCCGTTGCCTCTCCTCTTCGTGTTCTCCCTCTGCTGCCCGACAATCATCCCCATCGCCATCGCCTCCCACCGGGTACGTTGGGCTTTAAAGGTTGGCCAAAACCATTCCCATCCCCATCCCTATCCCTATCACGCCCATTTCCGCCCATCACCATCCCCATCACTTGGGATTGCCCCCGTGGACTCTCCTGGAGAGCAATACCTTGGCGTCACTGCCTTGGAGTCTCTTCTAAATCGTTCCTTGATCCTTTGTGTGCGTGCGTCCTTTCTCCCCCCCTGGTTCCTCGTGTGCAATGTGAGTGTGTCTGCTGTCGGTCAGGTGAAGGCGTTCAGCAGTCTCCTGGTGCCCTTCCTGGGCATCCCAGCCACCGCTCTCAACCTCGCTGTCATCCCCAACCGACACGCTGATGTCAATCTGCTCGTCCACGTGGATGTCTTGTACCAGGTAATTCCCGTGTCAGATCTCTTGTTACCAATGTATTCTCCTCTGCCCCACCCCGTTCCCTGAGCTTGACACCCCTTTTCCATCCCCCCCTGCGCTCGTTTCCCCCTAGCCAGTGTACCAGGCCACTGCCCTGTGGTCGCCTCGCCCTTCCCTTGTGGGGGGAGATGCACTCCACTCCACGACCTCCCGTGACACCTCTTTTCCATCCCGCTCTGCCAGTGGGTTCCTTTCCTCAGCCAGTGTACCAAGCCTGGCCAGTGGTCGCTCTGCGCCCGCCATGTGGGGGGAGCTGCGCCACCGCTTCCTGCTGCCCCACTGTCCCCTTCACAACCCCTGCCCCTCCTTCCCTTCGCCCTCTCTTTCCATAAACTCCCCTTCCCCACCACCCAGCCAGTGTACCAGGCGTGTGGTCGCTCCGCACCTGCCATGTGGGGCGAGCTGCGCCGCCGCTTCCTGCTGCCCCCTGCCGGCCTGCCCCTCTTCCGCCCTGGCCTAGTCCCACGCCACAACCACACCCACTTTCTCCCACCTACTGCTGATTCACCAGCCACCACCACCTCCACCAGTGCTGACAGCAGCATCCCTGTTAGGGCTGGTGACATCAGCGAGACGGATGTGCCCCTGTGGTCTGACGCGCAGACCGCCCGGCTGCCGTACAGCTGGCGCGCCGTGATTGCGCACCGGCGCGGCGCGATGCGCCACCTGGCGGCGTTTGATTCGCTCGTGGCGGAGATGAAGCGAGTTTTTCCGCCGCAGCGGGTGTTTGTGTTCGAAGGGGACCTGCCCATCCTGCAAGGTGCGTGTGGTGCGCTGATCTGCAATGTGGGTGGGTTTCGTTGAGAAATTGTAAACCTCAATTTCTACCTGCTGTCATTGCACACAGTGTTCCCCCCGCAGCGGGTGTTTGTGTTCGAAGGGGACCTGCCCATCCTGCGAGGTGCGTATGCTGTGCTGCAGTGCAAGGTGTATGGGTGGGTTATGTTGAGATCTTATCAGTCTCGGTTCTACCTGCCGGTGTTGCGCACAGTGTTCCCCCCGCAGAGGGTGTTTGTGTTCGAAGGGGACCTGCCCATCCTGCAAGGTGCGTATGCTGTGATTTTTTAGGCGCCTCAAAAGTCGACCCATCCCATACTGCAAGGTGCATATGCTGTGCTGTGCTGCAAGGCGGGGTCTGGTCTGTTGTTCTGCAATTTGAGTGAATAATGCTGATATCTGATGGGGATCAATCCCTACCTGCCATCTTGCACAGTGTTCCCACCGCAAGCAGCAGGCCTCTCCTCTCCAACATAATAGCAATGCCCGCCCATCCCCTTCCCCTTCCCCATCTCCTTTCGTTGTTGGCTCTCATGCTCTCCTCCGCCCCCAGCCAAACTCCTCTTCAACCGAGCAGCGGTCTATGTAGATCTGCACGGAGCAGGCCTGTCCAACATGATCATCATGCCCTCTAATCTCCCCCGCCCCTCCCTCCTGTTACTGACTGTTTTTCTCCCTCCCAGCCAAGCTGCTCTTCAACCGAGCAGCAGTATACGTGGGCTTGCACGGAGCAGGCCTCTCCAACATGATCTTCATGCCATCCAATCACCCCTCTCTGCCATCTCTTCTCGTTCTACATCCCACCCCCTTCATGAACCAGCCAAGCTTCTCTGGCAACAGAGCAGCCGTCTTTGTGGGGATTGCACGGTGCAGGTGTATCCAGCATGATCTTCATGCCCTCGAACCCCCCTGCCACCCTCATCCCTGCCCGTAACTCTCTCTCCCCTCCCGCCCCCAGCCAAACTGCTCTTCAACCGAGCAGCGGTCTATGTGGTCTTGCACGGAGCAGGCCTCTCCAACATGATCTTCATGCCATCCAATCACCCCTCTCTGCCGTCTCTTCTCGTTCTACATCCCACCCCCTTCATGAACCAGCCAAGCTTCTCTGGCAACAGAGCAGCCGTCTTTGTGGGGATTGCACGGTGCAGGTGTATCCAGCATGATCTTCATGCCCTCGAACCCCCCTGCCACCCTCATCCCTGCCCGTAACTCTCTCTCCCCTCCCGCCCCCAGCCAAACTGCTCTTCAACCGAGCAGCGGTCTATGTGGGCTTGCACGGAGCAGGCCTCTCCAACATGATCTTCATGCCATCCAATCACCCCTCTCTGCCGTCTCTTCTCGTTCTACATCCCACCCCCTTCATGAACCAGCCAAGCTTCTCTGGCAACAGAGCAGCCGTCTTTGTGGGGATTGCACGGTGCAGGTGTATCCAGCATGATCTTCATGCCCTCGAACCCCCCTGCCACCCTTATCCCTTCCCGTAACTCTCTCTCCCCTCCCGCCCCCAGCCACACTGCTCTTCAACCGAGCAGCGGTCTATGTGGGCTTGCACGGAGCAGGCCTCTCCAACATGATCTTCATGCCATCCAATCACCCCTCTCTGCCGTCTCTTCTCGTTCTACATCCCACCCCCTTCATGAACCAGCCAAGCTTCTCTGGCAACAGAGCAGCCGTCTTTGTGGGGATTGCACGGTGCAGGTGTATCCTGCATGATCTTCATGCCCTCGAACCCCCCTGCCACCCTCATCCCTGCCCGTAACTCTCTCTCCCCTCCCGCCCCCAGCCAAACTCCTCTTCAACCGAGCAGCGGTCTATGTGGGCTTGCACGGAGCAGGCCTCTCCAACATGATCTTCATGCCCTCCAATTCCTCCGTCTTCGAAATCCGACCCAGGGATTACCCCAACCCCTGCTACCACCACCTAACCATGGCTACGCAACAGAACTACTACCTGGTGTTTGGAAATGGGACCAAGGATTCGGAGCTGAGGTATAACATGAGTGAGGTGGTGAGTGTTTTGAGGGTGATAGCGGATCAGACTAAAAGGAGGGTGTCTGCAAGGTCCTGGGAGGTGGAGGAAATAGGTTCAGCACTAGATGAATTAAAAGAGAGTGATTATATGGATGTTATTCTAGATAGTGACAAAAGTAGGAACCAAGATCCAACCTAGTCCAAGCTCAATTGATCTTTTTGCATTTCAGTCAATCAGAATGGTGTTTAACATTTTCTTTTGCATTTCAGTCAGGGCCTCAGAAGTCAGCGAAAAAAGGCTGATTTAGGTTAAAAAGGCTGAGATTTCAGACCTTTTCTAGAACTGAGGCTGATTTTTCAGCAATTTGTTGTAAAGATACTCAGCAGAAAGTATTGTGAAAGTGTACTTAGGCTGACTTGCAAAGGCAGCGTTATCATTTCATATGGGTAGTAGTACATCGTTCTCGTCTTATATATGTCTACATAACATCATACACAAATGGGTGGGCGGGTGGGAAAGTAGAACTACAATTTTGAAAATGAAAACGTGGGTGGGGACGAATGTCCCCACCAGGGCTAATTTTTGGTTTTTGCCAACCCTTACGATCAGTGTTGCACATGTTCAAAACCCTGATTATCAGTGTGACCCCTTGTGGGAAAACTGATTCATCAGGGTTTCTGCTTAGTTTGAATATTCAACCCTGAGGCATCAGTGTACAATGTTCTCGAACCCTGCTGAAATTGTCATTAACAGAGCACACAATAACAAATTTACAGCTTCGACAGTTGGCAATCGGGAATCCCGGGTTACGGGGTAGGGGGGTTAGGGAAAAGGGGGGGGGAGGGGGGGGGGAGGAGGGGGGGGGGGAGCGGGGGGTGGCTGGTACTCGCTTCAGGGTAAAACTCGCTAAAAGAATCGGGAACACTGAGGCGACAGTGTGCCTTATTCGTAAACCCTGGCACATCAGGGAAAATCAAGGTCCCAAAAAAATTACCCTACGGCATCAGTGTTACACCCAAAAACCACCCTGATAATCAGGGTATGAGGGTGATTTACCCTGATAAAATAGGGCCTGGTCCCCACGTCCCTCTTTTGTAGGCAAAAGAGGGTGAGTAGCGCTTCGGCGCTACCTTTGCTGTGTTGGCCACGTACCCCTTTTCACAATACAAAATTTTAGAAAGTGTTACATTTCATTACACTTTCAAAAATTATCATATTGTGAAAGTGTACTTAGGCTGACTTGCAAAGGCAGCGTTATCATTTCATATGGGTCTTCTGAGGCAAGTGCAGTCGGGGCTGGCGGTGCCGTTCGATTGATCGCTGATGCGTAGCGGGTGAGGGAGCCGTCGAAGGATCCTGCAATTTCGTGGAGAGGGAGATGAGCTGATCTTGCGCGATTGTAACGTACATCTCCTTCGCGCTGTCGCTGCGCCATCGGCCCATGCGTTTGAAGAGCCGGTCAGGAACTCCGAGGCTTGCCGCCGCAGTAGCTGCGCCTTTGCGGAATGAGTGGGTTCCGATGTGCGCGACATCCAGTCCAGCTTGCCTGCCGGCCTCGAGGCACCAGTTTCTGATCGTAACGTAGGATGGCGATTTGTCGTGAGGTGTGGCTTGCGAGTTCTTCGGGAAAACCCTTATCAGCGGTCCATGTGGCACCTTTGTGAGGCCTGCGATGTGTATGAATTTGCGTGTGCACCTCACCGGGCAGTATGGGCCTGGAATTGCCGCCACTGGGATCCAGACACCCCTCCCTTCCTGGTCCGTCTTGGAGTGCGGGATGAGCAGCCACATTGCCTTCTTCTCGAACTGTACATCATTCCATTGGAGCGAGACGAGGTCGGAGTAGCGCAAGAATGCCGAAAACATGAGAAGAGGAATCAATCCTTTCTGGTATTCCGCAGGAATTGATGATTCCAGGAAGGGACGAGCCATGTTGTGCACTTGATGGAGAGATATGGGCTCTTTGGTCCTTGTAGGCCGGGGACCATGTCTCTTGGCGAACTCCCGCACTTGCAGGGTGAATGGGCCGGCGGTAGGGGAGGTTTCACCGGTCATGCGGTGGGCGAAGGCAACTGCCGAACACGTGAGGTTGATCGCGGAGAGAGTTGATTTGTTGTTGAGCGCATGGATGAGATACAGCGCTAGCGTCAGGTCGGTTGCCGGCAGGAACTCGAGCTTAACTTGGGTACAGAAGGTGCGAAATCTCTGCCAATAAGGTTGGTACGTCTCGATTGTAGATGGTGCGCGAACGTGGCTAATTACGTGCATCAATTGTTGTTGTAGTTTGGCCAAAAGTCCTGACATGACACATTGAGAAATTTTGATTAGACCGCATAGTTTACACGCAAAGCAATGATTGGGCTATGAGGCAATCCGAGACCAGAGAATGCAGTGGTGTGTGAACCTGCCCGAAGGCATTGACTGCCTTGGGCAAGGGAAAGGTGCTCTACTACTGCCGGAGCCTACGATTGAGTGGACGGTTGGAGAAGCGGCCACCATGACGCTCCGGTCCACTGGGGAACGACGAGCGTGAGTTCTGTCTGCGTCAGTTCCGCATGGCGGAGTGTAGCGGGAATTAAGTGTGGAGGCGGGAAGGCAAAGCATCGCTCGCCTTTCCACGAGATGGAAAATGCGTCGACAGCGAACGCGTCCGGGTGCGGTATCTTAGAGCAGAAGCGCTGAACGTGATTGTTCCGAACGTTAGCAAAGAGATCAATTGTGTGGGGCCCCCAGCGGCGTTCCAAGAGGCGAAACCAAGGTGCGTGTAGGGAGTAGTCATCGAAACTTGCATCTTGGATAGGTCACCCGCATGGACGTTGAGCTCTCTCGGAATCCATTCGATCGCGAGGCGTGTTGTGTTGCCGAGGCAGGAACTGGATGATCGCTTGGCATGTCAACGTAAGATCCGCCTGACGGGATCCCCCCTTGCGCAAGATAAACATGACTGCCTGGTTGTCCACGCGGACGAGGACGTGAGCACCCACGATCCGAGTCGCGAACGTCCGCAGTGCCCAGAGCACTCCCTCGAGCTCTCGCCGCGTACTGGATGTGGTGAGAAGCCCTCGTGGCATGCACTCGCTTGCTTCGCATGATGTACTTGGGAACTTGGCCAAGGTGGCACCCCAGCTGTGTGCGCTTGCGTCGACGTGTATCACGGCATCAAAACGCTGACTCTGGTGGAATGGGGCGCCATTGAAACGATCGAAGTGCATTGTCCAAAACAACAGCTCTTCTGTCGCTCCTGGTGACAATAGAACCGTTGAGTTCCATGACCACGCGGATTCGATCAAGTGCAGCAGCTCATGGTTGAAGGCACGCGCCGTCGTGCCCAGCGCGAGCGACATGGAGCTGAGAAATCCAGTGATCCGGGCTAACTTGCGAATCGGCACGTGGCGACCCGATTGCCCTTTTTGTATAAGTAGGTGGAGCTCATGCAGTAGTTGTTCGCGCCGATCTTTTCCGACGAGAAACATCCCTCGTTCCGTGTCAAGCTCCATCCCCAAAAAGCGCAAGTGGTGTGCGGGATGCAGGTGTGATTTTTTAGAATTTATCACGAATCCTGCCGGTCTTCAGGTCGTGGAGAACTTCGATGCACGTCGAACGGGCTTGCGCCTCGGAGTCGCAGAGGAATAGTAGATCGTCCACGTATGGTATTACGCGCACTCCGCGCGCGCGCCATCTCTTGGCTAGTTGCTTAATAAGCTGGGTGAAGACGAACGGGGCTGTTGCCAGGCTGAAAGATAAGGATGTGAAGCAATAGAACTTTCCACCCAATTGAAAGCCCAAAAACTTCCAGCACGACGGGTGGATATCGACGTGGTGGTAGCCTGACTTGAGATCGATTGTGAACATCCAGTCGTTTGGGCGAATGATCTCCGCGACCCGACTCAAGCCCTCGTACTTGAACTTGGGAACTTGGAGGTGAGCGTTGACCTTCCGCAGGTCAAGGATAAGCCGACATTTGTCTCGTTGCTCCACAACGTTGAGCGGGCTGATGCACGTAAGTGCGGCTTTCGACGAGACATACATCGCGGCGCCTGACGCGATGAGGTCGCTGACAGCGTCTTGGGTGAATGACATGTGTGCTTGAACCCCTGCGTGATTAGGAGCTTCGAAGGGGAGAGGCTCCGTGCCCTTCCATGGTAGCCAGTATCCTTTGGCAATGATGGAAAGGATAAGACTGCTGTCGCACCATGATAGCCACCAGTGGAGGCTGTTGCGCAATCGCATTCGCATGATGGACACCATGTTGTCCGTTATTGCGTGCTCGTATGGGTTCCAGTGAGCACTCTGCCACTCTCCTTCCACTTCTGCAATTGGTGGGCAACCGAGGTTGTGGGGGGGGAACGAGGATCAAGGTAGATTAGCCGCGAGATATCGCGAGACGCTTTGCGGGGTAAACTATGTCGCTCATCTTCTACCGCCTTCGCGCCTCCCCGCACCCTCGGTTTTTTTTTTTTTTTTTTTTTTTTTTTTTCTAACACTTCCCTTGAGCACTCATCAGCTTTGACACCCTTGCAAAGGGGCTTTGCTTTTTTTTTTTTTTTTTTTTTTTTTTTTTTTTTTAATTGCCTTACAACGAGATCGGCGCATGTGCGTCACTAGGTCCCATGACCTTGTTCATCACGATCTCTTCGTGCCTTCTCTCTCTCTCTCTCTCTCTCTCTCTCTCTCTCTCTCTCTCTCTCTCTCTCTCTCTCTCTCTCTCTCTGTGTGTCTCTCTCTCTCTCTCTCTCTCTCTCGCTCTCTCTCTCTCTCTCTCTCTCTCTCTCTCTCTCTCTCTCTCTCTCTCTCTCTCTCTCTCTCGCACTCCCTCTCGCACTCGCTCTCCCTCGCTCTCTCACTCTCTCTCTCTCTCTCTCTCTCTCTCTCTCTCTCTCTCTCTCTCTCTCTCTCTCTCTCTCTCTCCCTCTCTCCCCCTCTCTCTTGCTCTCCCTTCCTCTCTCTTTAGCCTCTCCCTCATTCCATGGTTTTTTTTTTTTTTTTTTTTGTCTCCTTCTTTGTGCTTCTCTCGGTCCTTGCTTCGTCATTCACCCTTGGCCATAGTGGCAAGGGGCGCCGCCCCATAGGTCCTCTCACACCACGGGTGCGGGACCTTGTGCGCCACGCCCTCCCATAGGGCAATTGTTTGCCATATGGCCGGGCTGGCCGCAACGGAGACACACCCCCTTGAAGCGGGGCTCGTGGCAGCCCGCGGGCGGCATGCCTTTGCTTTCCGGTTCGCCGTCTCGAGGGGGAAGGCGGCCTCCGCGGGCGAAGCCGGTACGTGCACGCTTGAGGGCCGCCACGTCGGCTACCGCAAGCTTGTAGGAGCGGGACGTGAGCACGCTCTTGGCTTGGTACAGCTGGAACCGATCCGCCGCTTCGAAACCGGCCTCATCCGCCACCAAGAGCACCTCAAAACGTTTGTTGTTCAACGTTTCGACTTGCTCCACGTTGGAGAGCGCGCCCTCGACGTCGCCGTGTTGGAGCTTGAACTCGACGTGCCTCAGGTGAGCTTGAATTGCAGAGAACACCTCCGCCTGGTCACGCACTCCCTTGCGCATGAAGGTAGTAGCTGCGGGTGTGGGGTTGAGGGGGGGAAGGGGAGGTGCGGGTGCGAGAATGCGACGACGAGCAAGGTTGTCGGGGGCCTCACCGTCTTCATTTTCTGAGTCGTCGCTGTCGTCAGGGATACGGGCTTGGGTTGGTGCCGGAGCCGGGGCGGGAGCAGGAGCAGCGTTGTTGGTGCGAGCGATTTTGGTGGAGCGGGGGGCCGCGACAGGTTCCTTCTGCTTTTCGATTTTAGCGGAAGCTGAAATTTCTTCGGTTGATGTAGCTGCTGTCGATGGTGCGTGCTGCTGCAATAACGAGAGCAGCGCCTGCAGCTGCTGCGCAGTCAAAGGGGGGGGTGCGTTGACTGGGGTGACGTCAGCGGAGGGTGCCGCGCGCTGGCGTTTCTGGGTCGTGGGCCCGGATGGACCCGCGTCAGCGCCGGTCAAGACGGCCGCCGCGTCAGCGGCGGTCGTCGTCTTCTGCGCAGCACGCGCGTGCCTGCCAGGCACGCGCTCTTCAGCAGCAGCCACGCGCGACTGTACAACAGTCGTGCGTTCCTCAGGGGGGGTCCGAAGGGTGCCTCCGAGCAGGAGGTCGACCGCCGAGGGTCCCTCGCTTGAAATTTCTTCGGCGGGACGTTTTCCGCCGCGACGATCCGTTGTCCCGGCCGGGGTCGAGGTTTCCGCCGCGTTACCGGGGCTAGAAATATTCGAGTTGTCGCGGTTAAGTGCCGGGTTGACCGGAGCCATCGTTGCGAGGTTGCGCTTAAGGATGTCGTTAAGGAGCGTTGACGGGGCAGTGAAGCGCGGAAGCGACCGAGTCTTCGCCATTGTGGACAAGAACGAAAGTAGAACTACAATTTTGAAAATGAAAACGTGGGTGGGGACGAATGTCCCCACGTCCCTCTTTTGTAGGCAAAAGAGGGTGAGTAGCGCTTCGGCGCTACCTTTGCTGTGTTGGTCACGTACCCCTTTTCACAATACAAAATTTTAGAAAGTGTTACATTTCATTACACTTTCAAAAATTATCATTTTGTACCGACTCTGATTTTTCAGCCTAGGCCAAATCGAACCTGAGGCCCTGATTTCAGTCCATCAAAATATGGGTATTCAACAATATTTTGTTGCCTTCCCACTCACTAAGTTTACCTGAACATAGAATTTGGACGCCATTAGGTTGTGAGTTGGAACTTCAATTTACATACAGCACACATTTCCTGCATGGCTTCTTGAATTCCTACATTTTAGGCATCTTGCCTGCTTTCCCAATTCCTGAAGTACGCATTTCTTTCCCAATCCCTGTATTTCAAGCATCCTCTTCACAATTCGCGCAAGCAACTACACCTTCCTAATCCCGATCCAACCGGTACGCTCGCCCCCTGAACACAGCACCACCAGAGCCACCACCCACCCCTGCCGCAGCTACTCCTCCAGCAGCCCCTCCTGCCGCTCCTCCTCCTCCCCCTGCTACAGGGCCGCGGGCCGGAGTGGGCCGCGGGGGTGCCTGGGGCTGCACCATGTTGGGTGCTACAGCCGCCCACTGTGCTACAAGCCGATGGCTGGAGGATGGAGGGGATGAAGGGGATGGGTGTGTAGAGGGTGGGGAGGAAAGGGGTGAGTGGAAAGTGTTGTTGCACACACGAGCAACTATGCCAGCTGGGGTTGCATCATGTGCTACAGCCGGCCACTGCGCTACAAGCGGGCGGCTGGAGGGTGGAGGGAGAAGAGAATGCAAAGGGTGGAACAGAATGGGATGGGTGGAAAACTGCGTTTGCCTGGGGTTGCACCATGTTGTGCGTGCAGCTGCCCACTGCACTACAAGCCTCCTGTGCGTGCATACACGGGGATGATGAAGTAGTAGATGTGACCTCTTGGCCTGCCCCTCTAAAAGACATCTCCATAGGGAAAAAAAAGAACATGAGGAGGGACTTACACCCAGAGTGGCGTTGTCTGTGGTAAACAGGTGGGCTGTGGATGTCTTATGTCCATCAACTTAAACTGTTTCTTAGGACGACGAAGCAAACTCCACGAAATGAAAAAATGAAAGAGCCTGGAAAGCTTGTAAGCTAGAGCGTATTAGAGAGCCAGAATGAACAAAACGTCAACTTAAAAAGAACATGAGGAGGGACTTACACCCAGAGTGGCGTGCGGATGAGCTGAGCCCCCCCTGTGCGCGGATACACGGCCGTGAGGAAGTAGTAGATGTGACCCGCCACTATGCCGGCTAGCGAGTCAACCACGCTCATTCCAAAGAGCAGATCCATGAAGAGGTATGCCCATGGCAGGTAGAACGCCTGTTGGTGAGAGTGGATGGGAGGGGAGAGGAGCGGAAGATGGTGAAACGGATCTAGTGCAGAGCGAGAGATTCAGCGATGCTCATTCCAATATGCAGGCCCACGAATAGTTATGCCCAGGGCAGGTAGACCCATGAAATTGACAACACCGTTGGAATTCTCCCGGATCCACATGTAGACGACTGAGAGGAGCAGAGGCTCCCTAAGGAAGAGGCACTTAAAGGGGATAAACAGGAAGAGGAATACAAGGGGCGCCATAGAGAGGGGACTCACGGGCATGGATAGAAGACCCATGAAGTTGACGACGCCGTTGGGATTCTCCCGGCTCCACAGGTAGATGACCGAGAGCAGCAGCGGCTCACTAAGGAAGAAGATCTTAAAGGGGATGAGGAGGGCGATGAGCAGCAGGCTGAGCGTGTTGATCATGAGCATGTAGAGAAAGTCCGCTGTTCTTCCGGCGAAAGCTGATGTCTCCATCTGTACACAGTAGCGGGCTCTGCAATAACGAGGATGGCAGTTAAAGAGCCAGAAAAAGATGTCATGTATGAGACTTCGGTTTGCGCTTTCTGATCATGTGAAATTAAATGAGCAAGAGAACGAGGAGGTATTAAGGTGCAGTGGTCGAGCGTGGAGAGGGAGTATGAAGGGGCAGGGGAAGAGGATAATGGACAGCAGGAATTAATAGGAGGTTGAAGGAAAGCTGGAGAAAGAATGAGGAAGGAAAAAGGGGGGGGGGGGGGGGGAGGAACATAAGCTAGAGAAAAGGGGGGAAGTCTTCGTACATCATAAGGAGAGTGAAGGCGAATCTCATGCTGAATCCTCCTGCAAAGAAGATGTTTGTAACGAGACGCCATATCTGAACGTCACAAGACAAGCATGCATATATGAAGGATGCATGCACACAGTTCACGAAGGGGCGTGTCAGAAAATGAGGTAGCCTAGTAAACTTCCTGTTATGTACGGTCAATCATGAACATATATGCCAATCTACGCATGGGAAGATAGCAATCTCCATGCAAAGAAACAGAGAACGGAGCAACGGTAAGAACGGGGGATAGAACCTGGAATTTCTGGAATATGGAGGCGTAGTCGAGGAAGATGAGCTGCACTGGCAGCACTTTGAGCTGCATGGCGCATGCGGTGGCGAATAGCGCCGTTCCCCATGCCTTGCTGACTGGCGGGAGGGAGTTGTACCACCTGAGATGTATACGAGGCGGGGATGAGATTAACTGTATCAATTAAGGCGCCTCAGAAAGGGAATTGTACCACCTGTAGACGTAGTGAGAGTATTGCAGCACGCGTGAGAGATATTATAAACCACACTGCATGCTTAGAAAGAACACGCTTCTACTCGGCGGTTTAAGGAGTAAACGACAGGCGTCAACGACAGGGGTCAGCGACAGGGGTCAGCGACAGGGGTCAGCGACAGGGGTCAGCGACAGGGGTCAACGACAGGGTTCAACGACAGGGGTCAACGACTGGCACCAACGACAGGCCCTGCGCATAGCTGATTCGCCGACGGGAAGTAGCGACGCTTACTCTGCGGGACTCGCTGCTGCCATGGCGACAGAATTGCGAAGATCTCGGCAATCTCGGCGATCTTGGCGACCGGGAGATCACGGACGTGTCTAAGCTTGCAGCCTAAGAGAACGATGTCCACAACGTGGCCTTGGCGGGTGTGCAACGTTCAAGATGTAGCGCAGCGCGAATATGGTATCCCTCAGTATTCTTTAGGTAGAATCTAGAACGTATGGAAATCAAGAAGCTTGGCGCTGACGACGTTCCTTCCTCGGCGAAATGATTCTTCCACGGAACGCTTTCGCAAAATGCTCAATTTTGAATTTTCACGATGCTTTGGGGAGGTCGCATAACTTTTGCGAAATTGCAGATAGTTACCGGATTGACATGTTCTGAGGAATGTAGATCTGGTTGAGCGAGTGACTGTGCCGAGTCCAGACAAGGAAGGTGAGTGCACGGTTCCAGTTTTTAACACGGCCAGCAACGGTTCAGTGAGTTTCTGTGCGTTTTAGAGCGTTCTGAATTGATTGCCGACACTCCCTAGACTTCGCACCACATCCTGGTTATGGCGATTATCCAGCAGGAATCCAGCTTTGTCAATAATCGATCATGGATTTCCGCTCATTTGACTCCCTCTAGTCCTCGTCTCGCTGACACAGCAAGCTGCCATGGCGATTCGATCGAAGTCGACGATAGTGAAACTGCTCTCGATTTCCGCGCTGTGGATCGTCGTCATTGGCATGTTACAGTTGCTTCGCACGTCGTGCAACTATTTCGCGAGCTCGCGGGGTCCGCCATCCTCCGATCCTCCCGCTGGGTTTTCCAATTCCACGAAAATACCGAAGCGCCTGTTTATTAACTACGCACACAATTGCTGCCACGTGGGCCAGCGGACTTCGTGTCAGGCCGCGTTACAGCACGGAGCGGATCGTTGCATTCAATACAATCAGACCTCGTTGGATCCCGATTTCACCTCTCGAAACAAAAAAAACTTATCTCTTCCTCGTGGCGTGGGACACTGGGTGTGGAAACCGTACCTTATACTGAAGACGCTTCTAGAGGAAATGGAGGATGGGGATTTGCTACTGTACGCAGACGCGGATAGCACCACGAACGGCGACCTATCCTCGTTATACGGCCTTGCAGCTGGTGACGGGGAAAGCTATACTTCTGGTGGGATAGTGGACAGGCTTGTATCGAGGATGGCGTTACTCGAAGGGGATGACTCAGACGGCGCCGTTAACAATATCATTAAATGGTCTTTTAGTAAGCAGGAGGTTTATTTATTTCAATTCCCGGCCAATTTCGCGGAAGCATGCTGGACTAAGATGGACGCTTTTCTTCTGCTCAACTGCACTAATGAGAGCATCTGCATGAATTCCGGCCAGGTGAGCTTATGACGGGTAAGGGTCAGGAGAGGGGAGAAGGGGGAACGGGGGGAGGGTGGGTGTGGGGTGGGAGGAGGAATTGGACTGATTGCTACATTGCATTGTATGGTGAAATCCAGTTCCTATCTCCCCACTCTCCCTTCCTCCCTCTCCTCCCTTTCCTCTCCCAACTTCCCTGCTCACCCTACTTTCATCCTTCCCCTCCCCTGCTCCAACAACTTCCCTTCCCCCGCTCCCACACAGCTTCCCCCTCCCCCACTCAGACACCTTCCCCCTCCCCCGCTCCCACACCTTCCCCCTGCACCTGTTAGGTCGATGCGGGATTCTCGGTGTGGCGACGCGGGCGGCAGTCAATCCAGTTCGCCGGCCAGTGGCTGGGGTACATGGAGGACCCGCGCGTGTCAACGGACCTGCCGAACCAGCTGGGTCGGCCGAACCATGCCTGCTTCATGGACCACCGGCACGACCAATCCGCGCTGGGGCTGCTGGCGAAGCGGTGGGGGCTGCACATGTGGCCGCATGATGCTGTGGAGGAGGTTATCAGTCACCACTGGAACAAGGAGTGACTTGCTTGCAAGTGCTGCAGGGGATTGGCATTCGCAGTTCGCTGGGGCTGCTGGTCGAGAAATGGGGGCTGCACATGTGACAGCATGATTGAGGCAGTAATTAGTCACCACTGGAACAAGGAGTGAGGGCTGCTTGCTTATGCGCACACACATGCAGCAAGCGGTGTGAGTACTATGCTCAGGTGCGGCTTTCGTAAGTGAACGGGTTGTAGTACAATCATAGGGGAGGGCGCCTCACCAACGAAGCAGAGTTCTTCCTGCCGGCGTGGCGAGACATCATGAAGGTGAGACACTGCTGGCCTGGCAAGATGTCTGAGTGCTTAGAGGGCGCCTCACCAAAGGATTGGGGTTCTGCCTGGTACTGTGGGAATACAGGAAACGACTCTGCTGGTTTTGTTGTGCAACAAGAATGGTTCTTTTTGTTTGTTTGATTTGTTTTGTTTTGATGTTTTTCTCGATCGTTTTGTTGTGTGCCTCCCTCGTTCATTGCCATACCTGCTGCCACTGTGCATGCAAAGCAGGCTGCAAGTGTCAAAACTGCCACGTCTTTTCCTTTCCTCATTACCCAGGAATTCGTTCTAGTTGCAGCAGGCAGCACCACAGTGGATTCCAAATAGCATTCTCGCTGATTTCTCCACCCACTTGCCTTCTGTTTTTGTTTTCCTTGGTCGGTGTCATTCCCGCTGCAACTGTGCAGGCAAAACAAGAGGCAAGTGACAGCACAGCCACTTCTCCTTCTCCTTCCTCCCTACCCAGCAAGCCACCACCCCCAAGCTACACGGCGGAATCTTGCTCTGACTCTAGCTTGCAGCAGGCAGAACCACAGTGGACTCCAGACAGCATTCTTGCCTATTGCCCTGCCCTCATAGGCTGGTTGCAGGAACACCTGCCTTAGAGTTGGAAACGAGATGCGGTAGTCTGATCGGTGCTTTGCATTCGATTCGAGTCCTTCCCCACTAGTTGAAGAACGTGGGTGTGTAAATATAGCTGCAACACTTGCCTAAGGGCTTACAATGAGACGTGGTACACTCTGAATTCTAGTCCTGCCGCACTAGGTGAGTCATCACTTTCAGTTTTCCTCGAGCTCAACAAAACATTCAGATTGTGACAGACTTTCAGAGGAGTGTGCAGTGCAATCGTCATAGCTAGAATATGAATATTTTTAAAAGCTGTACCGCTTTTCAAATTTTAGTATTTTGAAAGCGAAGCGGCTTGTAATGTAGCAATGGTCATCGGCGAACCGCGCTAAACGCCCGTTTTGGAGTACAAAACGTGGGCTGGAGGTCATTTCCCTCCACCCACGTCTTTCATTTTCAAACGGCTTATTAGCCTAGTTTCCCGCCCACCCACCCCGTAGAACTGGGACCAATTATGGATAGTCGATTGTTTTAGGGTACATTCCGCTGTGGAATGTGTCCCAATCGATGTGTCCCAATCCCTTTTTTGCCGAGTCGCGCCCAAATTTCTCGATCCTGCATGTCCCAATCGACTGATGTATTGCGACTCTGGGCATCAACGCGACAATTATATACGACACATTGTGATTGGTCAATGTCCAATCTGGCACGTACCAACACCAAAAGCTCAAACACCGGCGATCCAGACCCGCGGAAGGGATCTGGTTATGTACGGGGAGGGCGCGGACAGTACAGTACATCTCCGCGCTACCAATAATTGCCAAAATGGCAATTACGTTCACTACTATCCTACGCAGTCAGTATGTTTAATCCAAGTATGCACATACAACATAACTACGCATTCACAACCCACACAACATGGCAGAGCCAAAAACCATACCCTTCATCCTACGCCTCCTCGTCGCATGGGTCACCTACTACTACACCGTTTTCTACGAAAACGTCGCGAAGTCCTTCGTAGGCCTGATAGAGTCGGGAGTGTTCGAGGACGATAACGAGCAGTCCTCATCGCTCGGGGACGATTACGGGGAGAACCGCCGACACAGAGCGAGAGTACGGCGGCGACGTCATGCAGTGTGGGTTGAAGACCTGCAGCACATGCGGGAGAACGATTTCCAAGACCTTTTCAGGATAAACCGCGCCATACTTGAGCATATCAAAACCGGTATGCAACACTATCTGGAGCCAATAGTATACCGGTCAATACTCACAATGGACACCGCGGTGCTCATCCCTATCAGGTACCTGGCGTCAGGAATCTCCAACGTCGACATGTCGTACCTGTTCGGCGTCTCCAAGACACTTTGCCACGAGGTTGTCGACGTGTTCCTCACTCAGTTCCCCTCTATCTTCAAGGCCGCCTGGGTGCGCTTCCCCACACTCGAAGAGCTTCCCGAGATGGCACGCGAATTTGCCGCCATCAGAGGTGTGCCTGCTGTGGTGGGGGCTGTGGACAGCACTCATATCCACATGAAAGGGATGGAAGGGCACAGAGCGGAGTACTGGACAAGGAAGTCCGCCTATGCCGTACAACTCCAGCTCACGTGTGATGCGCGAGGCAGGATATGGGATTACCCGATCGGCTATCCCGGTAGCGCGCACGACATGCGGGTTTTCAAAGATTCTGCACTACTTGAGAGGTTACACAACGGTGACATAGCCCCATACCAAATTGTCGGTGACGCGGCCTACCCTCTACGAGAATACTGCCTAACACCCCTGCATGCCCCACGAGGAGAGGACCTCATGGACGACTGGGCACAATGTTTCAACTACTGTCAGAGCGCCACACGGATGGCGGTGGAGAGGTGCATCGGCGCCTTCAAAGGGAGATGGCGCATCTTCGGCCAGCGCAACGACTGCAGGTTGTGGCGCATTCTCGCTGGGGCCGCGTGTTGTGTGATCCTGCACAACATGTGTGAAGAGATGCAGGAGGTGAGGCGCAAAAACATGGCCTGGGAGAACCTTCCCCGCAACCGCGATCCATGGTGGACGCGGGGAGCTATTGCGACACACACGTGGGAACCGTGTGTCCCACCAACACAACAGGCACTGAGGGAGAGGCGGAAACGGCTGGGAGAGGCACTCCAGGACTCTTACTCTAATCGTCGGCGCCGCGCACCCATATCTCCACATCCTCATCAGCCGGAGTGACGGTGTTGACGTCGCCCACATCTTCCCGCGGCTGTGCAGCTTCGGGGGGTGGCGCGGACTCCCCGCGTGGCGGTGGAGGGGAGAAATCCGGCGGCGCACGGTGCACATCCGGGGGAGCCGATTCAGTCATGCGCTCGCGGGCAAGTCGCAGGTCTTGCGCCATCCATTCTCGGACGAGGCCTTCAACGACTCTCATCGCATCACCGTGGCAGTCCTTGATGGTGTCGGACACCAACTTCGCCGCTTGCATGGTAGCCGTCTTATGCACCCGGGCGCGCTTGGGTGTGGCAGTGTTCGTCGGCGGCGGAGCTGTGAAACAAGAGAAGACGGGAAGATAGTAGGTTAGATAAGTAGGTGCACACAATGACGATGTATCGTGCATGTTAGTCTATAGTCTTTACAGCAGTTTCATACTCAGACTTGTATGGCAAGCATGCGAACCAAACAACATGGAACCGGGATCATGTCTCACCCGTAAAACATGGCGTTGACGTGCCTGGCTGGGACGAAATTGGAACCTCCATGCCGGCCGGCACGTTGACGTTGGTCGCGCCGCCACCGACCACCGCATGCGGTGCGGCTGCGGCGGTGTCTTGGTTGTGCAGCTCCAGGTACGGATACCATAGTGGTTTCTCCACCGAGCCGTTGCCCGACCCCCCGTCGGCACGCTTGTACTCCCGCCAAAGGAGCGTCAAGTTACGCCACTGCTTCTGCAGTGCGTTAATTCCCCTGCACCATCCGGGATTCGACTCCTTGATGTGTGCAAGCAGCCGGGCCCAGTATTGCGTCCCCTGTTTCCCTTTGAGTGGCTCGAGCTCATCTTTCATGAACCAATTCGCCGCGGCGAAAATGGTGCTCTCCTTGTCAGACCATAAGCCGCGCTCGACAGGTGCTGCCGCCCGTTTCTTCCGCGGCTCCGGGTGCGCTGCAGGTTGCGCAGCCTTGCCTTTGCCCTTGCCATACCCTTGTTTGCGTGCGGCGCTCCGTTTCAGCGGCTGAGCGACAGGCTGTGCTTCCTCCGGGACGTCCTCCTCGGCATCCTCATCGTCGTCGTCGTCTTCGTCTTCGTCGCTGGGCGACATTCCCTGGTCTTCGGGCTCCTCCACCTCGTCATCGGAGTCACCCCCTTCTTCGCGGTCGTCGTCGTCAGGGTCGTCGTCGTATTGCTCCACGACTGGCCGGTGCGTTGCTGCCGTCCTTGCAGGCTGACGGCGCACACGTGACGGGGCCGCTGTGGGCGACTGTGCAGTGGATCCCTGGCCGTCAAGCACGGGCGGCGCGGATAATCCCCTAGAATGGCGATCGTTGGCGATCTGCTGGTTCATCCAGCGGATGTACGGAATGTCGTTTAGATCCGAGGGGCAGTCGTTAAGGGCCTGCCCCTTACGCTTACGAGCCATGCTGGCGGGTAGAAGGTGTCTAGATCTAGATCTAGAGGGAGCGGAGGCTGTGAGAGAATCACAGATTGGTACTTTGCAGCTGTTGCACAAACTTGACCTAGCAAGGGATGGGGAGGCGGAGGAGTTGTGGGGGAGGTGCATTGGAACTGGGGAAAGGCGCAATGCCGGGGGGGTGCGCGTCCCTGTCAATAATTCTGGAAAGGTCGTTTCGACCAATGGGCACGCTGTGTACGCGTTGATGGGGATAGAGTGGGCCCAAAAATGTCGTCCAGATACATGCTGCATGATAGGACATTTGGGGCCGCGTGCGATTGGATGGGTGTGTTGTAATTAGCTGGCGATTGTTCCGTGATACACGCCACCCAATGATAAATACAGTCGGCGACAACTACGGGCGGCACGGCATTCCGACACCTGACAGCATATGCTGTACGTACGCGTCTCAATCGATTGGGACACAACGATTGGGACATATTCTACAGCGGAATGTCCCCTAGAATAATTGCATGCTAGCTTGGACATGTCTGTACTATGCCATTTGAAGTGAGACGATGCCATTGCTACAACAAGAAAGCAAGCTTTCTAAAATTGCTATTTTTTTATTAAAATTTCTCATCTTTACGCACACAAGAAATGTGAATGCAGGTATTCTTGTGCCAATTCAGTCCCAGTTTCTCCTTCTCACATCCCCTTCCTCTATTCTCTCAGACTACGTATATATGATACTTATGTGCCCAATGCTAACACAACATCCTAAGGTGTTGGAAAAAGTACCGGTATCTTCTTCCTATTGTCAACATAGCACTGTGAGCTCTTGGTAAACCCAATGGCAGCTTTGGTGTCACCTATTTTCTCGGTAGTACTGGGGTAAAGGAGAGAGAGGGGGACGCAGGGAGGTGTGATTGTGGGAGCCCCTCTGCCACGCACGCAGAGCAAGCACCGTTCAACGCCAAAATTGATGTTCAGTATGCGCCAATTGGTAGAAAAACCAGGTTAAAAGTACGGTATTGCTTAAGTTGCGAGAATCTGGTAGGATAATTAAGTACCGTATTGAACCTTAAAGGCTTATCAAATTGCCGTCAGGATATAAGCGAAACGACAAATGAGCTTATCTCGGAACTTTCCCCATTGCATGCCTACAGAACCCCTCCAGCGTGCCACAAGTTGGCCGTTCAAGAGATGAGACACGCTGACGATGAATGGCCATTCAAGGCTGTATTCGGTTGTCCTCTTTATTTTCTCCTTGTTGATTTCCTTCACAGCCTTTGTCGGGCGGTCGAAAATCACTGTTCACGCTTGACTTTCGTCACGTGCAGCTTATTATCGAAGGATCAGCCGTGATCTTGCGGTTTGTGCCGCCAGCGGCATGTTCGTCGCCTTGTTAGGGCCCGCACGGCGTGCGGGCAAGCTAGCCTCAGCTTTGCTGCCATGGAAAGGGAAGTGTGGTGCAGCGATTTGTCCTTGCGCTCAGTGTTGAATAGACTGTAGTGTCTTGACGGGCTTATCTTCACTGGGTATCGAAGTTGTTAGGTGTCGCTCGCGGAGTGGTGAAATCGGCCTACAATTCGCCTACGTGTCACACCCTTGTGCAGCGCATACATTCGTGCACGCAGGCCGGTTATAGGCACTCGTTATAGGAACTCGGCAACCCAATAGACATCACATAATGCTACCACGAACCTCATGGTTCCTCAGTAGTGGTTATGTCGAATCTCGTGTTCGAAAGTCTATGCTCTAGCGGACGAGCATTCGACATCAGCATCATGGAGCGCCGCGCGTTATCATCTCTCCTCTGCCGCCTGCTTCTCTGTAAGCCCTGCTGCTCCGTAAGCCCTCTGCTGCGACTTTTGAGTCGACGAGTCAGTTCTGAGAGCCGCGCTGTTGCGGCAGGCTTCAATTTCGCACGATGGACACTGTCTCTGTCTCTGGGGCTGCGGTTTGCAGTATTATATGTCACTGAGACTGATGATCGGTCGGATTAGATGCTGATCCGCGTCACGTCGTTGGACAGTTCCAAGCTGTCGTGACCCACATCACGCCTCGAAGATTGTGCTGCCTGCGTGCCTTCCTCTCTGTCTCCTTTGCAGGTGCGGCGGTCTGCACGGCCTACGGCGCGTCTGCCACATCGTTGCTCCCGCCGCTCCTCTCTCACCACGTCGGTTCTACCGCCTCTACCGCTTCTCCCGCTCTTGCCAGGCCCCTGGTCTATAAGGGAAAGACAATCAGTAAGTGCCCCTCCCGATCCTTTGCATTCACGTTCTATACGATGATGACGTCAACCCATTATTAGCAGCTACCAACTATGTTCGCCTTCCCGATCCCTCCGTTCCCGTTTTTAGTGAAATACGTGACCAAACTGCGTCCTACCAAGGTCAACGGGAAAGTAGTCGGTGACGCAGGAGCTTCGGGAAGATTTATGATCAAGGCAGTGAGGTACGCCGCCGTCCCCTCTTCTTCCACTCGCACCAGTTCTTGTTTTTTTTTTTTTCCAGCACAGTTGGTTCCGCTGTTGATGATCTTGGCTTTAAAAGTTGCTCGGCAGCATGGTACCATCCATTCATCATCCATGCTACTTCAAGAAAATTTCATTTATGGAGGAATTAGCTGGCGCCGTTGAAACGAGTCCCATGGAATCAGAATCACTAAGACCGAGGGTCTTGCAGATGGCCCGTCCCTTTTTAGACGGAGTCTGCATGGGGTGCTGTCTTGAAGCGTTTGCGCCGAATCGAAGGCAGTAAGACAGTGATGGTTTGCCTTCGCTTTCTCATCTGCCTTGTCTTGCCCACTGTTAACAGGTTCTCTGCAACGTCATACACCATAGCCACTAGGATACTTGCGTTGAATCTCAAGTCGGGAAGTGATCCCAGCTTTGATTACAAGGATTCCTGCGCCTCAGGATCCAGCCAAATGCCTGGTGGTTTTGCTAACATTACGAGACCCGATTCTCGCCACAAGCCTTACAGCTTTCGATACGTGGTCAACCAATTCACGATCACAGAGGCTGGTTTTCTCGCTCTTACGGAGTCGGCGCGAGGTGGAAAGAATGTGGTTGTGGGACGCCAAGGGAACACGCACGCTCTCTGTGGGAAGGTTGCTAAAAAGGTGGCATACCCATAAGAAGCACTTACCAGGTGCAAGTGCCAGTGCAATGCAATGGTTGTGACTCTCATGTAGTGCAGTGATCACTGTGGGGTGGATATGCATTAGGATCTGGCCATCTCTTGTCTAATGTGTCTACCTGTAAGTGTGCATGTCCGCACTAGAAATGGTGCCTGTGAAAGTCATTCCAATTCCAGTGAGCAAAGAGAGAGAGCTTTGTTCATGCGCGGGAGGCCCGGGTTCAATACGGGAGAGGACATTCAGATCAGAGTACCGTATCTAACATTCAGCAGAGTATCTAAAAAGGTAACACTGACTGCCCAGGGTTACGCTCAAGATGAACCCTGGTTTTCAGAATTACCAAAAAAACAACCCTGAAAATCAGAGTAAAAAAAAACCGAAAATAAGCTGTCCGCGACCGACCTCTTGCCATACCTACAATTGAGGTACAGGCTTGAGCTCAATCTTTAGGTCCGGTGCCGAACCAAATACTGGCAGGTCCCCTGGGTCCACATTTGGCACACTGCTGGCACCGGGGTTGCCTGCCGAACCTGCAGAAGTGGCTTGGGCCGCAGGTACGGCAGCCAGGTCTGGAGAGGACTGGAGTGCGTCGAGAATCATCTGAAGGAACAGGCGGTGCCTGTTCAAGCACACATGGGGAAAGGTAGACGGCACGGACACAGGGGGATGGGTCACACATGGGGAAGGAATCATATGAAGGAACAAGCGGTGCCTGGCACACATGGGGAAAGGTGAATGGCATGAACAGATTGCTGAATTCTAACGAGGGATGGGTAACGATGTGTGCAGAGACGAATGGGTGCAGATGGGTATCGAAGAGCAGGTGAGAAAATGTGGCAGAGAGGGATGAGATGGGCTTAAAGAGGCTGGTCTAGAATAGGAATGACTTTACAACCGACAAGATGTGAGCATCTGCCTTTCACCATCTGAGGTGGGCTGTGAGCTCTCACCATCTGAGGTGGGCTGTGAGCTCTCACCATCTGAGGTCGGCTGTGAGCTCTGGGTGGAATGCCGTGGCCAACAGCCTGCCCTGCCTCACCGCCACTGCCACCCGATCCAACTGGCAGACGAGTCAACAGATGGGAAAACATTAACAGATGTCAACATGGCACAAGTCAACAGGGTGAACACACAAGGGGGAGAGAGAAAAACATGTGACACATAAGCTTGCGACGATTCAAAACGGGAATGAGAGGAGAAAAAACAGGCGGCATAGGTCATGGAGGAGGAGAGAAGGAGAGTGGAACTGTCCCCGTTAGAAAAGCAATGAGGGCCCCTTAGGAGGCACGTGGGGCATTTGAATACCTCATTTTCAAATTCTCACCTTAGCTAGAATTTCTTCTTCGGAAAGCTCCTGGCCACTCTGGTCAGGCACGGCCGAAGCAGCAGCTGCGGGCTCGGCCAAACCAGCGCCTGCAGGTGCGACCGGGGCAGCAGGTGCGGCGACGGCAGAGGCACGGTTGGGAAGAGGGTACTCCGCCAGCACCTCAACAGCAGGGCCGGTGTGGATGATGGCAGGGGCTCGGATGAAGACAGCCCGAAAGGGGGAAGCGGGAGACTGGGAAGGTGTGGGTGGTGCTGCTGGCGCTGCTGCTGTTGATGCCGATGGTTCTGATGGTGGTGCTGCTGAAGAGGTGGATTGAAGGGTGTGGTGCGGGAAGGGAAGGAGAGTCTCAAAGCTGTTGATCTGCATGGGAAAGAGGGTGGGGGAGAGGGACTTGGATTAGCACGAGTACGTATGAGCACATACCCATACACACATCGGTGTGCATAGATGGAAACGACGTGGTGCACAGTACAGCCCCCCTTGCAACGATGGTGAGCAGGTGCAGTGCAGCAGCACCTCCTATTGATGTCAACTCAAGCCACACTTTTAACGAGTCACTCACTGTCAAAACAGCCCCGCCCAACCCCAACACCCACCTGACTGCCTAACAAGGTTGCGATGCATGGTGCAGTCCCGCCCCCCTTGCAACGCCTGCCTTTAATGCAAACTCAAGCCACACCTCTAACGAGTCACTCACTGATGGGACAGCGCCCTGTACCTGGCACCCCTACACTTCACCTGGCTGCCAAATAAGTTACAGTGCACGGTGCAGTCCCGTCCGCCCAGCAGCGCCTGCCTTTAAATAATAAAAGTTGACTCAAGCAAGCCACTCACTGACGGGACATCCCCCATCACACAACCCCCTCTTTCCGAAACCCACCTGGCTGCCAAAGAAGTTGCGATGCACGGTGCAGTCCAGTCCCCCCAGCAGCGCCTGCCTAGAGCCACTGACGGGACATCCCCCATCACACACCTCTCAAAACCTGACAATCCCCCAAACTCCCCTGGACAAGCCTCCATCCCTCCTGGCTGCCGAAGAAGTTGCGGTGCACGGTGCAGTCCAGTCCCCCCAGCAGCGCCTGCCTTTAAATAATAAAAGTTGACTCAAGCAAGCCACGCACTGACGGGACATCACCCATCACACAACCCCCTCTTTCCGAAATCCACCTGGCTGCCAAAGAAGTTGCGGTGCACGGTGCAGTCCAGTCCCCCAAGCAGCGCCTGCCCTCCTGACTTCTGACCTGCCAGGACCGGAGCAGAGGCCCGTCCGGAGGGAGAGAATGCAGCACAGGGGAGAGCAGGGGGCGTGTACAGATGAAGAGGTTCAGGAGGGAGAGAATGCAGCACAGGGGAGAGCAGGGGGCGTGTACAGATGAAGAGGTTCAGGAGGGAGAGAATGCAGCACAGGGGAGAGCAGGGGGCGTGTACAGATGAAGAGGTTCAGGAGGGAGAGAATGCAGCACAGGGGAGAGCAGGGGGCGTGTACAGATGAAGAGGTTCAGGAGGGAGAGAATGCTGCACAGGGGAGAGCAGGGGGCGTGTACAGATGAAGAGGTTCAGGAGGGAGAGACTGCAGCACAGGGGAGAGCAGGGGGCGTGTACAGATGAAGAGGTTCAGGAGGGAGACATTGAACCAGGGAATGCACGCAATGCATAGACAGCTTCCCCTGCTGTATAGACAGCTTTCTGAAGCAATGCTCGCCCTCATAATGTATAACTAAGCGCATTTTTCCAGCCACGGTCCAGTCCTCCCCTCTCCCTCCTCTCCCCTCCCTCCTTCCCTCTACCCCTCTCCTCCCGTGCCTTGTTCACCAGGAGTATGGGTCCGGCACTCATTCCCCACACCGTGTGTACCCCCCTCCCCCAAAATTTTCCCCCCTCCCAAACCAAACCCTCCTTCTCCACTCCCTCTCCCTCCAAACAACCTCTCCCCACACCCACCTAGCGCCTTGATAGCCAGGAATATGAGCCCAGAGCACGTCCCCCACACCGTGTGTACCCCCCTCCCCCTCCACTTCCCCCCTCTCCCCCCACGCACCTAGCGCCTTGTTAGCCAGGAATATGAGTCCGGCGCACGTCCCCCACACTGGCCGCCCAGAGGCTGCGAATTCCTGCAGCGCGCCGAGCTGGGAGAAGGGGCGCGAGGGGTGGGGGGGAAGTTGGGTGGTCAGTCATGACGTTTGAGTCAACTCTTTGAGTCGCTGGGAGAAGGCGCAAGGGGTCAGGGAAGGGGGATGATCAGCCCGGAAGGATGGGATGCTGTGGCTACATGTGGTGCTACATGTGGTGCTACATGTGGTGCTCGCTCCCCCCGTCGGGAATGGCGGGTCCAAGGTTGCAGGGTTAGAGGAGAAGAGGACAGAGGAACAGACGATTAGAGTTCAAGGGCATCGCACCAGTCCGCATCGCTGGGCGAGGTTGGCCATGGTGGTGCTCTCCCCGCCGGGGATGATGACGGGAAGGGGGGTAGCCAAAACGATAGCGTGGAGGGCAGGTATTGGAACGAGGGATAGTGGGGCGAAGGGCCAGAGGCACAGGGGGAAGGCGTCAAAGCACCTCACCAGTCCGCATCGCTGGGCGAGGTTGGGGAGAGGGACGGACGGACGGACGGGAATGATGAGCGCTTGAACTGACCGCAGCTCCGTGCAGTTCCGTGCAGTTCCGTGCAGGCCTCCACCACGCACGCTCTATGCTGCCTGCGTTCATGTCCGCCGCGCACCTGCGTAGCGCTGCGACATGGCGGGAGGTAGGGGAGAGGGACGGGAATGATGAGCGCCTGCACGGCCCGCGGCGTCGCGTCAGGACGGACCTCTACCGCATCGAAAGCCGTTGCGCACCTGAGGAGAGCTGCCGGAGGGAAGGAGGGAGGGCCGGGTGATGAGGGAGGAAGGAGGGTGCACGCTCCGCAGCTCTGCGTGCGAGCACGCCTCGACTTTTCCGAAACGACGCGGCCATCTCGCAGATCTAGCTGTGATTACGAGCTCTGCACAGATCTGCGAGATGAATAGCCAACATGACTATAGTCGAAAGGCGACCTTTGACATGTCGAAAAGTGGCCTACTTGGAAGACGGGGATTGATCTGCGACTTGCGGTGTGCACGAACGAGCAGGCTCAAAACGAACAAGCCTTGCAGAGCGTTTTCGGACACAAGGCAGCAGTTTCGCAAAGCAATGAGCAACAGACGTATAATGTGATCCACAACAACCAATCGGTGATCACTGACACTCACCTGCAATGTGCTCGCGGAACGAGCCTTGCAGCGCCAGCACTCCCACTCGCATCAGGGGACTTGGCGCCGACCCAGAATCCGCTGCCATGGCTGCGATCGAGCACCGAGCGCTTGGGCCACGGATCCGCTTGGAAGCGACACGATCCGCTCACAATCTGATCAGCTTAGAGTCGCGGATCGGTTTGAAGCTACGGGTGAGATCGGATCAGTGCACTTTCTTCCAACGAAAGGATCGCGGAGTCGCGACAGCCTTCTAGGCCTTAAAACTGCTATTTGACGATCAGGTAAGTCAGGGTGCGGAGGCTGACACGATGGCGCAGTACATTGCGTGTGCGACTCGGTTCAGCTGCGATCTAGGGAGCGTCAAGCGCACGGCATGAACGAAGTCTGGGAACAGAGAAGATGACAGAGTTGTGTGCACGGTTCATGCTCGCGCCTAACGGTTGTGTGCACGGTTCATGCTGATTGGCTTACTGATAGTTAATGGTTATGAAGGAATAGGAGCTCCCTAAGTCCCTAGGTGTTGCCGTGTCTGTGGATTCTGTGATCAATCGTGATGAACAGAGAAGGCAGGCTGGTTATTATTGTGGCATACGTGTGCGGTGCTGGTTGTGCCACGGCCACAGAAACACCGATTGGTTCTTATTGCTGGCACTTGTTGCGTTCGGAGTTCGCGTCACGACACAAAACGAGTGTCACGCAACCAAAACCTCTAAAGCAAACAGGGCTCGGGGTTCGTGTCCCAGGCTCGGAAAAAGTAGCTCCATGTTAGCTGTGTAACGATGTCCTGATGATTTCTGAAACAAGCGCTGAAATGCCTTCATGATCTCAACTTATGGACGGCTCGTGTCGTGAATCGAAGACGTGAGGCAGCGACAGAATGTCTCGTTATGAGAAGCCCTCTGATTTTTTAAAAGTATCGCCTGCAAGTCTATCAGAACCGGGCTGATTATAATCAGCAAACGAAACATTCCATAACTGGTCGAATGATCAGGTGTTACCCTCCTAATGCGCGAGCTCCTATCTTCAGCGACAAGCGCAGCGTGGCTGGTCGGTCGCACGCGACCCCATTTTTAAGCTGCTCGCTTCGCAGCAACCTGCAGCCCCCTTCAGCCGACGGCGAACGAGGCAACGACAATCAGCGAAAAGCGCTTAGCAAAACGGCACGTGAAGAGGCATCGTTCAGCTCCCAAACGAAACACCAAGTAGAATCGCATGCGTCGCGAGCCGACCATTTCGCATTCTCTGTCTCAAATGTTTTTTCGCGAACCTCATTCCTTGTCGCTCGCAACAATGTGCGCCATTTTTTGTTCCAAGCCACTTGACAGTAAATTCCGAACTCCGCCATTTCTCGTCCTCCTTACTCTCGTTGTAGCTCTGAACACCCTTAGCACGCTCAGCTCAGCCAGCATTCTCGATGGCGGCTGGCGGAAGCAGCAGGGCGCCTCACGGAACGTCTGGCGCGAAGAAATCAGCACGTGGCGAGGAGACAAACTCCCTGGCGCGAACCAGCAGCGAGAAGAGCAGGAGTATATTCGGCTCGGTTCAGCCCGGTTGAACGTGGAGGGTCTAAACAACGGTGACCTAGAAAATTCGGTTTATGGAGAGCTCGGGGCGCCTGTTACTCCAGGTGCAGCGTCTTTGCGACGACGGTCGCTTCAAGGCGAAGGCGGCGAAGAGAATTCCTTAGGTATGCTCGCCACGCCACGTAGCGTAACTCCCGGCATTCACGCTTCTCGCATTGTGTGCCTCCGATTCGTTGACTGCAAGTTCACGTGTTTAATTCGTCTCATGTGTTCACGCTTACGATTCACCGCTTCCAATTCTTCGCTCATGTGCTGATGTGAGTGTGTCGCAGAGTTCTTTCCCGACGACAGCTGGGAAATCGTCGATCTTCCGTCAAGCGAACCTCCTCAGCCTCCCCCGGAAGTTCCCAGCGCCGACGCGCCTGATCCGCCCCCCGCAGACTCCGCGGAACCCCCCGTGGGCTCCCCGGACGACTCCTTCCCCTTTCCGCCGAACCCCGCGCCGTCGCCCGGCGACAGCGGCGACAGCCCGTCGCCCGCGCCCGTGTCGCTTCCCAGCCCGCCCACGGCTCCCGCGCCGGCGGTCACGGGCGGAGTGGGCGAAGTCGCGTCCGTGTGGTGCCCGCGTTTGCCGCGACTGCCCGCCGACTTCATCGAAAACCCTCTCGAGGAGTTTAAAGCCCTCGACGAGGGCATGGCGAAGCTCTACGCACGGCGTCCAGACGGGCAGTCCATCACTATATGGGTATCGGGGAAAGACTCCCCTGTGACTATATCGAGTATGCCGCCCACGTCCGAGCTTCTAGGGCTTGAGACGACGATGCCACAGATCGAGGGGATGGGGGAGCCGTCGAACCCACACCTGGATCCGTTTTTCACGTCCTCCCTGCCGCCCTTCCCTGTGGTTCCCTTGAACTCTGTGCCGCCATACGTTGCTGCGCCTCCCCCTCCCCCTCCGCACTCGTTCTCCCCGCCTCCTCCCCCTGAGAGCTCCACTCCAGCTTCCAAGTTTCCCCCACCTCCCCCTCCCCCGAACGTCCTTCTCGCCTCTCCTCCGCCTAACCCTCCGCCCTTTCCCCCGCAGTCACCACCTCCCCCAGATCCATCCAGTCCTGGTGGGGGAAATGTGAGTCAACCCAGCGGCCCAGGCAGCAGCTTCCCCCTGTGTAACCCGTCACCCATCCGGTGTGTGTTCAGGTTCGTGGGGTATAAAGACAGAGTGCCAACGCTGGACATTACCAGTGCTTTGGCGGAGGAAGTGATCAGTCCTGCGTTGGTGGTGCTACGTGGTAACCGGACTTGTCGTGTGGTGGCGGCAAACAGTGGCGAGGGGAGGTCGATTTGCGTTCATGTGCGTGACGAGGTTTACCATGCGACAAGGAGCCAGTTTTACGCCAATGCGGAGGTATGCGTCTGTTGCTCTTCCTGAATTTTCTGGTTCCTCAATATGATTTCTACTACTGATACAAATCACCCTTCTTTCATGGATGGAATTGGTGCAGGTTGTGCGAGTAAGACAGTTCAATCCGCTGAGCATGAAGAGGGCGTTCTCAAACTCATACGTTCGTCTGGACATCAATTCAGCTCAAATTGAAGATGACGAGGGAATAGTCAACATCTTCTCTTCAAATGTCAAGGATTCTGAAGGCGACACCATACCACACAAGAAGAGCTGCATTATTTTTCGCTTGAAGGCTTCGTAGCATCTCATTCTCTGCATGGGTTATATGCATTTAGGATTACTAGGTGGGAGCCGCTCGCTCTCGTACAGCTAGGCCATGTCCGTGCTCACATGTATAGTTATGCTAGGCTACATATATTGGTACCATTTTTTATAATACAATGGGGTTGCATTTGTGTGCATCTGTCAAGTCAGAATTCAGTACAGCCAGTGTTCAAAAGCGAGGACTCTCTAATCGAGTACTCCAGTTTCAATGAAGCGTCTGGTTTGGTCTGCCTGGCTTCCCTCGAGATCTGCGGCTCTTCTGCACAGCAGCAGCCTTGCTTTCAATCAATCCACCTTCCTCGTCCTCCCTTGATTCTTCCAGTTCTCCCTACATTCTCCATTCTTCCTTGGTGCCTGGTTGGTTGAAGCTGAATACAACTTCCGCGTTCCACTATTCGCTACGTGGATGGTAGCCGGAGTTTGATTAGTCGCACCGTAGTGACTAACGTGCCAGCCAGAATCTGTCCTGCACTTGAGTTTCGCAGTCTGCGTTTAGTTCCAGCATTGTCAGATTCTCCTGTCAGGATCAGAATTTCAACGCAGTTCCTGTGATTATTTTCAATAGGAGTTCACGCTTAGGTCATCCCAGCAGCCATCCGTTCAGAAATCGTCGGATCTTGTAGAAAACTAGCGAGATTGTTCCCATGATGGTGGAAGTTGTGGGGTGACATGGCATGGCGCGGCCTGCTTGATCGGATCTGGAGGCGACAAGAGCCGGAAGAGGTATTGGAACGAAATCAATAGTAGGGAATCGAGCGTGAAAGCAGTAGTATGGTATGGAGCGTGAAAGAGATCATAGGTAGCGTTGCTATGCCTGAAACAGGAACGAGATGTATTAGCCAAACCAGAATCTCTTCGATCAATGTCGGGCACTCCTCGTAATCTATCCCGTTTACGTCGTCAATCTCCTTCCTCCCATCGTTACTGTCGACATTTCTTCGAGTTAAGCTACCCAGGAATCGATCACCCTTGGTTGTACTTGGATTCTCTTCACGTGACGGCTATAGCGTCGATTTCCTTCTTGCGACGCCTTACAATCTCCGTGCGACCACTCCGTCAATCCACCACTCCGCGTCGCAGGTCGACGAAATGGCCGACGCACAAGGCGCGTTCGTCACGCGTGCATTCGAGAAGCTTCTGCGAGAATCCACGGGACGGAAGTTCCAGAAGCTACACCAGGCGCTTAAAGCCTATCTAGGTAAGGAAAACTCTGAAGTTAGACCAGTCATTTACAACATCTTTGGATAGGTACAATTTCTGTGTAAGTGCTCGCATTCTCCCTCACCATAGCAATTCCAGCAAGGTATTCGTCATTTTATGAGACATCTCAAACTCCGACGAAAATGGGGAGAGGTATCACTTCTCAAAGATTTTGAATTTGGGATCCAGGCCACTCCTTCCCTCTGTGCTTGCCTTTCCGCCCGTGCTCGTCTCATGACCGGCAGATCGACCAAAAGGGGAGCATTTGGTTCTGGTCACATCAGCATCACGGTCAGTCGCCGATCTCTCTTTCCATTCCCTGCAACCACACCCCACCCCCCCACCCCCCTCCTTCCCCTCGTTTTCGTTCCTTCATTTTATCATGTGCTCGATCCCTTCAAATGCTTCACTTTCGGACCAATCTTAGTCGTCGGAGCCGACCCAGTTTGGCCGCCAGATAGAACACACTGCAGCACACTTTCTAGTAGTCCATTCGAAGTATCAAGTCAATAACATCTCGCAACAATCTCCCCCAAACGTACGTCTTGGCCCCGCATGAAAACCAATCCGCCACTCTTTTCCCGCCAGGGTTGATCCTCGCTATGGGCTGCCTCAGACAGACGAACCAGGAGCGGCGGAAATCGTGCCGCAGCCGCAGCAGCCGGCGCAGCTGGCCGGGACGATTCCGCTGGAGCCGGCGGGCAGCGGGGACGGCAGCGGGCGCGCGCACCCGAACACGGCGAACGCGGCGAATGTGACGGCGGCGGCGGCGATGGCGGAGGCGGGGCATTCGCTGGAAGGTGTAGAGGCGGAGCTTATCCTGTGCCCGCTGCGGCTGGCCATTGAGAGCAAGCAGAGCCGCCTCATGGAAACGGCGCTCGACTGCCTGCACGTGAGTGCTCGCCTCACCCTCTCTCCCCACCTCCCTTCCTTTATGGAGGCGTCTGAAAGGGATGGAGCTCATAGAGAGCAAGCAGAGGCGCCTCATGGAGACGACGCTTGACTGCCTGCACGTGAGTGCTTGCCCCCCTGGCCAGATCCCCCTACCGTTCCTTCCCATTACCTTTGTCCTAAGCATGTGTCTCTACCCCTCCGTCCGTTTGTGCGTGGATATTGCTGTGCCTCTCCTGATGTGCTTGTAACGGGGCAGAAACTGATATCGTACGGTCACTTGGAGGGCGACTGCGGGCTGGAGGGTGGCAAGAACAACAAAGTGCACACAGAGATATTCCAGCTCGTGTGCTCCTGTGCCGATAACACGGCACTCGACAGGTGAGGTGATTACCTAGTAAAAGACCTGGTGATTACCTGGACAGGTGAGGTGATTACCTAGTAAAAGACCTGGTGATTACCTGGACAGGTGAGGTGATTACCTAGTAAAAGACCTGGTGATTACCTGGACAGGTGAGGTGATTACACAATGCATGTCACTCGAGGGGCTAGAGGGCGACGAGAATAACAAAGTGCACACAGAGATCTTCCAGCTCTCAACACGGCACTTGACAGGTGGGGCAGATTATCGCGTTGCACTGTGGGATTGGAGAATGGCGAGAGCAATCAGAGGCTGCAGGCTATAAGAGACACACTCACTGCCATCGCCTCTTTGAGGCGCCTGAAGAGAACTCTTTTCCCCCCTCCCTTTCCTCCGCTCCTCAGTGTGGTGCTGCAGGTAAAAAACACTCACATCTCCTCATCTCCCCCCTCTTCTTCTCTGATCTTCCCTCCGCTCCTCAGTGTGGTGCTGCAGGTCATCAAAGTCATCCTCACTGCCATCGCCTCCTCCACTTTCCAAGGTACCTTTTTGCATTCAACCCAGCTTCTCACCCTCATCTGTAAGCAGTTTGGCACCTTTCGTCTTCCCACCTTCGTCTCCTCACCTGCCGTCGCCTCACCTTTCATCTCCCCCAAAATACCCTCACTCGACATTCCTTCTCCCTCGGCGTACTCTGAATTTAACCAATCCTATTCCCCATATTCTCCCCATTCGCCTCCCCATTCTCCGTAACCCATTCCCCTCGTCCATGTCTGGCAGTGCATGGGGACTGCTTGATCCTTGCTCTGCGCACATGCTACAACATAGTGCTCACAAGGTAAGTTGGCCCATCAAGGTTGCCCCATCAAGGTTGCCCCACCAACATTCGTGTTCCCAACACAGTAAGGACGGCTCAAGTTTTTTCTGTAAGTGTTTCACCAAGCAAGCAGAAAGCACTCGTAGGCATCACACAGCACTCTTTCCATGCTTGTTCTCTTGGAAATAACATCCCACTTCCTTGGCGGGGCATGCTTGATTCTGTCTGTGATCCGCTCTTTCCTCCTGCGTGCCTCCTCGCAGCAAGAGCCAGGTGAACCTGTCAACAGCCAGGGGCACGCTCACTCAGATGCTCAACATCGTCTTCAAACGCATGGAGGCATCGGAACTAGCCGTGAGTCTCATCATCAGAGCATGCATTCAGCATACCCAATGAAGTCTCCCCAGCGCCTATGTTTCCTTCCCCTTCCTCTCCAAGTTCATCCATCTGGTGATTCCTCCCCTCTCGCATCCCTTGTTCCACCTCCCATCGTGGCCCACTCCCCCTGCCACCCCCATCCACCCTCCCCGCGCCCCCACATTTAGAGAGTGCCCCTCAGCGTCCCCACGCCTACCCCACGCCCACCAAGCCCTCTGGGGAGGGGCCTTCCGAGGACCAACCTGCCGCTGCTGTTGACGCTGCTCCTAGCGATCCCACCTTCTCAAGCGCATTCCTCTCCCCGATTCCCCATCCCGCTGCCCCTCCCTTCCGCACGTGCAGAGTGCCCCTCAGCGTCCCCACGCCTACCCCACACCCACCAAGCCCTCCGGGGAGGGGCCTTCCGAGGACCAACCTGCTGCCGTTGCTGGTGACGCTGCTGCTGGTGGTGATGGTGGTGGTACGTCTGCTGCTGCTGCAGTGGAGGGGGCGGAAGGGAAGGAGGGAGGCGGGGAGGGGGAGGAGGAGGGGGAGGTTGAGGGGAACGGGGAGAGGGATGAGAGAGCGGGAGTACAGGAGGAGCTAAAAGTCCTGGAGGGACCGCAACCCAGTATAGAGGCTCTAGATGCTGTGCTAAGTAAAGCACTTAGGCCACAGGGAGGGGGTGCAGGGGGGGATGTTGCTGGGGGTGGTGGTGGTGAGGGTGGTGAAGGGGAGGGAGGTGCTGCGTCAGCAGGGGAGGGGGGTGGAGAGGAGGGCGCTGGGGCGACTCCTGCTGCTCCTAAGTGAGTGAAGTGAAGCTGAGATGTGGTTTGGTTCGTGATTGTATGGGGAGTCGTGACAGTATGCATGTATGTGTGTTTACCGTTTTGCAACCCAACAAGTCGATTGGCCAAGTTGACTGACAACCTCCCACCCTGCCATATCATCCTCCCCTCCCTCCCCACCACCAGGGGCATTGATCTGAGCCTGCTGGCGCTGGCGCAGCGGGACGCCCTGCTGGTGTTCCGCACGCTGTGCAAGATGGCCATGAAGGACGGCACCGAGGACCTCGTTCTGCGCACCAAGGCACTGTCGCTGCAGTTGCTGCAGGTGGGTGGCTTGCCAGTAGCTGCTGCAGGTGGGTGGGTTGCCAGCAGCTGCTGCAGGTGGGTGGGTTGCCAGTAGCTGCTGCAGGTGGGTGGGTTGCCAGTAGCTGCTGCAGGTGGGTGGGTTGCCAGTAGCTGCTGCAGGTGAGTGGCTTGCCTCGAGCTCCTGTGTGCCTGTGAGGCACCTGGAAGGGTTTCCAGCTCGCCACGCTGTGCAAGATGGCCATGAAGGACGGAACCGAGAACCTTGTTCTGCGCACCAAGGCTCTCTCTCTCCAGCTGCTGCAGGTGGGTTGCTGTGCCACGTGCTTGTCTCATAGCTGCTGCAGATGGGTGCCACGTGCTTGTCTCATAGCTGCTGCAGATGGGTTGCTGTGCCACGTGCTTGTCTCATAGCTGCTGCAGGTGGGTTGCTGTGCCACGTGCTTGTCTCATAGCTGCTGCAGGTGGGTGGGTGCAGTGGTCAGAACGTGGTGAGTGGGGTACCAGTGGACCTGTGAGGCTCCTCAAAAGCCATCACCTGGTCGACACATGCCTAGCTGACTGGCGTGGTGGGGCGCACTGGCGCAGATGGGTGCGGTGGTCAGCACGTGGTGAGTGGGGTACCAGTGGACATGTGAGGCGCCTCAAAAGGCATCCAGCACGCCATGCCGTGCAAGACGGCGTGCAGTGTATGAGCGGGAGGTGCAGCGGATGTGCGTGCGGTGCAGCGTATGAGCGTGCGGTGCAGCGTATGAGCGTGCGGTGCAGCGTATGAGCGTGCGGTGCAGCGTATGAGCGTGCGGTGCAGCGTATGAGCGTGCGGTGCAGCGTATGAGCGTGCGGTGCAGCGTATGAGCGTGCGGTGCAGCGTATGAGCGTGCGGTGCAGCGTATGAGCGTGCGGTCCAGCGTATGAGCGTGCGGTGCAGCGTATGAGCGTGCGGTGCAGCGTATGAGCGGGCGGTGCAGCGTATGAGCGTGCGGTGCAGCGTATGAGCGTGCGGTGCAGCGTATGAGCGGGCGGTGCAGCGTATGAGCGTGCGGTGCAGCGTATGAGCGTGCGGTGCAGCGTATGAGCGGGCGGTGCAGCGTATGAGCGTGCGGTGCAGCGTATGCGCGTGCAGTGCAGCGTATGAGCGTGCGGTGCAGCGTATGAGCGGGCGGTGCAGCGTATGAGCGGGCGGTGCAGCGTATGAGCGGGCGGTGCAGCGTATGAGCGTGCGGTGCAGCGTATGAGCGGGCGGTGCAGCGTATGAGCGTGCGGTGCAGCGTATGAGCGGGCGGTGCAGCGTATGAGCGTGCGGTGCAGCGTATGCGCGTGCGGTGCAGCGTATGAGCGTGCGGTGCAGCGTATGAGCGGGCGGTGCAGCGTATGAGCGTGCGGTGCAGCGTATGAGCGTGCGGTGCAGCGTATGAGCGGGCGGTGCAGCGTATGAGCGTGCGGTGCAGCGTATGCGCGTGCGGTGCAGCGTATGAGCGTGCAGTGCAGCGTATGAGCGTGCGGTGCAGCGCATGAGCGTGCGGTGCAGCGTATGAGCGTGCGGTGCAGCGTATGAGCGGGCGGTGCAGCGTATGAGCGGGCGGTGCAGCGTATGAGCGTGCGGTGCAGCGTATGAGCGGGCGGTGCAGCGTATGAGCGGGCGGTGCAGCGTATGAGCGGGCGGTGCAGCGTATGAGCGAGCGGTGCAGCGTATGAGCGGGCGGTGCAGCGTAAAAGCGGGCGGTGCAGCGTATGAGCGTGCGGTGCAGCGTATGAGCGTGCGGTGCAGCGTATGAGCGTGCGGTGCAGCGTATGAGCGTGCGGTGCAGCGCATGAGCGAGCGGTGCAGCGCATGAGCGGGCGGTGCAGCGTATGAGCGGGCGGTGCAGCGTATGAGCGGGCGGTGCAGCGTATGAGCGTGCGGTGCAGCGTATGAGCGTGCGGTGCAGCGTATGAGCGGGCTGTGCAGCGTGTGAGCGTGCGGTGCAGCGTATGAGCGGGCGGTGCAGCGTACGAGCGGGTGCAGCGTACGAGCGGGCGGTGCAGCGTAAGAATGCGCGGTGCAGCGTACGAGGGAGTGGTGCAGCGTACGAGGGAGCGGTGCAGCGTATGAAGGAGCGGTGCAGCGTACGAGCGAGCGGTGCAGTGTATGAGCGTGCAGTCGCGAGTTCACGCTCATTGGCCTTCCTGGATATTTCCAAGATGTACCTCTGCTACGCGCTCGTGCACTCGTGCCCACTTTCCCCCTTAACCCCTCCCCACTCCTCCCCACTGCTCCCCCCAACCCCTTCCTGCTTCCATGGCCTAGTGGAGTCAGTGAGCCGCGAGTTCACTCTCAACTTCGCCTTCCTCCACTCCATCAAAATGTACCTCTGCTACGCGCGCTCGTGCAGTCATACCCACTCTCCCCCACTCCCTGCCCACATTCCCCCTTTCCCCAGGGCCTATTGGACTCAGTGAGTCGCGAGTTCACGCTCAACTTTGCCTTCCTCGATTCCATCAAGATGTACCTCTGCTATGCGCTCGTGCGCGCCGCCGTGTCGCCCTCGGACTGCATCCACGGCCTCGCCTGCTCCATCTTCGCCACGCTCATCCAGCGATTCCGCGAATCCCTTAAAGCCGAGATCGGCCTCTTCTTCCCCCTCGTCGTCCTCCGGTCACTCGACTCCCCGGATATCTCTCCAACCCAGCGTCTGGGGCTTCTGAGAGTGTTAGAGCGGCTCACAGCCGAACCACAGCTGCTAGCGGATGTCTTTGTGAACTACGACTGTGATTTGGACGCGTCGAATCTGTTTGAGCGTATGGTGACGTCTCTGGAGCGGCTTGCTCAGATGCCTGTGGTGGGGATTGCGGGTGGAGGGGCAGGGGCGGGGGGGGCGGGTGCGGGAGGGGAGGGTGGGGCGGCGCTGGTAGCGGCGGTGAAGCTGGCGGCGTTGCAGTGCTTGGTGAATGTGGTGCATGCTTTGGATACGTGGTATGGGAAGGATAAGCCTCCGGTGCCGGTGGGTGTGGTGGGTGAGGAGAAGGAGGAGGAAGGGGACGAGTGGAAGGCGGATGGGTTGGGAGCGGTGGAGGAGGAGGAGGAGGATGAGGATGAGGAGGAGAGGGAGGGGCGGGTGGCGAAGTGGGCGGCGGTAGAATCACAGGCGGATCAGTTTGGGCGGGCCAAGGCGCAGAAGGCAGCGTTTGAGACAGCTGTGGAAAAGGTAGGGTGGGAATCTTCAAAGCAATGGTTAGGTCACAGGCGGATCAGTTTGGGCGGGCCAAAGCGCAGAAGGCAGCATTTGAGACAGCTGTGGAAAAGGTAGGTGGGAGCAGCAATGAGGCGTGGAGAAGGTTTGGTGTAGATGTGATCTGATTTGAATCAAAAGGCAGTGATGGGAATAGCTGTGAAAAAATGTTGTTTTGAGGAGCAGGAAGGTACGGTATGGTGCTCATGCCCATTACAAGATACGGTACGGCAAGTTACAACATACGGTATGGTGCTCATGCCCATGGTTTCAAGTCACCTGCAACAACCTTCTCCCTTACACACACCTCGCCACCTCTCCCATCACTCCCCACCACACCTCGCCACCACACCTCGCCACCACACCTCGCCACCTCTCCCATCACTCCCCACCCTTCTCCCCCACCCAGTTCAACATGAAGCCGGAAAAGGGGTTGGCGTTCCTGCGGACGAGAGGGCTGTTGGCTGCCGATGCTGCTGCCACGGCTGAGTTCCTGCGCTCCACCCCTGGGCTCGATAAGGTGAGAGACGGTGTGAGGTGGTGTGAAACGGTGCAGAGGAGCGGATGTCAGGTCAGCATACGTGGGGTAGGTGAGTGGGCTGGCCTTTCTGCGGACGAGAGGGCTGCTGGCTGCCGACGCTGCTGCCACAGCTGAGTTCCTGTGCTCCACTCCTGGGCTCGATAAGGTGAGAGGGGGTGTGAAAAGGTAGGAAAGGGTGGGTGTGAGACGGTGTGAAACGGTGTCAGATGCTGAAGAGGAGGAGTGGATGTCAGGTCAGCATGCCTGAGGTAGCATGGATACTGCTGGCTGCCGATGCTGCCGCCACGGCTGACTTCCTGTGCTCCACTCCTGGGCTCGATAAGGTGCGATACGGTGTGGAACAGTGTCAGACGATGAAGAGGAGTGGATAAGGTAAGCTGCCTTGCGAAGTTGAGTTGGAGTTGATCAGCTGGCGAGGAGGAGCAGCTTCTTGTTCTTGCATGCCTTGGTGGGTGGCACTGGCATGCATGCCTTGGTGGGTGGCACTGGCATGCATGCCTTGGTGGGTGGCACTAGCATGCATGCCTTGGTGGTTGGCACTGGCATGCATGCCTTGGTGGGTGGCACTGGCATGCATGCCGCACAGCACAGCCAGCATCTAATACCACGCACACACATCTGCATGAAAAGAGGGTGTTTTTGAGACGTCTCAAATACACCTGCATGCCTTGGTGGGTGGCACTGGCATGCATGCCTTGGTGGGTGGCACTGGCATGCATGCCGCACAGCACAGCCAGCATCTAATACCACGCACACACATCTGCATGAAAAGAGGGTGTTTTTGAGACGTCTCAAATACACCTGCATGCCTTGGTGGGTGGCACTGCCAAGCACACACATCTGTGCTCCACCTCCCCTCCCCTCTCCATGCGTGTCTTTCCTTCCAGACCGCCATAGGGGACTATCTGGTCTGGGGCATCACGACGACCATCATCAGGCGGTGATGATGCACGCATATGTGGACGGCATTCCCTTCCACTCCCTCACTCACGACATTCCCCCTCTTCCTTTGATTTTTTATGTGTGTATGGTGTGTATGTGCGTGCATCTGCCCCTCCAGACGGCCATAGGGGACTACCTGGGCCATCACGACGACTACCATCTGGAGGTGATGCACGCCTACGTGGACGGCATTCCCTTCCAAAGCACCTCCTGACCCACGGCATCCCCCCTCTTCCCCTGACTCTCCTGTGTGCGTGTTGTGTGTGCGTGCATCTGCCCCTCCAGACGGCCATAGGCGATTACCTGGGCCATCACGACGACTACCACCTGGCGGTGATGCACGCCTACGTGGACGGCATTCCCTTCCAAAGCACCTCCTGACCCACGGCATCCCCCCTCTTCCCCTGACTCTCCTGTGTGTGTGTTGTGTGAGCGTGCATCTGCCCCTCCAGACGGCCATAGGCGATTACCTGGGCCATCACGACGACTACCACCTGGCGGTGATGCACGCGTACGTGGACGGCATCCCCTTCCACAGCACCTCCTTCGACCACGCCATCCGCCTCTTCCTCAAGGGCTTCCGCCTGCCAGGGGAGGCTCAGAAGATCGACCGAATCATGGAGAAGTTTGCAGAAAAGTAGGTAGAAGTGGGTTTTGGTGGCTGATGAGGGAGGCAGTATGGATGATAAGTGTGTCTGGCTGGTTGATTTTTTTGTTCAAAAAGCTCCTTCCTTTAGGGCTTCCGCCTCCCGGGGGAGGCGCAGAAGATCGAATACATCATGGAGAAGTTTGCAGAGAAGTGAGTCCTGGTTCCTGGCATGGTCTGGGGTTTAGGGCTTAGCGGATTGGTTCTGCTGCCTAGTCGAAGAGCACCTTCCTCAAGGGCTTCCGCCTTGCAGATGATCGATCGCATCATGGAGAAGTTTGCAGAGAGCTGATTCTTGGTGGCTGATGAGGGAGTGAGTGTGGTTGACAAGTGGTTGGCAGAAGTGAGTTCGGCTTGTTGAGAATGAGTGCAGGAGTTAGTTAGAGCTTTGAGGGCGTGCCCCTGGCAAGAAGGGGCTTCCGTCTCCCCAGTGATCATGCTCAACATCAGCAACCCCTCCTCTCCATCCCCCTTCCCCAGGTACTGCAAGGACGACCCCGGGGTATTCAAGACGGCAGGCTGTGCCTATGTGCTGGCCTACGCAGTGATCATGCTCAACACAGACGCTCACAACCTTTCCTCTCCATCCATCCCCATTCCGTCCCAACCTTTCCATTCCAGGTACTGCAAGGACAACCCCGGGAGTATTCAAAACAGCAGACAGCGTGTACGTGCTGGCCTATGCAGTCATCATGCTCAACACAGACGCCCACAACCCCTCTATTCCTCCCCCATCCTCTCCACCCCCTTCCGCAGATACTGCAAGGACAACCCGGGAGTATTCAAGACAGCAGACAGCGCGTACGTGTTGGCCTACGCAGTGATCATGCTCAACACAGACGCACACAACCCCGTGGTGACCGCCAAGATGACCAAAGCCGACTTCGTGCGCATCAACTCGTCCCTCGAGGGCGAGGAGAGCGCGCCTAAGGAACTCCTAGAGGCCATTTATGACTCAATAGTCTCCGAGGAGATTAAACTAAGGGATGATGGCGGTCCGGGGGGTGCCGGAGGGGGTGGAGCGGGCGGGGCAGGCGGGAAGGAGAAAGGGCAGCTGGTAACGGTGCTGAATCTGGCGTCGGGGCATAAACGCAGCACGGTGGATGTGCGGAAGGAGAGTGACGATATAATCAAGCGCACACAGGCGATTGTGAGGAGAGGGCGCGTGCAGCGCGGGGTGTTTCACTCCGCTGCCCATGCTGACCTCGCTCGGCCCATGCTGGAGGCGGTAGGATGGCCTCTGGTAGCCACATTCGCTGTGACCATGGAGGAAGGTCCGTCGGGAGAGAGTGCTGCTGCAATGGCTGCTCTAGCGGCAGGAGGTGCAGGGGGTGGGGGGCCGAAGAGCCTGGTGGTGGTGTGCATGGACGGGCTCCGCTGTGCGATTCACCTGGCGTTTCTCCTGGGCATGGAGACTCTCCGCTACGCCCTCCTGACCTCGCTCGTCCGCTTCACCTTCCTGCACGCGCCGAGGGAACTCCGGGTGAAGAACCTGGAGGCGATCCGGACCCTGCTGGCGATAGCAGAGCAGGAGCCAGAGGCGCTGCAGGACACGTGGAATGCTGTGCTGGAATGCGTGTCCAGGCTGGAGCACGTTGCCACGTCACCTGCCATGCTGGCGGTGCTGGGCGCGCCGCCCGCGCCGGTAGCCGTGAGGGAGGCGCTGCTGGGAGGGGTTGAGGAGCTGGCTGGAAAACCGCTGGAGCAGGTGGGTGGGGGGAAGGGGGGGAAAGCACTGGGGCGGGTGGGTGGGGAGTGGGTAGAGGAATAAGCCTTTTGGGGCACCTCAGAAGACGCCAGTGGCAGCGAGGGAGGGGCTGCTGGGAGGCGTGGAGGAGCTGGCAGGGAAACCGCTGGAGCATGTAAGGAGGGTGGGGGAGAAGGGGGTGGGGGGTGAGAGGGGGAGAAGGGGAAGCGCTGGGGTGGGTGGGTGGAGGGGGCTTAGAAGGCGCCGGTGGCAGTGAGGGAGGCGCTGCTGGGAGGCGTGGAGGAGCTGGCAGGGAAGCGTATGGAGCATGTGCGTGGGGCTTGGCTTGGATGGGGCGTCGCAGCAGGGGGTTGCGGGGGGGAAGTGGTGTGTGGGGTGATGAAACCGCTGGAGCAGGTGGGTGGGTGTATGGGGCGTGGGCTGAGCTCGCTGTTCCCAGCTGGGCTTCATTCATGAACCCTGCAATGGCCCCGCTTATTCACTCCCCAACTCTCTCCCTCTCCCTTGCATGCCATGCCATGCCACGTGTCATGGCATGTGCCGTGCCATGGCAAATCATCCCAAAACCCTCCCCCGTGAGTGTGAGCTCTAGGGTGCCATAAGACGCAGTGGGAGAGTTGATATCAACGCCCTCCGCACCTCTCACCCACGCCCCGCCCTGTTCTCCCTCTCCCTTGCTTGCTATGCTACGCCACCACCACCGCGTGCCATGCCGCAACTCCCCTTCTGTCTCCTTACAACATTTCCTCCCCCACCCATCACCTCACCTATCTTACCCCCTCCACCCCCAGGTCTTTGTGGTGAGCTCCCGCCTGCCCTCAGACGCAGTGGTCGAGTTCTTCATCGCTCTCTGCGGCGTGTCCGCTGAGGAGCTCCGCCAGTCACCTGTCATTCACTTCCTCTCTCCCCTCTCTCACCTTTTTCGCAGGTCTTTGTGGTGAGCTCTCGTCTCCCCTCAGACGCAGTGGTCGAGTTCTTCATCGCTCTCTGTGGCGTGTCCGCAGAGGAGCTCCGCCAGTCGCCCCCGCGGGTCTTCTCGCTGCAGAAGATCGTGGAGATCTCCTACTACAACATGACCCGCATTCGCATGGTGCGTGAGTGTGGTGTGGGTGGTAGCCCACAAGGTACACGTGAGTGCACTCAAAGGTATCCAGGGGTGTTATCGCTGCAACAGACAACATGACACGCATCCGCATGGTGTGTGAGTGTGGTGTGGGTGGGTGGGTCCCATTCAGGGGCTTCTGAATAGTGCGTGTGGGTGGTAAGGTACATGAGTCCACTTAGCGCCCCCGCGGGTCTTCTCGCTGCAGAAGATCGTGGAGATCTCCTACTACAACATGACGCGCATTCGCATGGTGCGTATGAGTGAGGTGCCGTTTGAATGGTGCGTGTGGTGGGACACGTGAGAACGTGAATGCAGAAGATCGTGGAGATCGTGAATGCGCACCCGCATGGTGCCCGAGAGATCCATTGGAGTCTTGTGGGCGTTAGCATGGTGTGTCTGGCTGGCTGGGGGGTTTCGGAGTCGACTCAAGGTTCGCTGTGAGTCGGCTCAAAGTCGCTTTGAGCCGACTTACAAGTCATTGAGGGATGGGCGTCAGAGATGTGTGTCTCGGCGGTTGGGTGCTTGTCACGCGCATCAGATTGGTCTGTCATCTCGTGTGGGGGACAGGGCATGTCTTGCAGTGGCACCGTTGAAGCTCTTTCAGCCTGAAGCTTTTCCCTTTCCCCGTGCCCCGCAGTGGGGCCGCACATCTGGGTGTTGCTGCTGGAACTGTGTTGAGACGTCTCAACTCACTCCCCTCTTTTTCCCTTTTCCCCTCCCCTCTCTCCCTCCCTCCGTGCAGGTGTGGGCGCGCATCTGGTCAGTGCTGGCGGTGCATTTCATCACGGCCGGCCAGAACCCCGACGAGCACGTCGCCATGTACGCCGTCGACTCCATCCGCCAGCTGGCACTGAAATATCTGGAGCGCGCTGAGCTGGCACGCTTCACGTTCCAGAACGACATCCTGAAGCCGTTTGTGGTGCTCATGCGCACGAGCCGCAGCGAGAAGACGAGAGAGCTGATTGTGCAATGTGTTGTGCAGGTAAGGGTTTTTTGGGTTGTGGGTGTCACATTTCTGTGTGCGCCTGTTTGTGGTGTTCATGCACACGAGCCGGAGTGATGGGTCTAGGGAGTTCATTGTGCAGTGGGCCATGCAGGTAACTGTTCTCGCTGTTCTGTGTCCATGAGCTTCTCATCCCCTTCCCTCTGCCCCACTCTCGTCACCTCTGTACACTTAAGTTTCCCCCCACCCGTCCTTCCTCTCACTCCCCTCCCTCTCCCCCACCCCCCCGTTCTTTCCCCCTTGGCATTGCTCTTTGATGATCCGGGTGAAGGTAGCCGGCATCAAAAGCTCTGAACGAAAAGCATTGTGGTGATGTGGTGATGGTGATGTGCCGCACATCACCACCCCACCCCCACACACCTGGCCCTGCTCTCAAACCTCAAACCTCTTGTCCCCCCCCCTGCACCGTGTTCATGGTGCTCACTACTGCCACCGCATAGAGCCTTCAGCTGGTCATCCCCTGTCCTCTGCCCATCCCCCTCACCTCCCACTCAACTTTTCCTCTCACTCACCTCCCTCTCACACCTCTCTTTCACTTTTTGCTGGCACCACCAACAGATGATAAAGGTGAAGGTGGGTGGCATCAAGAGCGGGTGGCGCAGTGTGTTCATGGTGCTTACCACTGCTGCTACCGACAGCCACGAGCCCATTGTGGAGAGCGCGTTTGAAACTGTGGAGCAGGGTGAGTGCGAGAGGGAGAGAGTTTAGGTGAGCTGATTTCATGCTGGGTGTTTCTGTTCGTTTAGCTTGAGCCCTGAGGCATGCCAGCCACTGACAGCCACGAGCCCATTGTGGAGAGCGCGTTTGAAACCGTGGAGCAGGGTGAGTGTGGTGTGGCTGCGGCAGTTGAAGTGAGCTGAATCTGATTGCGGGTGTTTCTGCCCGTATAGCTTGAGAGGCATGCTGCCACTGACAGCCACGAGCCCATTGTGAAGAGTGCATTGAGAGAAAATGAGCAAATGAGTGTTGGAAGAGTTCAATCAAGCTGAATAGAGCAACGGTGAGCTGACTCGGTAAATGTAGGTCCTACATCGTAGGGTGAGTAAAGGAGGGTGAGTAGAGTATTGAGAAACGCTGGAGCACTTTGAGCAAGTGATAGGAGACTGCCTCATGGCCTTCTTTCCTCCCCATCTGGCGATTCTCCTTTCTCTCTCGCCATCATCACACCTTCCTCTTGCCCCATCCCACCCCCTCCTCTTCCCCACTGTCCTTGTTATCCCACCACCCCAGTTGTTCTCAAACACTTCGAGTAGGTGATAGGCGACTGCTTCATGGACTGCGTCAACTGCCTCATGGCTTTCGACGTCCCTGCCCCATCTTGTGCACCCCACTCTCCTCTTTATACCTCTCGTCCCCCATCCCACCAGTGGTGCTCGAGCATTTCGAGCAGGTGATAGGCGACTGCTTCATGGACTGCGTCAACTGCCTCATGGCCTTCGCCAACAACGTCCTCGTCCCCCGCATCTCTCTCAAAGCCATTGCACTCCTCCGAATCTGCGAGGACCGTTTAGCCGAGGGCCGGGTCCCGGGAGGCGCCCTGCGCCCCGTGAACGAGGGCGAGAAGATGAGCGACAACGAGGTGGCGGAATATTACTGGTTCCCGATGCTCGCCGGGTTGTCCGAGCTGACTTCCGACCCTCGCCCGAAGGTTCGGAGCTGCGGCGTGGAGGTTCTCTTTGATCTGCTTCGGGAGCGGGGGCATAAGTTCTCGACACGGTTCTGGGAGAGTGTGTTTGAAAGGGTGCTGTTCCCCATCTTTGACTATGTGCGGCACGCCGGCACGGATGGGGAGAGGCCGCCCCCCACGGACCTGTGGCTGAGAGACACGTCCATTCACTGCCTGCACCTGCTCTGTGACCTCTTCTGCGACTTCTACCAGGTGGGTTGGTTGGGGTTCAGGCTCTTTATTGTGTAGCCAGTCTGGTAGTTTCTCTGCTACTCTGATCTGATCTCTGGCTGCGATTCACGTCCATCCACTGCCTGCACCTGCTCTGCATTCTCTGAGGAAACTACTCCCTCCTCCCCACCCCTCCGCCCTCCTCCCGTCACCCCTTCAGGACGTGGCCTTTATCCTGCCGTCCCTGCTTGGTCTCCTACTCGACTGTGCCACGCGCCCCGACCAGTCACTGGCGGCCATAGCGGTGGGAGCTCAGCTGAGGCTCATCGACAGGGGGGCGCCACTCTTCTCCTCTCGAGACTGGGCCGTGCTGCTGGATAGCCTCAGGTGGGTTGTCGTTGTGTGTGCGGGGATGTGACTGCGGCCAGTCACTGGCGGCCATAGCGGTGGGAGCACAGCTGAGGCTCATCGACAAGGGGGCGCCACTCTTCTCCTCCCGTGACTGGGCCGTGCTGCTTGATAGTCTCAGGTGTGTTCTGGGTTGGCCTGCCAGTGAATGCGCCGTGGGGAGCTTGCAAGCATGGGAGTGCAGCCAGTCACTGGCGGCCATGGCGGTGGGCGCTCAGCTGAGGCTCATCAACCGGGGGGACACTCTTCTCTTCAAGGGACTGGGCCGTGCTGCTCGACAGCCTCAGGTGTGTTGCTGTTCTGTGGGGAACAAGCGAATTCGGCCAACTGATGAAATTTGGGGATCCTCTATGTGTAACGTGACTGGTTTTGAAGTCGAGCAGCAACCCCACACCGTCCCACAGCTCCTCGACTTCAAAACCAGTCAGGTTAAACATTGAGGGTCCCCAAATTTCTCTCATCAGTTGACAGCCTCAGGTGGGCTGTTGTGTGGCTTGACAGCCTCACGTGGGATGTGGGGTGAAGTTTGAAATGCCTCTGGTGGAGTACCATGTGGGATTAAGTTTGACCAGCCGCGGTTTGACCTCCGCATCCCATCCCTCCCCATCCGACCCCACTCGCAACTCTCTTTCAGAGTTGCCACACTAAGCACTCGCCCCACCGAAATTTTTACAATCACGGAACCCCTACTTGCTGCCTCTGCCGCATCCATACGTCTTACCCACCTTCGCCCCTCCCAACCCATCTCTTCCCTCCCCACCCACATCTTCCCCGCCCCACCCCACCCCACCCATGTTTCCCTTTCAGAGTTGCCACCCACCGAAGCATCCCTAGCTTCTTCTGTCTCCTCCATACGTCTTACCTCCCCACCCACCTTCTTCCCTCCACACCCTGCCCACCCCACCCCAACCCATCCCACCCCAGAGTTGCCACGCTAACCACTCGCCCCACCGAGCTCCTCGCGATCACCGAAGCTTCTCTTGCTGCCGCTGCCGCCGCCACCGCCACCGCTGCTGCTGCTGCGGGCGACACTGCTGCTGCCACCGCCGCCACCGCCGCAGCCACCGCTGAGCTGTCATTAGACAATGCTGTGCTGGAATCCGGCGCTGCTGACCTGGCGGATCACGCGTCAGGCTCGGCGATCCGTACAAAGATTCCCACTGGTGACGTGGCAACGAGCCTGATGGGGCCGAACCTGAGTGAGAGGGTCGTGGCCGTGCCTGGAGGTGTGACTGTAGCCGAGCAAGTGACTGAAGTGGATGTGACTGTAACGAATGAAGGGGCGGAGGGAGGAGAGGGTAACTGGGTGGTGGATAGGAGTGGGGCCGATGAGGAGGCGGCGGGTGTTGGGGAGGGGAAGGGCGAGGAAGAAGGGAAGGTGGAAGGGAGTGGGGAGGGGTTGGCGAACGGGGAGGGTACTGCCATCAAGCCTTCAGGTGAGCTCATTTGTCAAGTCGTCACTGCCAACACTGCTGTGGTAACAGCCTGCTCTCCTCCTCATCCCTCCTTTGCTCGAAAGCGCTGAATGCTGCCCCCATTCCATCTACTGCCGGTGCTTCTATGGCAAAACCCGTTTGACCTCCCTGCCCTCTCCTCTAGCTCCCTCCCCTCTCCCACACCCCCCCTGTTTCCAACTCCCTCACTCCCCCCCCTCTCTTCCCCAGCATCAGCCGAGGTGGACAACTTTGGAAAGCACCGACACGCTGCTGGTGGTGGTGGTGGTGCAGGGTGCTGCTATGCTGACAGCTCTATCTCGCACTCTCCCCCCCTTCTGTTCCCCTTCCTCCAGCATCAGCCGAGGGGGACAACTTTGGCAAGCGGCTGATGGACACGCTGCTGCTGCGAAACCTCTCCATGGCGCTGGGGGGCGCGCCCACACCCGCTGCTGGGGGGAGCGGCAGCATCTGGTCGCGGGCCTCCAACGCAAGTGACGCTGCCCTGGCGTCCGCTGTGGAATCCGAGGTGAGTGCGTGCCGGATCTTACCATGAATCTAGGGCCTGTAAGTATTCAAAGCCTCTCCATGGCTCAAGGGGGCGTGCCCCACGTGCGCACATGCACTGCTGCTGGCGGAGGTGGAAGCATCTGGTCGCGTATTTTTTAGTCGACTAAAAAATGTGCCACATGCGCACGTGCGCTGCTGCTAGCGGGGGTGGCAGCTTCTGGTCACAAGCCTCCAACGCCAGTGACGCTGCCCTGGCCTCGGCTGTGGAATCCGAGGTGAGTGCGCGCCGGAATCCCCTCTGTGCTTGCTGTAGGCGCGTGAGGGATTGCCACACGGCCCATAGCTTTGGGAATCTCTCCATGGCGCTGGGGGACGGCCCCCCCCATGCCTGCTGGCAGTGGTGGAGGTTGAACCTCATCGGCATGAGCATCTGCCCTTGATCCTCATCTGCATGAGCATCTGCCCTTGAACCTCATCGGCATGAGCATCTGCCCTTGAACCTCATCGGCATGAGCATCTGCCCTTGAACCTCATCGGCATGAGCATCTGCCCTTGAACCTCATCGGCATGAGCATCTGCCCTTGAACCTCATCTGCATGAGCATCTGCCCTTGAACCTCATCGGCATGAGCATCTGCCCTTGATCCTCATCTGCATGAGCACTGATGAAGGATTGACGGGGGTCTGTCCCAGCTGCAGCTCGCCTAGTCTCATGGCTGCAGGCCTGCTGGCAGTGGTGGAGGTTGGTGGTCATCTGCATGAGCACTGATGGGGGTCTGTCCCAGTCGTGCGAAACATGTTTGCGTTTTAATCGTTGTAGTGGACTTAGAGCTCAGTTTCGATCTTGTTTTTTGCACTGGCAACAAAGAGTTTAACTCTACTGTCGTTCTTCTGCTAAAGATTTTTTCCTAAGCTGCAGCTCGCCTAGTCTCATGGCTGCAGGCCTGCTGGCAGTGGTGGAGGTTGGTGGTCATCTGCATGAGCATCTGCCCTTGAACCTCCAGCGCCAGTGGTGCTGCTCTGGTCACTCGTATGAAGAAGTGTTTTGAGATGTCTCAAAACACTTCTTCATACATGCTGCTCTGGTCCGTCCATCACTGTAAGCCTCTTCCTAATCCCCTCTCTTTTATGGTTTCACAGGAGCAAGGCGATGGGGCGAAGGAAGAAGAGGAGGAGGAAGAGGAGGATGAGGAGGCATCGGCCTTCCCTGTGGCAGACCCTGTGCGGGTCAAGTGCTACACGCAGCTGCTGCTGCTGGGGGCGCTGAATCAGCTACAGGTGTGTATGGGAGGTTAAGGTTCATTCGAGGGTGGGTCTGCCTGTATTCCCCGTGGCATTCCCCGTGGCATTCCCCGTGGCATTCCCTATGGCAATCACGCCCTGTGCGCGTCAAGTGCTACACACAACTACTGCCGCTGGGGGCGCTGAATCAGTTACAGGTGGGTATGGACTGAGCGTGCTGCAGGTGCATGTGGGAGGTCAAGGTTCATCCGAGTGTGAGTGTTCATGTGTGAGAGGTAATCTCTGTGGCAGAGCTGCTGCTGCTGCTGGGAGGGCTCAATCAACTGCAGGGGGTATGGGATGGCTTGTATGGGACGCCCCACCAGGAGAATTGCTGGCAACGCCTTCTCCCCTCCCAAGTCCTACTCCCTGCTCCCTTGGTCCCTACGCCTTGCTCTCCCCACCTCTCGCCCCTCCAGGAGAAGCACTGGCAGCGGCTGCGGGCGGCGCACCGGAGGCAGCTGTTGGACTGCATCGCCACCAGCATTGACTTTGCCGCCCGCTTCAACTCTGACACGCACCTCCGCATGCGCATCCAAATGCTGCCGCCCGAACGGTGCGCTCCTCCTCATGCTTGTGCAGGATTCTCCCTTTTCCTGCTCGCTGCCTCAGTACTGCTGGTAGCGTTCCCAAATCCTGTCTGTCAATTTCTGTCACAGCACAAGGACTTATAATTCCCTGTCGTCTTCTCTCCCGCGTTTTCCCCCACAAACAACCCCATTTGTTTCTGGCTCTGCTCTTTCTGCCTCTTCAGGACCTGCAGCCTCTCTATTCCCCTTGGGTTCTCCCACCCTTGCAGGCCGCCGCCGTCCCTGCTGCAGCAGGAGGTGACAACAATGCAGCTTTAACTGACTGTTCTGATGCACTGCCTGAACAACACCTCACAGTCCATCAGAACAACATCAGCAGGGAATGGAACAACATCTGACGTGACTCTTCCATTCTCCCGACGTGCCCCATTTGCAGCCTGCCCCCATCGCTGTTGTGCCAGGAGGCGAGAGCAACGCAGCTCTACCTAATTGTGCTGCTGCACTGTCTCACCGACCCTCCCCCCTCCCTGCCATGCCTTGTTCCTCCTCTCGTCCCCTCCTTTCAGCCTGCCCCCGTCCCTGCTACGCCAGGAGGCGAGAGCAACGCAGCTCTACCTAATTGTGCTGCTGCACTGTCTCACTGACCCGCTCTCTCTTCCCCCTCCCTACCATGCCTTGTTCTTCCTGTGCCCCCGCCCCTCCCCATCCCCAACCCCTCTTTTCCCCTCCGAGCAGCCCTCCCCCATCCCTTCTGCGCCAGGAGGTGACAGCCACGCAGCTCTACCTGATAGTTCTCCTGCGCTGCCTCAACGACCCGGCAGCAGCGCTGCTCCCACCAGCCCTGTCCTCCCAGATGCTGCTGCAGTCAGGGGCGGCTCACGGGGATGGCGCAGGGGAGGGGGAGGAGCATGTCCATGGGAAGACAACCCCTGGAGCAGCAGCGGCAGAAGGGGGGAGAGCAGCAGCAGGAGCAGGGGTGGGAGCAAACGGGGGAGCTGCGGCTAAGGGGGGAGCAGCAGGGGGTGGGGGAGAGGGGGAGGGGGGTGAGGAGGAGGAGGAGGAAAGGAGGCGGTTGGGAGAGGAGGCAGAGGAGCAGTTGCTGCGGGTGTGTGGGAGGGTGCTGGAGATGTCGTCTCGCCTGCAGCCCAACACGGGGCAGGCTGTCGAGGCTGAGGTGCACCGCCTGCTTGCCCTCCGTGCGCCTGTTGTTGCCAGAGTGAGTGAGGGAGGGAGGGAAGAAGGGAAGGATGCTGAGGAGGGGGGGGGATGGGGAGGGTGCAAGAGTGCATGGAGGCTGGGTGGATAATCACCTATGATTTTTGTGTATGGGTACTTGTATGCCCCGCCTTATTCTGAGTGTGTCACGCCATATTCCGTGCTGGCATACCATCACCCCCAGGTACTGTCAGCGCTGAGTCAGATGGACGTGGCACGCTTTGAGCGCTTTGTGCCGCACCTCTACCCACACTGCACGCGCCTCATCTGCTCCGACCAGGTACCACCACCCTCGGTAGGCGTTTTCCCAGGTACCACCTCCCCCAGTGGCTCGCTTTGAGCGCTTTGTGCCGCACCTCTACCCGCACTGCACCCGCCTCATCCGCTCCGACCAGGTACCACCTCCCTCGGTAGGTGCTTTCACAGGTAACCCCTCCCCCAGAAGCTTGTTTCCCGGTACCACCTTCCTCCAGTAAGTCTTTTACTGGTTCTTTAGGGTTGAGAGTCTGCTGATCCTATCACCTCCCAGGGTAGGTTCCGATACAACCTACCTCTAACCGTTTCCTCTATGTGCCTCCTCTGCCATGATCTGCTGCATTGGCAGTTATCGAAATCCTTGCATTTCGCATCTCGCTCCCCGCTTGCACCCCTCCCCGCGCACTCCTCCCGCTTGCACCTTCCTCACTCTTCCCTCTCACCCTCCTGCACTCTTCCCTCTCACCCTCCTGCACTCTTCCCTCTCACCCTCCTGCACTCTTCCCTCTCACCCTCCTGCACTCTTCCCTCTCACCCTCCTGCACTCTTCCCTCTCACCCTCCTGCACTCTTCCCTCTCACCCTCCTGCACTCTTCCCTCTCACCCTCCTGCACTCTTCCCTCTCACCCCTCCTTGCCTCTTCTCCTGTCCATCTCACCAATAAGGTGGAGGTGAGAAAGGCTCTTGGGGATCTCTTCACAGCCCTTCTCACTCTTCACTCTTCTCACTTTTCCCTCTCACACACTCCTCCCTCTCACTCACCCCTCCGTGCCTCTTCCTTTCGCATCTCCCGCCAACCAGGTGGAGGTGAGGAAGGCTCTTGGAGACCTCTTCAAGGCCCGCCTCACTCCTCTTATTCCAGGCTCCGATGCACCTTCACCTCCCATGACGGCTTCCACGTAACAATGTCGCTCATGTTATTTACAAGCGCTGTCTTTGTACTGCTTATATTCCAACCCGTTTGGTTCACTGTCGCTACAGTCGATTACGAGCCATGCGTGATGGGATTTAATTTCTATGCTGGCATTGAAAGGCAACCCCAGATTGGTACATGGAATATGCCGTTATGTTTCATGAAATGCTCAGACGAGGCCATAGTGTACTAGTGTCTGAGAAATATGTTCCTGTTGACATGGATGGTGGTGTCTCTGAACTGTAATTCATGAATTGTCAAGGTGACGTGTAACGCTTCTGTGTCCGAAGAAGGCAGACATACTTGCAACCGATCAGCTTGTAAGGGTTTTTGACGTGACAACGGAACAGATCAGCAACTTGATTGCCGAGTCCAGATGCAATTCTTATCGCACATGACTCAGGTGCACCAGATTGGTGCTTGTCCTTTCTTGTTTTTGCTGTCTTGCTCTGCGCAACAGTACATTACTGTACACGTACATTCGGAGAAAAAACACATGAAATGAAACATGCAATTCCAAATCCAAACCTTGACCTGGACTGATTTTCACCTTCGGTTCCGTGTGTTGATTGCTCAATCAGAAACGCCGTTGCTGCTCATCCCCAATGCAGGCATTCTTCCAGCTGATTAGACCCCACCATCACTCAGCCTCCGCATTAAATTCCAGCAAGGAGGCGTGCATTTAATGCCTTCGCCTACGAACAGAGTGTAGACAGCACGCCAAGATAATCATGTGGAACCTTCGTCTGAAAGAAGCAACACGTGGCTTTCACATTTTTTTTTTTTTTTTTTGGTTGTAACTATATTATCAAAACATAGATACATACGCAGTCGTAACTGTATTCTTGGAGGGCCTAGGCTGCGCTAACCGGAGCGTCGCACATCCCCCCTAAGGTAAACTACGGTGGCTGGTGAAAGGTGCGTGGGTTGCGCCAGATGGATAGAAAATGGGTCGTCCAGCATGTTGGCCCTTCCTCGTCGCAGATTCCCCGCAAAAGCTTCCTCTCGTCTGCCGCCATATGGCGCCACCTGTCCTCCCTCCAAACACTGCCCTCTTCACCTGCCACCACCACCTTTCCGCGTGATGCCACCACCACTCTCGCATGCGTCATGAAATCCAGCACCGCACCGCGCCCAACCTTCTTTCTTTCGAAAGGGGCCGCACGCCAAACCGCATTACATCGTGCCAGCCAAACCTGCCGGAGCACCGCAGCTGTCAGCGTCATTTCAGGGAAGCCAGACACCGTGCCCCCTTCCTCGAACAGCAGGTCTCCCAGTGAGCTCACGGGCCTATCCGGATTCAGCATCTGTAAAGACCTCTTGAGCGCGCCGATGATCGGCTGTATGACTGGACAGTTGTAGAGGCAATGAGCTAGGGTTTCCTCCCCCCTACAGTGTGCGCAGCTGATTCCGTTCTGGAAGAAATCCAGCCTTCCCCCCACCTGCAAGTTCATGCTGTGCACCCTGAGGAGCACATCCCTCGCCTTGAGGGAGACACAGATCGAGTCACGGGTTTCGATAGCCCGTTTCCAGTCGATCTTCTTGCCCCACACATCCTCCCATTCTGCCTGCCTCCAGGAGCGTCCCGTTGATTTAGTGAGCCCAGCCCGTATCCTGCGTAACGGCGCCAGCTCCTCCCCCACGAAAAGCTCGGGCTTGACTAGAAGCTTTGTTTTCGGGGCGCCCACCGGCCCCACCATCCTGCTCCCCTGTATCACCATCGGCTGAAGTCTGCACGCCTCGAAGCAAGTCTCCCTCGCCCTCGCTTGTGACTCCAACCTTCCATCCTCGTTGAGCGACATGGCGGAGGCGACAACTTTTGATGCTACAACTCCCTTCACCGCCCATGGGACCTTGGTTGGTTGACCCTGAAGGATGTACCTCACTACTCCTGATGCTGCCACCACCTCTTCTGCCGACACCGGCTCCTCTACCATCTTTTTCCACTCCGGAGGCATAGCCCCGTAGGCTTTCCGTGCCATAACCGCCGCCTCTTTGCTCCCAAGTTCTATCATCAGAAACACCTCCTCTTTCAAACACCTCCGTCCTCCTGCGTCATTCGTGAGCAGGTCTCTTACGCGCGTAGTGAGAAGGGCCGCCGTGCCTAGCTGATGCCCAAAAGGACTGTCCCCCCTGTGTATGATGTTTTTGTTGAAACAGATAAACTCCTCCTCCACCTCCCATCTATTCGCAGGTGCCGGCGACGACGATAGCGGCGATTTCCAGAAAACTTTCACCGCCGCCTTCCATCTCTCACTCCCTTCCTGCCAGTGCTTCCCCGCAGATGGGTGTGCGAACAGAGTAGCCCAGCCTTGCGGGAAACCCGCCGCCTTCTCCGCCAGCCACCGGCGCGTGCCCTCCGGCTCGCCGAGCAACTTGCCAATTCTGCGTATCGCCAAACCGTCGAGGCAGAACTTTGGGTCCAGCTGCCCCAGACCACCGTCCTTCCGCGGGAGACACGCCAGATACGCACTCCAGAGGATAAAGATATTCTCCTCCACCGCTTCCCCCGCCGAGACAAACGCATGGCAGAGTTTCCTGATTTTCTCCCACAAATCCTCCGGTGGTGAGTACACCTGCGCCTGAAACATTAGAACCGGCAGGACGTAGCAACTGATGACCGCTACCCTTGCCGTCGTCGTGAGGTACTGCGCTTCCCATTTTCTTAACTCTTCTTTTATCCTTTCGTATGCCTTCCTTCAGGACGGATCAGCAACACCGCTGGGCGTGATCCACACCCCCAGGAGCCGTTCCGGCTCTTCCCGCTCAGACCATTTGTATGGGATGCCTGCCGGCACCGGCACACCTCTGTTGCGGCCAAGCGGCACTACCCCCGACTTGTCACAGTTCACCTTCAGCCCCGACTGCTTGCCAAAAATTTCCAAAACCTCCACCGCCTTCCGCAGCTGCTCTTCTCCGCTTAGAAGGAAGGACGTGTCGTCGGCATAGCCCACATACGAGAGTGGCGCATGCCCGGGTGGCCCGATTCCCAATTCCTTACGCTGCGTAGCCCTGCAGAGCGGCTCCAGCGCGCAGAGAAAGAGGTAAGGTGCCAGAGGACACCCCTGCCTGACCCCTCTATTCATTTCCACCCTTTCGCTCAGCCACCCATTAATGATAATCTTGGTTCCTGCCTCTGCATGCAGGCCCATGGTCCAACTGATGAACTTCTCCGGTACCCCCAGCTCTTTCATTACCCTGAAGAGGAAAGGCCGCGAGACCGTATCGTAGGCCTTCTGGAAGTCGACCAACAGCAGCAGCCAATCTTCGTTACCGCTGTTCGCAGCTTCCACCGCATCTGCGACCACCGAAACTGCGTCCGCCAGACTTTTCCCCGGTAAGAAACCGTGCTGTTCCTTTGACAGCACCTTGCCCAGCACCTTCTTAAGTCGTGAGGCCATAACCTTCGTGATCAATTTGTACATGACTGACAGCAGCGTGATGGGACGGTAGTTCCCCAGTTGGTCCGTCGCCCCCTTCTTGTGCAGCAGCACCGTAACGGAGGTTGAGAGGCTCTCCGGCATCTCCCCCGTCCTTGCAAAGTTATTGACAAAACTGTTATAGTCACAATAGGCTTGAATGTGCCTAAAACGAAAGATAGAGAGCACAGACGGATTTCTGCACAGCGGCTTCAAACGTTGATAGCGTTCTGCTCACAGCTGCAAATGACTTGATTCAAATTGGATCTGGAGCGTCTTCACGTCGTCTACAATTAGCAATTTAGATTGCACGATTTGATAAAGAATTGACGACACAGCGTCGGTTTGAACGAACGGTACTATGGCAGCCACTATAGTCTTAGAACACAAGATAGGAAGAGTTACGAGTTGGGAATGACTCCCAGCTCCTACAAACCCCAAGAGCCAAGGTACAGTGATGTGGAACAGTGCCACACTGTCCCCAACCACGAAGGGTCTCGAAACTACCCTTCACTAGGGCCTACACCAAGTGAAATGTTACACTACACAAAGTAATGTAACTATCTTCAATATCTTGAGGTGTACCCTTTTGGCAAGCTTCGAAATCACTTGAGGCTTGACACCAAGGCTCGGGCTCTTCATCACAAACTCATCCTTGAGTTCTTGATGGGTCTGCTGCACACACCTGCGACACGCCGAACGTTCGACACAGGACAAAATAGAAACCGCGCACGACAAAATAGAAACCGCGCGCGAGACACAAACGACCGCGTAACACGCGTCTAGCGATAACTCGCTATTGACTCGACACACACACTCGACATCATGACTCAACATTCACACACAATTATAAGCATGAAATATATATTATCCCATGCCCTCATACCATTCCATACACACACACATTCACGCACACGGACAACAAGTCGAGTGCAAACCGTAGGGTTGCACCAACAAACTCCCCCTCGGATTGTTGGCCTTAGGATATGTTGCTCTCTCAGTTCAGAGCCATCCCAGCCAGCTTGCAACACTTCCAATGCTGCTGCTCCACCAGCCTCTTGGTCATCATGTCAGCCGGCTGCCCCGTGGTCTTCACGTAGCGCAACTCAACTTCACCCGCGGTTACCATGCTCCTCGTCCAATGCCACTTCACTCTCATGTGCTTCGTGAGTCCATGCAACACAGGGTTCTTAGCAAGAGCAATGGCACCCTGGCTGTCACAGTACAGTGGGGTAGGTCCTTGCTGCTCCTCCCCCAATTCAGCCAACAAACGCCGCTGCCACACAATCTCCCGTACGGCACGGAAGAGTGCCATGTACTCGGACTCCACCGAGCTCAAAGCTTGGTCAACCTGCTTCTTGCTCTCCCAAGCAGTTGGGCCTCCACCAACACAGCATATGAAGCCTCCCACACTTGTCATGTCCTCTGGTTCTGATGCATATGAAGCATCCGAGTAGGCGGTGAGGAACAAACGCCCGGGTTCAACACCATCCGCGCCCTTTTGGCGCCTTTGTGCCGCCGCCGAGTATTGCAGCCCAACGGTCGGTGTTTGGCCAAGATACTTGGCCACC